TACTTCGAAAAAATATCGAAACAAAAAGATTTAATATAAAATTGAATTACAAAAAACTCGGATTATTCAAAATCAAAAAGATTAAAGAATTCTTGAATTATAAATTAATATTATCAAAAAGTATAAATATATATCTAATATTCTATATATCCTTATTCGAATTAATACCTTCAAAAATATTTAAAATTCTTAAAACAAAAATCATATCTATAAATCAAGATATCGAATACAAAATGAAGAAGATATTAGATTATAAATATATTAAAAACAAAATCAAATATTTAATAAAATAAAAAGATTATTTCGATTTCGAAAATATATAAGAACTTGAAAAAGAGATTAAACATTTAAAAAGATTCTAAAAGTTTTATCAATAAAATCTAGATTTATCTAAAAGGAAAAGGAATTCATCGTTTTTATAAAAGGGATCGAAAGAATCGAATTCATTTATAGAAATTTCGTTAGAGTTGATAAAATCAATTAATAATTAACCAAATCGACCAAAGATTAATTAACCAAATTGACCAAATTGATCAAATTGATCAAATTAATCAAATTGACCAAATTGATCAAATTGATTAGAAAACAACAAAAAAATCATAGGAATTTCTTTATCCTTTTCTTTTTGCTCTTTTTCTTCGAAGATATCAAATTCATCAAAGTATTTAAACCTACGATATAACATTTCATCATATTGTTTTTTGAGTTATATTTTCTATTTAACAAAACGAATAATCTTAATAGAAAATTTAACAATTTTAATATCCAATTTATCGATTTGTTGATCAAAACTCTCTCAATTATACTCCCAAGGAATTTCATAATCTTAATTATTTTCTAAACGAAATTCAATATTATATAAAATAGAATTTCATATACATTCTGAATAATACGAATGATATTTATCAAAAGATTTTAATATAATAACAATTTTCTTATTAATAATAAGAATAAAAAATCATTTTAATATTAATAGAATCAATAATCGTAGTTAAATATATATATTCTTTTTCTTTTTCGAATTAAATTATTAAAAAATTAAAATTATTTATAATAGAAAAGAAAGATAAATAAAATATAAAAAAGAAAAATATTAATTACTAAATGAAACCTAAAGGATTATAAATAATTAGAATAATACTTAATTAAGAAAAGGATAATATCATAATTTATAATTAAAATAAAAATATATTAAAAGATAACAATCAATATATTCATATAAACTTAAATCTTATCGAAAAACAAAACGATTTATATACAAATTTATATAATAATCGTTTCATATAATCTTTTTATCTTTAACAAGCTCGGATATATAATCTGATCCTAATTATATAATAAAAAGCTTTGAAAGTTTCGAAAACTTTTAAAACTTCAAAAGCTTTTTGGAACTTTAAAGCTTTATAAAACTCTTTTACATTCATTAATATATAATCAGAATAGTTTTATAATTTAAAAGCTTTATACTCAACTTAATTATCAATTAGTCTATTGATATTCCAATTAATTTAGTAATATATTCATCTTCGAATGGATAACCAGTGATTATTAACCTTAACCTACAACTACCAACCATACGAAATCCTGAGGCAGCCGCTGCCTCAATCAGATCGTTACAAATAGAGCTTCTAGAAACATAAACTCTTATAAACTCCTTGAAGTTCTTAGAAATATAAGTTTTTGAAAACTCTCAAAAGGGATTAATATATAATCAGAATAGTTTTATAGTTTAGAAACTTTATATTCAACTTAGTTATCAATTAGTTTATCTATATTCCAATTGATTTAATAATATATTCATTTTCGAATAGATAATTAGTGATTATTAATCTTAATCTACAACTACCAACTATACAAAAACCTGAGGCAGCCGCTGCCTCGACCAGATCGTTATAATAAAATCTCTATTTATAATATAAAGATTATTTTTTTTAATATTAAAAACATCTTTTTATATTATAACCTTTATATTCTTCTTTAAAGAATAAATTTGAATTAAATTTCGATTTCATTTTTGAATAAAAAAACAAAAAATCCATTTTGGTTTTTTATCTTTTCTTCGTTTTATAAAGTATTCATTCAATTAAAAGATTAAACTTTTTTTTTTTTCGATTAATTCTTTATAGATTAAACATCAAATTAATCTTTTAAGAGTATATTCTTTTATAAGTTTAAATCTTTTTCTAGTTTTTCAATTGTTTATATTATATTCTTTAAGAATTCTTTTTATAATATCTCTTTTACAATTGAGGTTATAGATTATTATAATCTTTTAATATATAGATTTTGAAAATAATTATATATATTGTATAACTATCTGTCCCTCTTATTTGATATATGATTTCTCTTAAACTTTTTTAAATAAATTCATTTTTTCGATATATTGAAAGCTCTTTAATATAGTCCATCGTATAGTTCTACAAAAGATATTTAAACCATTTGTCATTTTAGTAAAATCAACACCTTCTTTAACCTTTTCAATAATTCTATTATAGTTATATAGATTAAATCTATCTTAAGAATATTATTATAATCAATTGATCTTAATAAAGTACATTATTATGATATAATTTATAAAATAATATATGATATTAAAAAGGAAAATATATAAATTTTGAAAAAGATATATATCGATTAATAACAGTGTATAGTTATTATACACTAGATAAATCTTGTATATAGTAAGGTTATAGTGTAAAAGTGATAGGTCGAGATACGTGCGTCCCGATAGCACATTGTGAAGAGGGAATTGGAAGAGAAAGCTGAATTAGATTATATTGTAATATATTATTTATGGGTAAAACGGGATTCATAATGGTTTTGGAGTTGATGTTATATAAATTCAAATGTATATATATAGAAGGTTGATTATTGTGAAAAGAAGAGGCAAAAGACTCTTTTTTTATATTTAATTATAAAAGGTTATATAATTGATTAGTTAAAACCTTTATGTATTTGGTTTATAATTCCAACTTTCTTACAATAGTATCGACAAGCAGACAATAAAATCTTTAAAAAATCTTTTATTATAATATAAAAATATTAAATTTTATTTGATTTAATATTATTTTATTAATAACTCGCAAAAGAAGATGAATTTCCTAGTTTAAAAAATTGATATTATTTTAAAATTAATTAATATTTATTATTTATAAATATTTTATACGATTATAAAAACATTTAGTTTTAAATTAAAATCATATTTATTTTTGTTTTAATCTAATCATTTAAATTATTATAATAAGATTTCAGAAAGTCAAAATTCTGTTTTTTAATTCTAACGAGTAATCCGCGGAATGAATTATCCACAGATATCTATAGATTGCAGATTATTTTTACACAGTCTACATCAAAGAGTATCCAAAGCGGATATTACATTTTAAAGCATTGAAAGAACAGAATCCATTGTACAAAAAGAAATTGGAATAGTAGATGGAAAACGATAGGTTATAGTTGCCGAAATAGTCTTTTATATTGTAAAAGTGGTAGGTCGAGATACATGCATCCTGATAGCACATTGTAAGGAGGGAATTGGAAAAGAAAGCTGAATTAGATTACATTGTAATATATCATTTATAGAGAAAACAGGGTTCACAATGGTTTTGGGATTGATGTTATATAGGTTCAAAATGTATATATATAGAAGGTTGATTATTCTCAAAAGAAAAGACAAAAGCTTTTCTTTTATATCTAATTACAAGAGATTATATGATTAACTAGTTAAAAACCTCTATGTATTTGATCTATAATTCCAACTTTCTTACAATATTAGAAACTATGTGTAGTAGTCTACATATTGTACAGGAGTTGTATTCAACCCCTAAATGCTCCCACCTTCCATTACAACCCTCTATTCCATATCTTCAACTAATAACAATCGTCGTGACAGTCTCGTAGAATAAAGGAACACGCTATCCCTTCCTAGATGAGGAGGAAAGGTGCGAGAATTAACTACTACTGTAAAAAAGGCGCGAAAAAAAACCATGGCGAAGCTTCTGCCCATCTACAATCCGGATGTCGAGAACCATTCGTTCTTTGAATAATGCGAGGGCTCGAGATATCTTGATTGACTTTTCCCTGTACACTAATTCCCTTTTACGAAGGGCGGTCTGAACCGAAGGATCCAAAGTATGGATCGATGGAATACTTGTCATCGCCACAGTCATCGCCATAATAATCGCCATCGTCATCATCCTCAACAATTTGATCGACCTGCATTTTTATTCTGTTAGCTTTTGTTCACTTTTTTTACGTCAACATTGAAGTATGGGGAAGCCGATACAGGGTTTCCAATAGTCTGGGAGAACTTTGAATTCCTGTATCCAATTTAAAGAATCAATTCATGAAAATCATGGATTCATTTTGCACATCGAATTGTTTCCAGACATTAAAAGTTCACATCTAGTATTCTAGCCCGGACTATTGGATACCTGACTAGATGTGGAGTGGAGAGACGGGGACAATATACAAAATAATAATCTTACCATTCTCTCATACCAAGAGTGATCATTGGAAGCAACAGCATTGGGATTGGCGGCGATGCTGGTGCTGGATCCAACGCTGGTGATGATGCTGGTTTCGGCGATGGTGGCATTCTGTGATTTTTGTAAATATCAAACGAACTTGATAATTTGTTATAAGAACAATAAATAAAACAAAACAAGAAACGATAATAATGATATTTCTTTAAACAATCAAACAATCAAACAACGACAATGATTATAAGACGACGATGATAAAAATGACGATGATGAACAACCGAAAAAAGTAAAAACTAAATCAATTTGACGTTGATTCAACCTTACTATGATCAAAATACTCCTCATTATTTGAAAATAATAAAATAATGGACACAAATAAATCGGGAACTCTTTGGTGTTTTCATTGTATTGTGTTATGAAGGCATATGAACCTTTAAACAACAAGAACAAATTCACATAAGTGAGTCATCCATCGAGTTCTTTGCGATTAGAAGTTTCCAATTAGTCGGTAGTAATGATCTGGACCTCCTAATAATTGTATCGCCTTTCCAAGATTGGCTCCATTAGCTCCGTATCTATTAAATCAGTAGAGAAAATTGGTCTCAAAAATTGAGTACATGAGATGCTGCTAGAAGATAGCAATTCATAAGCTGATTCACAAAATAAACAAAGATAAATGGACTGATTTACTAATTGAAGAAGGGCTCACTGGCTTGTTGTTCCTTCATTCAAGAGAATAGAACAACGATCAAAGGAAATACAATAGATGAAATAAAATGAAATATAGACTTGACATTTGGGGAATATGTGGTATCGACAACAAAAAGCAATTAAAAATTGACAATTTCAATGCTTACCTCTGAGTCCGCCGCGAGTACCCTCTCTCCATTTTCGGCGAATTGAGTTCCAATTTGGATGATTTCAAATCTCTGGCCTACTTCTTCTGTCTCTTCTTCTTGAACTGGTACGAGACGATTGACAGCGTGTCGGCGAGAAGCAGTGGAAGGGGCAACATAATAATAATGGTCGAAACGCACGTATTTCGTGTAATGAGTTGACCACGCAATGCGTGAGGATACTAGTCGGAAAGTATCCGGACGCCGGGTATCCGGGTGTGGGGTGTCCGGGCGTGGGGTGTCCGGGCGTAGGATATCCGGGCGTGGGGTATTTGGACGTCTTGCACTGGAGCTGCTGCTCGCGACTGAAGCCCGGGGAATTGATTGGACGTCACGCATATATCGGATCATACTTTCGAGGTCAAGATGACGGTAGGACCAAGCAAGCTCCTCAAGCCTGGTGCGTTCAACGCGGGAAGGCAAGGCCCTCGCAGCAGCATATTCCCGCTCAACTCGAGCATAAATAGCAGCAGCATCGAACTGTTGAGAACCCTCCGAGGCTCGAGCAGCCTCGGCAGCTCGATTAGCTTGGTATTGCACGTAATATTGGTTCTGCTCAGCAACCAGAGCATTGTGTTCCGCTTGTATAGTTTCTTCATCAACCTCAGCATCTTCGAGAGCCTCGAGCTGCAATTGAGACTCTCTATCACGTTCCTGCGTCACAAAATTCTGAAGAAATTCGCTGGCTTGCGCTACAAGAACCTCGACAGCTTGAGTTCGCGCTTCAATAGTCAAAGGAACCTGATCCTGGGCATTGCGGCGGATGAGAGGAGGACGAGCCGGATTGGAAGCCATTGGTGGCCTTCCAGAGGGTGGAAGATCATCATTCTCCATAATTTATCAAGTCAAGCTACCGGCAGCGGTGAATTTTGCGAGGGCTCGGGGTCTAGAACTGTTGCTGCCATAGAGCTCATTAGCACCGTTCAAGTACAATTATTAACCAACGAATCTGGAGTATTTTATAGCTTCTTACCACGAAATCGATTAATTTTGTGCAGTTTTTATGAAAAGCGATACCTCAGCAAATTGCAGCACCTGTAGAAGCAGAGAGGATGTTTTTGTTTCTTTTTAAACTTAAATGAGAGATAAGCACGTGAAAGGATACTAGTTATAGATGTGAAGGGTTATCTTATTATTGGGGCTATGATTCATGATTATATAGTAGACCCGCAATCATTGTACTTGCCATGTTGACAATGGTAAGGCCACAGCTACAACTAAATGATAGAGGAGAGACCGTCTCTCGCTAAGGTGTAAGGTGTTGATCATCCCAGTGGTTTGATGCTCTACGCGAATCATTTTCGTTTATGTGAAGCTTTTCCTCAACGAGAACCAGTTATTCCAACTTTCACGACCAATCCAGCCACTTCTTTTTCCATTTGGAGATTAGAGAAGTAAATTTTCTTGGTTTTTAGAGTAACTATCTTCAGCTTCATTCTCGAAATGGTTGTGTTGATCCGCCAACCTTTTTAAGTGTTCTATTAGTTTGCTTTTCGGAGGGTGAATATGTCAGCATGAATTGCGAAGCCTTCATGTAGGGAGGGTCCTGTCAAATGTGGAAGACGGACTTTACATTTCGACACTCCAAAAATAGAACACATTTCAAACAGTATTTTGATCTAAAAAGATTCTATAGGTATTTGATATCCCTCTCTCAAGAAACAAAGTCACTACAATTCTGCGAAAATCTAATCCATTACCGACACCTCTGTGTCCGTTTGAATCAAGGCGTTCATAGCTATGTTTAGTGCGGCGCTACATCCTACTAAAATTCCTCCTCAACATCTCAATCCCGGCTCCAAATTCCAACATCAAATTTAATCCGAAGGTTTTCCGTGTACAAATTACATTTAATAAATCATCCAATGCTGCAAAATGCGTATATATTACCAACGAAAAGTTTGGATGCCAATTAAGAGTTTCATTTATATATATATTTGAAAATATCGTGTTTTAAAGAGTATACCTTCTGAAGCCAATTTGTGGGGTGCATAGGAGTAGCTCGGTAAACTTCGGTTAGCCTCCTTGTCATCGGCGATTGCTTCATTTTGGATTATAATATACCGATGTGCCCATAACTGAATAACAACAAATACATTCCCATATGTTTCAATCGAATCTTGTTTTATGGATGTTAGTTGATAACGAGCTACAGAGTAAATTAATCTGATCATACGATTTTACTTGCCAAACTGTCAGCGAAAATGGAATTCTGAATACATGATTTTTTTAGCACTATCCTACGTCTTTCCCGGCATTTGCAGTTCGAGACTTGGCCAAATGTAAGAGACTACATATGGCTATAGTTCTAGACTGGGATATACAGGTGTTGTATTCCACAGGCTGAGATATATAGATGAATTATCCAAAAATCTTTACTGAGATAAGAGGATACTATGGAGGTAATTGCTATACACAAATCATATAATTATTTACGATTCGCCTGCCTCTCACTACCATAATAATCGATCTTTCCTTCCCATAATCAACTACAATCTCCGACGGTTTATCTTCCATGAGGAGCAGAAACCTCCTTTCCTGCCTTCGCATCAAAAACATACACCGGTATGAATAATAATGTGAATTCAATGGGATATTTGTATAATACAGCTGACTGAATCTTTCCAATGACCGGTACAATAAAGTTTATATCATAGGAGATATCAGACGAGAAAGATAAATTAATAAGAGCAAAAAGTAGCATTTGTGCTGCCAGAAAGTATACAACTACGGAGTTAAAGAAACCAGATCATTTTTCCTGTAAGTTACCTGGGAATTCACCAATTTGTGGTTTTGGAATGGATTTAGCGCTTGTATATTTTCTGGTCAAACGAGTATGATCCTGAGCAGGAAGATTTAAAGACACATTCATTATTGTTACGTTGCGTATTGAATAATGGGCTTTCTTTACCATTTTTTTCTCTTCATTATTTTTTTTTCTTCATTCCACTCCTCCTCACTTCTCCCTTTTTCACCCGTCTCGTCCACCTTCTCGCTTCCTCACCGTTTTCCATCGCATCTTATCACATCCCAGCTACCCATTTCTAAACCTTCTCTCCCTCGATACCTATATATATCACCAACCCAATCAAATTCTTCAACTTAGTCCATACAGGACACCAGCAAAAATCATACCATCCCAATAAATTTTCAATCAGAAAAAGCTTGAATATATCCAACTCCTTTTCTTTCTTACACCAAACACTATGTTCGTCTTCATTTCCCTTCCACCCTCACAATCATACTCATATCTACTCAACCGTCTCTCCCTTAACACAGTAAAGTTACTCCCTCATAAAAATATCGCAGTATATCCAAGCCAATTATATAAATATCTAAACAAAAATAATCTACTCATACACTTAATTATCCCAATTTCTCAAATGAGATACAGCCTATTAATATAATAATATTTATTCACAAAAAAAAGTATCTGAAATATCCTTTAATAAACATTATCTCCTCATGTATCTCTTCCTTCCCTTCTCCCTTCTCCCTTCTCCCAGCTCTTCTAGAATCTCTTATCTACCTTCAGATATCTGTGGAATGAAATAAGAAAATCACCGAGTTTGATTTAGAGCTTTCATTATTGCATCGTCAATCACGCGGTCACTACTCACACCATCACACAAAATAACTTACACATGGCTCATACACCTTTCCAAATAATCAGCTTTTATTTCATTCCTGTTGTACTGAAACCCATTCTCCATCTGCAAATACAAACACCTATCTAAAATGTCCTGCAAGTCGTTGATTCATATCATAACGCATCGTGAAGTAATACAATAATGGGTATCTCTTAGCCATTTACCAGTGTTTGTGAATACCTATGCTCCTTCTGCGCCTGCTTGTCTGTCCACTAAAAGAATCAAAGTAGTATGGTCCGAAAAACAAAACCGAAGAAATGACGCTTATGCAGATGCAGATACCCTCATGTAATGCCAGCACTGTTAAAACTCCCTCCCAACCCAACCCAACTCAACCTTGAAATAGATATGGAAAGTTCAGAGTGAGATATATGATCGGTATTGTATCAAGTCGAAGTGGATGTCAAACCCGCAACCAAGACAAAAAATATGGACCTGCCATCACAAATCCCAATCATCCCATGCAACATCTATCAATCTCGAATATGATAGCCCGTGAGTCTTGAAAATCCCCAGTCTTTGATACGTTTCATGATCGGAATTCTCCCATCATACCCATCACCTCCATCTCTGCGCATATCCATATTCATACCCATTCCCATACTCATTTCCGTGTCCTCTCTCTCATATCCATTCGGACCACCACCTAAACAAACACTACGACCATCATTCCTAACATTAACATCAACACCCATATCCTCATCCTCACCACCTTTACCATTCTCCCCGTTTTGTGCAATCTTTGCCTTGTATTTCATAGATAAATGATGCTCAATAGCCGCAATGGTCGCATATTTTAGTTCGTCCAAGACTGAAACACATTCAGCGATAAATGTACCGGGTTGTGCAATGGTTCTGAGAGCTTCGTGGAGGAGCCGAGATTTCTTTAGGACCATGCTGCTGGATTTGGTTGATGATTCTGGGTCTTGTTGACTCATGATGTAGGTGACTACGGCGGCAGAGTAAATGACGTATTGTGTGAACTGGTTTTTATATAGAGGTTAGTTGTGTGTGTCTAGCTTAAGGAAAGGGAAGAAAGAAAGGAATAGAGAAACGAGACTTACCCAAGCACTTCGGAATGGGAATGATGGAACTAATCCATGGGGCTGAGTTTCCTGTATACTCCCACTTCGGGTCCAGTATTCTGAAAGCGGCTCGATTATTTGACAAATATTCTTACAAGCATCCACAAGATCACTTATCATTCCATCGATTTCATCCATGAGATCTTCATCATTGGTTGCCGCGTCGAGAATGAAATCGCGAAGCAAAAGAAGGTGAGCATGGTTATATGCCAGTAAGAGCTCCGTTCTTTGACGCTTGTAAATCTCGGACAAAGTGTGGGGGTCGGCATCGATCAAAAGAGCGGCTTTATTCTTCCAGGCCTTGAGTTTATCATTCTTATAAGCCCTGGCCAATTCTAAATGCCTCTTGATGTCTGGTTTCCGAATTCCATAAATATTCTTTAAGATTTTGCTAATAATGATTGCAAGCCTATTTGTTTTAGTTAGCAATCACACTCAAGTCAAGTCAACAGAAGGAAGAATAAATTACTCGATTTGGAGATTGGATGCAAAGTTTTTGGACAGAGTATCTTGAGAAGCAGGTATGAGAATGGAAGGTGTAGATTGTTTTTCCTTGATGAGCTTTGGCACATCCTAATCAGCTTGTTAGTGACGTTTTACATTTGAACAAGTTTATCATGCTTCCATCTTGTCTTCGACACCGGTCGAGGGAACAAAGGTCCCGAAGACCACAGTGAAGTTGATGACTAATTGTCGACTAAGCAGATTGTTTCGTCCTTTTCCTAGTCTAATTGCAGACACTTCTTGTTCTAAGGAAGGAACGAGCAACATAAATAAACAATATACAGGTTTGCATAACTAAGAGTATGCGAAAAATTCGCATGCTTGCTGGCAGAAAGGTATAGCTTACCTGATCAGTATTTCCCAGCTCAATAAGCTGTGGTCTATGCAAGGCATAACTCAAATATTTGTCCAGGATAAAAGCTGCCCAAAAGACTCGCTTTTGACACTCAATATCAATCAGACTGACCACATCTTTATGGCTATGCTTTCTCTGTATTCCAAGTGCGAATATTAAGCTGACGACGGTGCCAAAAGTGCTCCAGCATTGATTGATTCTGCCTTTGGCTAGAAGATAGTAGCATTGTAGGAGTCGAGCTTGAATACTAACTAGCTGAGGTGGACCAGTTTCGGATTGTAATTGCTCGTCCGCCAAGTGAAAGTGGTGCATACTGTTGGTGATAGAAATATTAGCAAAAGAACAGAAAGGAGTTGGTCCGCTAACCTTGTATCTGTTGGTTCTGGGACTGCGTTGTAAGCCTGAGCTGAAGCAAATATCAAAAAAACTGCCGCATTCCTGCTTTTGAGCTCATTTTTGTGCAAAATATAGCCATCATCGGATAGTACATCCATTGTCCAGCTTTCGACACTCGGTCTGTGAAGGAAGAGCAAGCTAGGAGAAACCTTTTCAAAATAAGTTGCAACTAGTATAGCACCAACCTCTTTATTTGGTAGAGCAACCATTCCAGCTCGGCCGACCACCATTGGTAAATCACCAAATGCAAAGACAGGAACATGAGAATCTTTGCGTGGCATATCAAGTCTTTGCTGGGTCCCATGGAAGAAAGTAGCATTCGAGCTCTTGTTGAATTGCTCTTGATACGGTGCCATCATTTGGGCAGTAATTACAACCCGGCCATATGGACCAATCATTGGTGGTATTTCTCTCTGCTCTTGTTGAGAAGAGCCAGGATTTACAGAGATGAGTCCATCGTTGAAGCTAGAATATCTCAGATTTTGTTCCACAGCTGGATTCAGTTGTATTTGGACTCTGCGGCCTCGGGTGTAGGGAAGGTCGTATGAGCATGGTCGTTGACCGGTGATACAATTCACGCAAGGTGTATTACCAGAACACTTTTGTTTTGCGCTGCGAAATTGTCAACAAGGCTACGACAAATTCATGCCACCACATGAGTGTATGTGCAACAAAGGGGGAGTGAGTTCTGGAAACTTACGTTCTACATTGATCACATGCTTGAGTGACTCTGCGACGTTCGCCATTTTTTCCCCTCCTTGTTGGTGGAGGCTTGAAGGAATCTCCATGGGGGATTAATATCCTAGGTGGTATATTGTCCATTTCGATGAGATATCTAAATTATGATGGGAATTCCCAAGATGCGGAGGCGGTTTGAAATCAAGTTTGTGGATTGGAAATTGAACTTGTGGAATTTGGGAAATGAAAATAAGAGCAGAGGATCTTGAGGGGAGCGGTTGTCAAGAGAAGTAGGCGGATAAACAAGCAAAATGGTTTCCGACAACCACTAGCGAGCCAATTACATGCTAAGACAGTTCCGGATCTAGATATCGAAGATGTATTGAATTTGATAAGTGCATATCATTAGATGTGTATTTAATTTGAAAAGAAAGGGACGAAAGATCTGAATTTAGATTGTTCAAGAATTATTTGATTGGCTCTGAGAGTGTTGATTTCCTTGATATATCCAAAGGAAATTGGGTATTACCTACATGCCTTTATGTAAATTTGAATAGTACTAATGAGAATACATTGCCGTTCAAGTGGTGTGCGAATTTGCTTTCAGAAGTAATGATTCGGGGAAGCAACGGAAATACGGTCAAAAGAGCATAAACAAGAACAGTATTGTATTGCCTATAGAAATAAAAGATTAACAGCTAATAATCCTTTCCGAAAATAGGGCAAGTATCTTTACCTCTCGCGGAAAGCTTTAACTCCTCTGAAACATTCGGCATAGCACTTTTTCGATTTCCGGACAGGTCAGACTTGAACCACTCACTCACCTTAACAATTTCCTCCCCATCAAATACGTTCTGTGAATGACCAGCATCTATGACTTTTTGTTCGGCAGACATCTCAGCCTTTCCCAAGCCACTCGCCTTTATATCGATTTCTGATTTCTCGGGATCAACTTTCCTCACGCAAATTGCAAAGCCTTGATCGGTCACAAGAGCTTGATCAAGGGGATCAGATCCACTGCATTTACAACAACTTTTTCAAGGATATACCCAAACTGTGCTGCAAGTATGGTAAAGTCTGGAATGGCTCTGAGTTCAGTGGCCATTCGATTTTGGAATATGACACCTCCACTGACTTCTCTTAGTATATTCTTACTTCTAACGAACAATTGGAAAGTTGTTAAAAAAACGATTAACGGAGGGCTTGCTTAAACAGGATATACATAATCTGGGAATATGAGCTTGTTTGCATAGACAAGAAGTTTGGACAAAAATGGCGCCAATTCGATCCCATACTCGTTGTACGAAACAACATCAAAAGGAAGAGCTCGCATTGTGATTGCCGCAGTTCAATCTGCGACAGGGTTACATGCGTGAAAGGCAGAACAAGCGACGCCAGACTTGATGGCAACGCGCCTAGTCTATCTAGTTAAACGGCCATGGCAACAGCGAACTGGCAGGCAACAAGCAACAGCGGATACAATTGCTGCATTGTCGATCAGAATATTAAAAACGTGGGAGAGAAAAGGCAAACCAGTACGCGAGATTTGAGAAACAAACGGTGGAACCATCGAGAAAAAGACAAGGATACGAGGAAGAATCAGAGAACTTACATAGCAACATCAACAGTTTGACCAAAAGCACGAAAGAACGTGAACAATCCCGCAACAGTAGCAGCATCCTCCACCGGAGCCGAAGCTTGAATAGCCAAACTCATAGCCGGATACAAAAGACCCATACCAATACCACTTCCAAGCATAAAGAATATCCATGCGACGACTGGAGTCCCAACATCAAGGAGATAAAGCATACCGCAGCCGAAGGCTGTCATAGCCCATCCGAGCCATAGACCCCAACGATATGCTCCTGTTTTCGCTGCAAAGATTCCAAAGATCATAGCCATGGGAACGATAGTGAGGGTCTCTGGGAGAGCAGCGACACTGGCCATTATTGATGTGTAGCCTTGAACGGACATAAAGTAGAAGGGCGCATAATAGACGATCGATCAGAGGATCATACCGTGCAGGAAGGTACAAGAATAGGCAATAGACGTAGAACCATTGCGGAATAGTTGAGTTGGTATAATGTGTCTCCTGGCAAGCATCGCTTCATATACACAGAAACTGACGAGGCCTATGACGCCTAATAGCAAAGGGACTAGAGTCCGCTAGCTTGTTCATGAATAGCCCACTCCGCCCCACGTTAGTGGAATGAGGAACGAGGTCAAAGATCCCACGAAAATAATCGATTCGATGTAATCAATTTCGGACAGTTTTCGTCGATTGTTCTTTCCTTTCTCTCCAACTTCAAGAACCAGACACACCCTACAAATCCTACTACGATTATGGGTAATTTGAGGTAGAAAATAAAGCATACAACAAGAGAATATAATCAAATTAGAGATCAACTATCGGGTCAACTATTCCATGATCATCCATTGGCCAAGAAAGTTCTCCTTTAAGCAAGCCGGATCTGCAGGTTTAAGAATATACGCAAAGATTCACTAGGGAAAAATTACTGGGGAGAAAAAAGAACATTCAAAGAATGGTGAGACAGCAAACAAGAGTCAAAACTTATGGACTTTGTGCACAATTCCCCAAGCTCTAGCCGGAACTCAAGACTTGCTTGGGAGGTACAGATATAAAAAGCACACAACTGGAACCCAAATTTTTCTAAGCTATATGGTTGACCAGGAGAATAACAGCAGTAATGATCAAACTTCAGTCATTCAAAGAAACTCCTTTACACCACCGGAACGACACAACCATCAACCACCTATTTGGTGCACATTTAGTGTATCATTTGTGAGAGACTATTGATGTAATGAGCATCACGATACCAAGGAGTAGGTGAGATATTCTAGGGAGTATCCATCGACGCCTGGAGAGTCTCATTGTATAACTTGTGGCGTTTGTCTGAGAGCAGATGGTCCAAGAGCTGGAAAGATGCACCCCGACTACCTCCACATTCAACATCAGTCATTTCTATATCTAGTTCTTAGTCATTGTTACTACACACTCTTAGCCAAGTGAGAAGATCAATAAACATCATTCTAAACATTGTCCTGCTGGTAATTTCGACAAGTTTCACTGGTATTGCTACCATCGAGCTTCGGATAAAGTGGACACATCATGCATATGATCAGCACATCAACATTGATGAGTATGTTGGCTGAAGAGCGATGATCCTGACTGTCAAACCCCATTGAGTTCCTCATCAATAGGGTTTGAAGGAAGGCAAACAAAAGATACATGAATGGGGCATTTATCCTCCTTACCTGCCCTGCGTTGTAGTTGTAAGTTCGATCGTTTGCCGAGTCCACTTCAAAATGCCCGATCACGTGCCCAGAGTAAGAACCTGAACCCTGCATCGCACTAAACTATTCTGGCGCATTGGAAGTTTACATCTTTCAATGGATTTCTCTAGACTTTCCATACATTTTCAATCTTCATGTTCTCATAAATTTTTCAATCTTATCAAGTGGTGGGATATATAGGATTTAATTGTCCAAAGTGAGTCTAGACTATCATATTTCATTGATTCCTCGAGGTCTGGATTCCTCTATCCCCTCGGCTCTGAATTCTGCATGGTGGAGTGATTCTAAATCTCCACTCTCATTCATGGTCAATCGCATAGTATCTGCATTGGTATCCTCCAATTCGTTCGGTCTCTGGCGTCGGATGTTACCCAATGTCATCAATTCCGCTGGCTTTTTGTTTTTTGACGCTGCACTTCGGCCCCCACTGGAACCACTTGCATTACGATCTCTATCACTCGTTATAGCGGAACCATAAAGGCGTCGCGCTGATGCAGTGATGCGATTTAAAAGTGGACGAAAGTTTGGAAGACAAGCACAGACTATTGCCATTCCAACGTGGACAGCAGACCACAATTCTGCTCGTGGAAAGTCGACATTTTGACTACCAGGAGCATATCCAAGAACCACACGTACAATGCCTGTGACGATAACGCTTTCATGGTGTTAGTATGAGCAGATCCAGGAAAAGAACTTCGACACACTTACAAACTTCCAAGTAGGAAGATGCCTCCAACCAATACTTTTTGGGAATTCGGCATTTGAAGTCCAACAACAACACCTATTGGTAATACCAGGATTCCAATGTCGACCACAATTTCCACTAGACCCATAACCATCCAATAGATGTTGAAATTAAAACACCAGCCGCCAGCGGAGTGTCCAATCCAAAATCTGCTCGCCGGGATACAACTGATACAAGTAGCGATAGTACCAACAAGCCACCATGTTATCACCAAACTCATGAAGGTCCAATACGAACGTTCCAAACTAGTGGAGAATATACGACGATACATTAGAAGGATGGAAATTTTGATAGCCGTCACAACGGAAAAGTAAAGGATGGCGCATGTCCATGACATCTTCAGATATACGACATGAGGAGTATAATCGAAAGTTGGATCATCGCGATTGATTGTCTCGCCACCGTTCGGGTCTGATTTGACGCCTAGAACAATTGGTTATGACTATTTTGAGATACTGAACTGCCGTTAATCTATCACATACCATAGAGGAGGAGACTACCAGTTATAATCAATAACAGAACACCGATCAAAATCCACCAATCATCCGCCGCAATACCAGCTTTAGTCAATCGTCTTGTTAAGAATCGAAGGGCGACAGCAATAACTGCTAATATAGTAACGATCAGAGCAGCAGTTGTCGTATGTTGAGAAGTTTCACTCGACATGACTGCTTTCGTAGACGAAAATCATTTAATAAGGTTTATTGAGCCTCCATAAATATTTTCTGCAAAGGATATTTCACCATCTTATCATTCAACAAGTTACACGACATTTCTCATGATCAGCCGCTCGAGGTAGGAGTTAAGAAAGTACAAATGGTTGAGCCGTACAACAAATTTATGTTGTGACTACTCACCCAAGAAAATATCATAGGCAAAGAAGAAAGACGGGAACATGATAGGTTAATAAATAATCACAAAACTATATCCGCGTACCTTTCGTCCGAATCTTTTGGGGGCCATATGCACCGTTTGAATTTGTAAATGTACATCAAAGCCATATTAGGCCGTTGTTCTTGACTAATAGCCTGATAATACATGTCCATTTCATCCTTCAGGACCTCCAATTACGTTTTTAAGATCCCAACCTTGGAAAATTTCCGAACGTGAGATTTATTGGCAGTAACCCTAACGGCTGTAGGCAGGCACCATTTAATAATTTAAACATCTAATCCTCGAACCCGAAGGCCTACATACGATATGGTAGGACAATTATGCGGTGAGGAATCTTGGTGTATGTATGGTTGTTGATATATAATTATTCATCTACTCCATCTACCTATACAAAATCGTAAGAGTAACCACTAAGAATTAAGCCTTTGAAAGAATTTCCCCCCTATTAGGTTAACCTTAACCTTACTATCATCCATCATCATGCTGTGACACCCACGCTTTTGGTTAACGTTCAACAGCTATTACAATTAGATATTTTTCGTGTGCTTATTGATTGTCGGTAGTGATATTTATTGTTCTTGATGTGTCCATGTGCTTATTGCTTATGTGGTAGCTAGGTAGGATTTTCATCCTGAATACCTATCTAACCTTAGCTAAATAACCTAATCGGCATCCGTATATTTTTATCCCTGATCTTACCTCCGAGTTATCTCCCTCCCTCCCTCCCGGCATTTACGAGGTATACTCTCTTCCCGTCCCATGCTTATGTGATTCCTTGCAAGTTTAACTGTTTACCAATATATCATTCCGTACTCCGCGCGTGTAGACTGCGTTAGAGTAAGCAGGGATGGGAGGGAAAATACTTTTGTGAGTTAGAAGATTATTTAATAATATTTATTAATTCTGAAAAAAGATTTTTATTTTAATTGAATTTGTTCTAGTAAAAGTAAATACTTAGAGTATAAATTAAAAATCTTGATTTAATTTAATTTTTTTTATAAAATATTGAAATTATATTTTGTTTAATTAATTATATTTAATTTATAAAACTATTAATAAATAATTATATAAATCAAAAGTATATAAAAACCTTTTAAAAATTGTAGACTTTATTAATACTATTAATGATATGTATATTATTCAATCAATCAAACTAGACATTACCGAGTCTAGCCAGCCTACACGTCTGGGCTCACCCTCCGATAAAGTAATCCATCCAGTAGTATCACCATATGCCGCGTCCAATCCAACCCAATCATCCAATACCCCCATCAAATCAACACCACATCGAATCAAAAAACAAAGCAAAAGCCAAGTAAACACTGCCGTCGCAGTGCCGCATTATTGCGTGAGAGGAAACCTTAGCATCGACCCACTTTTCCCTTGAGTAATCTCACATCAGATCTTTTTGTTGAATACCACACCTACCTACCTAGTAGCTACCTAGGTAAGGAAGGTAACCTTCTTAACTTTTTTTCGCGAGAGAAAAATAAAATCCTAGGTGTTTTCTTTCATGAGAATTTGAGAGGTTTTATTTTTAAAGGAGAGTGGGATTGAAGTTACACGGATTATTGGGCATCTATCGATATCGTGGTACTCTATAAAATCTTAAAAAAGAAAGGGAAGAAAGGGAGATTTTCGTTGAGGAACTTCGAATTCTTAAGGAACTTCGACTCTTAGGAGCCTTCCTCAAGAGCTGCCTACGTAAATTGGTGGATTCAACTTCGAATCTATCTATTCTTTTTATTCTTCTGTTTGGTGTCACTTCAAACACTTATCAAGATGGATTTTTCAAAACCTATGAATATCGTCATTGTAAGTTATCCTTCCCTTGATTCCTCATTCCAATTCCCATGATATTCCACCTCTCCGCCCCGCCAATCCATCTCCATCTCTATTCCCATCCCCGCCGTCAATTCATCTTCTCCACCTCCACCTCCACCTCACCCTACCCCTACAACCCCATACCCCATATCCCATACCCCATACCCCGTACTAATTCTCCCCTCCTCAAAAAAGATCGGCGGATCCAACACAGGCCTAATGCACGGGGTAATGCTCTCGCACCTGCCCACCCCACACCAAATAACAATCCTCGAGCGCAACCCCTCAGACATCCGACCGGATCTCGCAGCCGGCATAACCACCTGGCCCGAATTCGAAGACTTCATGAAACACCACGATCGCGTTGATGAAGCATGGTCTATTCATTCTCCCGGCGTGCAATTCTTAGATAAGGATGCAAATGTCAAGAGGAAGATGGATAAACCGTTGAAGATGACTAGTTGGAGTGTTATTTATCATCGGTTGAGGAGGAATTTTGATGGACTGAGTAGTGAGTTTTGTGATGGGGAGGTGCGGGGAATAGGTGAGGAGGATGAAGGAATTGGAAAGGGAGAAGGAAAAGGAAAACGAGAATTTCTAACAGGCATGAGTGTTACTTCTCTCACCAAAGTCGAAGATGGTGTAGAAATCACCTATGAAGACCTGAAAGACTCCAACAGAGAACATAAACTCAAAGCCGATATGGTAATACTTGCCGATGGCGCAAATTCTACTCTCCGCGCAAAATTCTTTCCAGATGTTAAGAGAGAATATGCAGGCTATGTAGCATTCCGGGGTACCGTTCCCGAGTCTGAGGTTTCGGCCGAGACGAAGAGTATTTTCGATCCGAATTTAACGTATTTTTCTTACAAAGGTGGATATATTCTTCTGTAAGTGAATTCTCACATTTTTTCCTCATATCAGGAACATCAAGCCAATAAAATATAGATACATAATTCCCAGCTCAAGCGGCTCCTTAGCCCACGGCGACCGCCGCTACAACTGGGTATGGTACCACCCGGTATCCTCCTCCACCCCCTCCTTCAACGACCTCATGACCGACACAATGGGCGTTCAACACCGCACCACTCTCCCAGCGGGTCTCATGAACCCCACAGCCTGGAGCCCCTACCTCACACTCTCCCAATCCGTCATGACAGCACCATTCGCAGAAGTAATATCCAAAACTCCCTCACCCTTCATAACAGCCATTAACGACTCCACACTCCCTCAAGCTCTCATCCCAGGATTCGATAACAGAGTCTTAATCACTGGAGAGGCGCTCAATCTCATGAGACCGCATATGGCATTGAGTACGACGCAGAGTGCTATGCAGGCGCTTTTGTTGGAGAGGGTTTTTAAAGGGGAGATGGGATTGCAGGAATGGGAGAAGAGGGTTTTGAAGTGGGGACGTTTGGGACAGTGTAAGACTAATGCGTTTGGGTTGTGGAATTTGAGGGGGTTAGGGGCGGCTTTGCCTTGGGTTTTGAGGTTGGTGGGGGTTTTGGTGGGAGTTTTGTGATGGCTTTGTGGTGTGCCGGGGGAGGGGAGTGTAACGATCTGGTCGAGGCAGCGGCTGCCTGAGGTTCGTATGGTTGGTAGTTGTGGGTTAAGGCTATTAATCACTGGTTATTCACTTGAAAGTGAATTCGTTATTAGATCAAGTAGAATATAGAAAAACTAATTGATAACTAAGTTGAGTATGAAGTTTTTAAATTATAAAATTACTTTGATTATATATTAATGAATAGAAAAAAGCTTTATAAAGTTCAAAAGCTTCAAAAAGCTTCTAAAGCTCTAAAAGCTTTCAAAGCTTCCAGAGCTTCTCATTATGTGATTGGTCCTAAGGCCTTCCCTTTCCTGGAATACTTATCCCAAGAGTTTTCCTCTAGGAACTATTGCTTTAGGATACGATATCCTTTAGGATTATCATCCTATTACAATCGATTAGCTAGGACACTTGTCCTATTCTAATATAGTTGCCTAGGATATTTATTCTAGAAATCCTGGGGTCCTATTCGTAGATGACTAGGCCCTCTGAAAGCAATGGTTAAATCATACCTCTCCTGTAATCGGTATATAAATCATCGATATCAATAATACTATTATAATCTAAACTGTGAATCGTGACAGCAAGTTTCTCATTTTCCATCACCCACCGGGTAAACCTCGCGTACAGCAAGGTTATGGAGTCGGCAAGCCGACAATTATTATTATTATTATTAATTTTTTTTTTTTTTTAAAAAAAATATTAATCCCCAACCACCAAAAACAAATCAATATTCTATCTACACCCTGATATATATTCAATATTTAAATTTATTATTAACTTTTTAAAACTTAAATTTTCATTAGACTTTCTTAAAAAGTCAAGGGTCCGAGGGGCGCAGGCCCCTGGTATTTATATTTATATTTATATTTATATTTATACTTATCTGATCTACTCATCCATCTTATATTTGATATATATATTAATTTTCTTCTTCAATTATACAACTCAAGCTATCCTCATCCAATCAACCTCCTTAAAAATCTCCATCCTAAATCTCCTCTTCAGCCATCCCCTTATCCGCCATAAACAACCTCGTTAACTCTTCTATCCTTTTAGCTAATTCATCTACTTTATTTTCCAATCTTTCCCTCTCACTTGCCCTTTCCTTTTCTTCCTGTATTCTCCCATCAATATCATTATCCCTATCTTCCCCTCCCAATCCACTATCCTCCGCCGAAAACACTATTCGTTTATTAACCTTACCCCTTCCATTAGCATTAATAGATTCTGAACAACCCGCTTTCAGCCCTCTAACATTCCCTTCCCACTTTCCAGTAACCAATGGACTCGCCTCTCCATCTACAATATTTGGTCCATCCAGAAAATGTAAAGATTGGTTTGTTCCAATACGACCTGTCAAGAATTTCTTCTTGGCTTTTCCTTTGTATGCTGGTTCTCCTGTACCAATCCCGTTATCACCAACATTACTACCGAGTCCGCTATTAGTAGGTGTAACAGGTCCTGTAGCAATAGATGTATGAGGGAAAGAAGATGGATCTTGAATATATTCATAAACGCCTTCGAAAAGATTAATCGCCAATACGATTGGTGCATGTGTTGCTTTTAGTAATCCTATACGAGTTCGACGTAGAGTAGAAGAACTCATGAAAAGTCTAAGAGGTCTGATGAGGATGAGAGGAATCAGATTTAGTGGAGGATAAAAGTGTGTGAGTCGATTTGATGTTGATGCTTCGAGGACATAAACCGAGTACACAAATAGGTATTCTTCCCTAGCATGGCTGATAACTTTTGAGAAACTATCGCTTAGGATACTGATTAAGGATGTGATGAGAAGAATATTCGTCATGCAGACGAAGATGAGCATCAGGGGAGGACCAAATTCTTCAGAAATTTGGTACATGATGTCAAAACCAAGGTATGACGAACCGAAGAAAATTTTAATTAAAACCCAAAACATCTCTTTAAGTGTAAATGTATCACGTGCAAGAAAACTAAACGTCGTGAGGAAGCCAATATATAGAATCCCAACTATGACCATGAATTTTACGAAGTCTTTGGCCATTTCCTTTAGACAAGGTATCATAGTACCGAAGTAGGGATAGAGTGAGAGAATCGAGAATATTCTAATAAAAGTCAGTTCTCGTTTAATGAACGGTCACGTGCACAAATATAACTAACCGAGGTATAATAAATAGCGCCTCCAATGATAGACAATCAAAAGCCATGTCAATGATTCTACCACTATCCTTCGTTAAGCCAATTACACCTAATCAATGTCAGATGTTGTTTCAACGTCTGGACTAAGGAGACAAACGTGTGAGTAGGAATACCACTCCAATGAAAACAATCATCAAATCGCATGCGTTCCATATATCAACAGCATAAAATATTGACCCTGCATCTATGAACTCTCCGAGTTCATCATAAGCAAAAGCAGCAAACCAAACGTAGAGGAGAACCTCAAGCGCGGTAATTTTGTATCTGTACGATGTGTTAGGCATTGAGGGACTGATAACAAGCATAGCACTTACGGATTTCGTTCAACAAGGACTGCATAGTACAAAAACAAGAAAGAAGCAAAGAATAAAACTTCGAATGTCTTGATATATCTCGGCACTCGCAATCTCGAAAATGGATCCGACTTCTTTCTGTTGTAAAATTGAGCTTTCTTTTGTGTATGCTCATTTAGGCTTCCCCAAAAAGTAATATCTCCTTTCCAAATCCCAGTTATAATCTTTTGAACAATTCTTTGACTGAGAAATTTCTTGCAATCAGCTACTGCTGCAATTTCAAGACCATTCAATCCAGTAAAAGACGATGTTGGATCATCCTCATCATCGTCCACATCATTGTGAGTGAAGAAAGTCCCTATTGACCGCAATAGTTCGGTTTTTTTGTTCTGGCTAGGTGGTCTAGTACCAGGAGGTGAATCCCGTTCTCTGAATTGTGGCAATAAAGTGGAATGTTCCGTAGCTTGACTCTCCTCTGATCGTTGAAGAGTAGGTAGAGGTAATTCGTAAAGGCAAAAATCGACAGCATCTCGCTCTGATATTCTTGACAAAAATCTCCATGCTACTATTTCACATGCGCTTGCTCGAGTTTCATTGATTCCACGATCATCTATATCGAGGGTAGAGAAGTGCCATTTTAGTGTTCTGATAGTCTCAGTTACTTAGATACAAGCATCTTTCATATGGTACTGACAAGATTGCATTTATAATTGCAGGATTGGTAACATTTTCGACGAGATGTTCAACAAGTATTCGGACTGTGTTTCCTGCAGATCTCGATCGCAATTGTTCGAAGGTTGAAGGCAGGACAATTTCATCGATGAAGTATCTAACATTGTAGATTAGGTAGAGGTCTTAATGTATCAGTTTTCAGCACACATACATCGATAGAGTTTTCACCACTTTAACAAAAGGATCATCATGAGCAATTGCTGGTAGTTTCACCAATTTCTGTCCCTCAAATAGCGACTTAGCATCCATGGTGCAGTGCCTTGCAATGCCTTGCAGAAATGGGTGAGGAATGCTCGGAGCTCAATAGGTAGGACTACTGGCAGTTATTGCGAAAATGTCTTGATGCAACTAGGACATTGAGGTTATTCAGTATGATTAAAAGTTATTGGATAAAGTTGTACAATGTTGTTGAAGTTTTACACGATCTAGACCCTGCGCGGTGTAAACAGAGCTATGAAAATATAAATATTTACAAGGATATAGATATACGGAGGTAGGAATAAGTTATGATACACCGCCTTTGTTCTGCCATCGAACAAATCATTCTGCCCATACAACTTAATCCTTGAAATAAAAGGCGGTATAACATAACTTATTCCATATATGCCGCCCGCCACTAAACGTCACCACCAGCTTCAGGCAGTAGCTTGACTTCGCCATCCACCCCGCATTCCGTTTGCTCTGTTTGCTCTAAATCCTTTTGTTTGTGCTCGAGTATTGCATCAGAGCTTGATCTTATCACATTTCCCATTCTAGCTATCGTTGAAACTTCACATCCATAAATTCATCACCTCACGCCAAAATGGCCAATAATCCACTCAGTTCAGATTCTATCCTACACCATATGGCCGAAGCCTTACCTTCTCATCAAAAAAATGATACCAATTCCGATATAAGCAGTTCTTATGAAGCCATAGCACTTTTCTCTCATGCATGCATGATCGCAGTAGGATTCCGGCTTCTGGGATTCGGAGAAGGACAAAAGAATGGTAAGCTTCACTATCCGGTCCATTTAAAGCATGCATTATTAACAAATCATCAGAAGCAGAATGCACACAACTCGCTCCACGTTTATCAACGAAATGGAATTCCTCTTTCGGATCTCATTCTTTCCTTTACGCACATTCGCAATCTTCCATGCAATACGTCGTGAAAGTCGATCGACTAGGTGGAAAGGCAGAAATTAGAGGAATAGGACTCGGTGATGAAAGAATAACACGTTTCGAAATCACAGCCAAAGATTATATCTCTTCAGCTGCTCTTCCACTTCGAATACCCTTTTCAAATGATGAAGAAGATCGCACAAATCTCGAATCAAAGCTCAAAGAGATTTTTATCTCTCCTTCTAGAATCGCAGATCTCGCTTCCTTATTCAAGGTAAACATTATCCAAAAACTCCTTCCTTCCCTACAAAAAGAAGGTTATGAAGAATCTCAAAATCAAGGCGAATCTGAAGCTTCCCGGGTTCATGATGAAAGAGAAGAACAACATGCTCGACGAAATCCTCGAAATCCTCTCGCCGACCCAAATCTTCCAGCACCAGCACGTCCATATCCCTTCCACGATCCTCTCGCAGACCAACCACGTCGCCCTATCCCAGCAGGTGATTTCCCACCTCCTGGTTTTGACGACGAATTAGATCTCAACCGACCTTTACGTGGTATGGTTCAACCAGCAGGTTCACCCTTCAACATTGGTCACGATGATTTGCATCCACCAGGACTAGGTCCTAATGACCCTCTACGTGGTTCGTTTACAGGTGGAAGAGGAGCTGGTGGTCTAGGTGGTTTCGGTGGTATGCATCCTACATTCGACGATCCATTATTTGCCGGACAAGGACAGGGACAAAGAGGTGCTGGTAGAAATGGAGGTTTTAATCCGCAAGCTCCCCCTGGAGCAAGATATGATCCGTTAGGACCAGGTGATGGACCTCAGAGGGGAGGTGGTGGAAGACCACCTAATCCATTTGGTGGGTTTGGAAGTGGTGATTTTATTTAATGTTGAAAGGAAGGAAAATTAAGGGAACATGTATGATTGAAATAAGAAAGGAAGGGAAAGGAAATAAAAGGAAAGGAAAAAAGCTGGGGGTATTATGATTTTATTTATGCAAACACAGGACAGACACTCTACGACATAACGATTATGACAAACAAGTTTCTCAAGGGGGAGGCGTTAGGCCATGGGGAAATGAAGGGGAAAATAAAAATGAAGCAGCGACTATTAGTATTATTCCCCTCTCTGCGAAAAGAAATTTTATTAACAAAGTTGTTAATCTATTTATTCCATATGATGCATCATAATTAGCTAGCTTTATTGATTATTTCATATGAATTTGAATTTGAATTTGAATTTGAACCTTAACTCTTAACTTCTGAATCTCGAATCTTGAATTTTAAATCTGTAATCTGTATACCAGTTAATATAAAATTACATCCTCTCTTTTAATCCTAAATACCTGTCTAAATATATGATAATTATACCTTCAAAAACTTCAAACCTATAAACCGTAGTATGTTATCAGGATGAGTATGAGTATAAGATGAATATAAGATGAGCATCAATATCAATATTTATTATATGTGATTTATATATTTCGTTAATATCCTAACTACTGACTGACTGACCGCGTGTAAGTGAGGTAGGTAGGTAGGTAGGTAGGTTATCTATTTACTTTCACCTTGACCTTGACCTTCAACATTCGTTTCATTCATTCATTCACTCATTCAATGTATTCATTACCCCGCCCGTGGCTTTCCTTCATTCCCTTGCATTCCTTCCTATCTCTCATCCTCTGGCAGAATTTACAAGATCCTTTGAAATATCTATCTTTCTATTATCCTCTCATCTCATCTCATCTCATCTCATCTCATCTCATCTCATCTCATCTCATCTCATCTCATCTCATCTCATTATCCGCTTATGCAAATCACTCATTTAATGCTCATTCCTATCCCAGAAAGTAAGAAAGTAAAGGAAGAAAGAAAAAAGAAAAAGAGAAAGAAGAGACCAGAGCCTCAGCCAGCTCAATGACCCGTCAACTTCCCCTTTAAACCCCCTAATAAACTCTTCCTCTTATCCTTTTTTTCTTCTACCTTCTCGCTTCCAGTCGGTAGACTCGAAGTATCCGAGGCTTTTCCTAACGATGCAACGACGGGAGAAGCAGGCAATTCCGGAATTTCATCATGTATGCTTTCTTGTTCAGTTGGGGCTTTTGATAATTCGCCTGCTCCATCTAGGTTGACGTTTGGATCTAATTGATTTGTCGTGGTTATTTTTTGTGGTTCTGGTGATCCGTTTGCGATGACTTTTTCTGCTGGTTCGGTTATTGATAAATTGTTTAATCCATCTTGAGCCGTGTGAAATGTTTCTAATTCGGGTCTTGTGCTGGACACTGAGTGTCCATTTTGGATTACAGATTCTTCTTTGGGAATTTCCTGATTCATAGGGGAATCGGTTGCGGAAGTTGTAGTCATGATTGATGGAGCTGCTGTGGGTACTTCGAGTAATTCTGCGCTAATTGGTAATTCGGTTTCTGTGGTGGCATCTGTTGCGATTGTCCCCATATTGTCGCTGTCCTTGATAGCCTTTTTGACTTTGCATACTTCTTCTCTCCTCTGCTTCTTTTCAATACTTCCAACTGCAATTGCTTGAATAGACTCTTGATCTTTCGTATTTACCCAGTACAGAGGCCCACCAGGAAATGCCCGAGTGCCAGTTCCATTCCAGGTGGCAACGGCTTCTAAAGCTGGATCTAAGGTAGGCATATCCCCAAACTCAAATTCTAACTCGCCCCCATACTTTTTGGGGATGTTTCTAGGCTCGATAAAAGACTCTAAAGTTGACTTTACATCGTTGTGGCTGATAATGAAGATTTTAGAAGTTGTTATTGGATCGAACCATTTTTTAACCCAACCCCAAACAGTTGGAAAGAAACTAGGAGCACCAATAATCTGACAGTAAGAGTTAGAGAATTTACCGAATCCCCAATTAATCTATAACTTACAAAAATGCGATCAAGAGTTTCTGGGTAATGTGCTGTAGCCAAAGTACTTGCATCTTGCATATGCGTTCTCAGATTCCAAAATTGTTTTAACCCAACTCCAGATATATCGACAATGTTATTACTTTGTGTTATTGGTGTCCGAGGATTTTCTCTGTCCGTGAGAACTGTGCACAAAGGCATGACAAATCGCGTAAGGTTCTCGTATAAAGCAAACAACCGTAGTAACTTCCCAGAGGTCTTGCCATCTTGCTTGGATTTTGTATGTGTATCAACAGCGGATTTCTCATATGCTGCCATTCGTTTGCCGGTCAGATAAGATACTTCAAAAACGTACACAGGGATACCACGTCGGTCGCGTCGCCCTGTCCACTGTGGGTACTATATTTCAATGGTTAGTATGGATGCGACTGAATGTAGAGAGGGGACTTTACAAGTCTGCGCGTCTCTTCATAATGTTCTAAATCGATAGTCTCGTACAATTGATCCAACTCATTATCTTCCCGCCATTGCTCAGTGTCGGAAAACTGTTTAAAAGCATCTGCTACAATAAACCGACGCGCCCGAAGAAATCGTCTAGTGAGTTGTTAGAGCGGCTGTGGAAAATATGGAAACAAAACGGAAACGTACAGAAGTGTAGCATCTTCGTGTGATGCTGGTTGATCAATTCCATTTCCAGGCTTGTACAAACCCTTCTCTGTACATAATACTTTGAAGTTGTTTAAAGCAGCTTCTTCCTCTGTTGTAAGATGGCCAAGATGACCCTGGGGAAATCCATACTCTACTACCGCTGATTGCACTCTATGGGCAGGACCCGAAGACATGATTATGGGATATTCAAGAAAAGCCAAAAAATAGAGAAGAAGAATAATGTAAATGCAAAAACAGTAAGCAGCAAAAGTTATATAATATATTTTGATTAACAGCTCAGTGTCTGGACTTCGGCTTTTTCAGCGGGTCCGTCGGAAGCCCTCGTCATACAACTTTTTGATGACAACTTTTGTTGGTAAGTTTGTTGGTAATAGTCGCGGATAACCAAATTGACCTCTATTACTAATGCAAGCAAGTCTAAGAACTGGACAAGAAAAGGATATTTTATGAAATAAGAACCGTACCGCTACAAAATATAATATGCTGTTGATAGAGTCATCTAGAAAAGGAAGAAAAGCTTGAGGATTTCCTGGGATTTCGGCATTATCCTTCCATGTCATCCATCATATGGAAAGGCGATAAGAGTAGGGAAAGCCGAGCATCCGGACGAAAATGAGTTAGGTTGGTCGGTCTGTCGGTGTTAGGAGTCCTAACCTTCCTCAGTCATACGGAGTGTGTTTTTGGTGATAGCAAGGTTAACACCGAGAGAAAAGAAGGAGAAAAGTCTTAGCCAGCGGATCTCCGGATTGGAATTTGAACTTTGTTTATTGAATTTGGGATCCAAGAAAGTGATTATGTACAGACAATGGACCTTGAAGCTATTATCGGGGAATATTCCGAGGATCATTTCTGATGGTAGAATTTGATCCTGTCCTGAACTTACAGGAGACCTCAACATTTGGATTTATCAGCATTCTCACCCATCCGTGGTGAGCACCCAGTAAGATGTAAGACAAGATGAAAGAGCTTCATGAAAGAAGATTGGCTTTCAATCCCAACATCAGGGGCATATCTCTTGTATTTATAATTTTCTAATAGCTGACGCAGCGTCCTGACATATGATAATGGAAAAAGCATTGAACATGCAATCCCATGCCATGCCATTGCCATGCATGCATTCGCGTCCCCTCCAAAATCTGCGGATAACACGCGAATAACCCCGCCAAATCAAGGTAACCTCGAAACCTTCTATCACCACTAGACTCTCACCCCACTTCATATTATTGTACATTGCGCAACTTACTCTTAAAGAAGACTTCCTCTTCTTAATCCTATCTTCGATGTTCTCTCGTTTCTCACAATTAGCAAGACATCTATCTCGTCCCTTGCCAAATTACGCTCATAAATCTGCTGCCGTTTCTACCTTTTCGAATAAAGTCATGACATCATCATCTGCGGACGAGCGTAACTCGAGAACAATTCATACAGCGGCATGTTTGATAATTGGTGATGAAGTACTTGGGGGAAAGGTCAGTTATTCAATGATGTATGCAGTTGAAGCTTGTGAAAGGAATAATGGCTAATTTGTCGTGTTGTGCAGACTGTCGATGTAGGTTCGAAAATATATGCGAGTGGAAATTTCAATGTTGACGGCAATGGCAGACAAACTCGGCATTTTTGGCAAAATTCTGCTTCAAGCATGGAATAGTAGGATATCCAAGACAAACTGAGGGACGATTCCTGATTTTGACTTTCAAATAGAACCTAAAGCGTGTCGAAGTTATTGCAGATGATGAGGATGAAATTATTGAAGCCGTTAGACGCATGTCCAACAACTATGATTTTGTAGTCACATCTGGTGGAATTGGTCCAACGTATGTGTCGAATCCCAAGACATACCCCGGCTAACAGGATCAGGCACGATGACATTACCTATCAATCCATTGGAAAAGCATTTGGACTGAAGTTGAAGCTGCATCAAGAAGCTTATGAAAGAATGCAGAGGTTATCCAAACCCCACCCATCTCAACCAAACTTCAACTGGGATGAAGATTCCCCGGCGAAAAAAGCCAAGCTTCGAATGGTTGAATTACCATTAGATGAATCTCGAGATTTATCAAAGCAAGTTATATTCCCATGTGAAGATCTTTGGGTTCCAGCCGCTTGTATCAATGGCAATATACATATCTTACCAGGTGTTCCGAGACTGTTCGAGAGGTTATTAGAGGGGTTAAAACCATATCTACTCCCTCGGTTGACAGATCCTGAAGACAAAGGGATTTGTAGAATTATGATTTCTACTCCCATGGCAGAGAGTGCTGTAGCACCATATCTTACAGAACTAGCTGCTAAAGTAGAATCAAAGGGTGTCAAGGTTGGAAGTTATCCAAGGTGGGGAAAGGCACACAATACTGTTACTTTGGTTGGAAGGTAAATAACACTCACGAGCTTCAATGGCCATCATTGACAATGAGATAGGGACCAGGAATACTTGGAGAGCTTAATTCCCGAAGTGACAAAGAACGTTGATGGTCATCGAGTTTTGACAGAAGCAGAAGATGATATCGAAGGCGAACATAAAGAGTACGATATCTCTCAAGTTTTTCCCATCCTCTTAACATTTCCTAACAACTCTCCAGAACATCTCAATAAGAAGGATATATTTTGTCCATTCAAATTCCTCCTCCCCTCATCTGTCAAAGATTTCCACCAAAGTCCTTTGGGGTAAGGTAACCGACCGATACGATACAAGCGCTGTCAAAAAAAAGTTCAAAAGATTACATTGACACCGTTAAGATTTCAACCCCTGAGCTCGGAACCAACAAAAAATGTAAAGTAAATAGTTTAAACTCCCAGCCAACCGTGCATCTATCTCATTTTCGGGTCGAAATTCAGGGGAAGGAAATAACGGCTTCCCTTTGATGACTTTTTTTTTTACCTTTTACTCCTATCAGAGATAGTAATAAAAGCCCGTTTTTAATCTCTCGAGACCTAAATTATAGTGAATCATTTTGCGAATATCTCATCTCATCTCATCTCATCTCAGTGTCTTTGAAATTATTAATGGATGCATATACATTGCATGTATATGGTATGTCAATTAATCGATTGTGTATTTCTTAAGGTGTAATTATGAGCTGAATGCTTTTGGATAATTTGGGGATTTTTTTCGGGCGTGTTCGAGTTTTGAGTTCACTGGGTGGGCATTTATAGGTGTGAGTTGATTATTTAGGTAGGTAAGTAGGTAAGTAGGTCTCTGTAGGTTGTATATATTGTGAATTTGGATTTTGAATTTGTGATAACCTATGATTGATTACCTATGAAGTGATGAACTGGTGAACTGGTGAACGGATGTGATAGTCGATTGTTATTCTTGATGTTCTGATTGATTGATTGATTGATTGATTACTTGGTATTGATTGTGGATGTATAGACAGATGTGTTATTTATAGTCTTTGATAGGTGTTTTTTCATATATATATATATAACTAGGTAGGTAGGTAGGTAGTAGGTAGGATTGTTTCTTATGCGTGTGATGATTGGTGATTGATGGTTGGTGGTTGGTAATTGAGTATAAATGTATGGTTAGGATTTGTGGTTCTGATGTTCTGATGCTCTGATTGATTGTAAACATATGATTGTGATTGTGATAGTGATAGTGATAGTGATTGTGATAGTGACGGTGATGGAAATTCGGAGATTAATTCCTTCTAGAAGGTGAAGATGGAGATGAAGATGGAGAGGATGGTGGTTTTGTGGTTGGAAATTGAAATGAGATTGTAGATTTGAGGTCATGGGGCTTTATTTACTGGTGCCGTGCTTGATATGATATGATGTAGTGATGGCATTATATATGTATGTATGTATGTATATATATATATATACTTCGTAGTATAGTAGTGTCGTAATATAATATCAACATCGATATCTAAATACCTACCTCCCAAGAACCAAACAACCGAATGAATGAACCGAGCTGGTTTATAAATAGATACTTATAGTTATAGTATCATTCATTCATTTATTTATTCATTCATTCATTATAAAATATCTAGGTACTTCTAAGATTTGTAAGCAATATAACACCTCAAGTACCACTATACAGAAATGAGCATGTCTCAATTTTCAATCATCATTTTTTTCTTTATATTACTTTAATCATTTAATAGAGTGATTTATATATACTATTTGTTGAATGATGATTAATAATTAGGTTTTTGGAATGTTAATTGATTGTTCGATTAGCTAGTGGGTTTTAATGATAGCTTCGATGCTAGCTTCTAGAAGGAAATTTGGTGGTTTGATGTGTGGATGGAATTATGGATGTATGATATGATACTCGAGTGTGTGATGATATGATGTGATATGAGATGGGCTAGATGGGTATCTAAATGTACGGAGTGTTGTATATGTTTATATTGCGATTGGATGATGAGAGACTTGGTGCTTGTGGAAATATTTATGATTGATAGGTGGTATGTGTGTGATTGGGAGGAAGGAGGAAAGGTGTGTTTGCACACAGAATAATACTCCACAATGGCACGGTAACGATGATGTTGCCAGCTAGCTACCTATCTAGCTAGCTACGTAGGTATCTATCTCCAGCACGCAAACGCACGCAAACAAAATAAGACTTACTTACTCCGTACATTTGCCACGGGGCGCTCAGATGGAATTACATCTTAAAAGTCCCACGTTGCGGCGTAGGTCTCACCTTATCCTTAAAAGACTCCTCGCTCACGGGTGGGTGACATTACGTGCGTATGTATGTACGGGAGGACAAGTTCAAGACGTGCTAATTGTGGTGCGTCTTGAGTTTCTTACCTCGTGGGATTTCAGCCACCGACCGACCGACCGACCGCCTTTTGCGCTGACCTGACCTGACCGGGTCTGGATGGGGTTGTGTTAGGTAAGCGTTGGTGGTGTTGCATGTGGTGCTATGATGGTGCGTTCTTACACCGTGTGTGAATAGGGAATGGTTTGGATTTTGGCTTGTGGGATTTTGGGGTTGTAAATTGGTGATGGTGATGGTGATGGTGATGGTGATGGATGGTGATGTCAGATGTTGGTAAATTTGATGTTGTGGAGTGGGTTAGTTGGATGTAAGGTGGTGCTTTGAATCCGATGAAGATGACAGTGATGATGGTTATAACTTTATATATATTATTTCGTTGAAAGGGTTGTGTGATGTAACTGAAGCGTATTTGTCTTTCAGGAGTCATTGAATATCTGGTGTATCAAGTTATCAACGAATAAAGTATGAGTATATTCATCCACGGCGTGGATGACAACAACGTTGTAATAAGCCATAAAGTACAACGACCGAGTAAATAGTAAATACATTTCTGACTCCCAAATTGGATTATTCGGATCAAATCATCCAATATCCATATCATCAGCAGCCAGCTATATCCAAAAATCTCCACTTTCAGAGTAACCGGTAAGCATTCTCCCTTGATGAACCGGTGCTCTTCACCCCCATTGGCGATTTCGGTTATGCACCTCGATGGATGTTCTTTTCCCTTTGCAACTTCCCGGCCCCAGTTATACTTTTATCTTACCAGCTCTCATATCGAATAGTTGGAGCCTTTCTCCATGGTGGCCATTAGGGTTAGCCTCTTAGCATTTGTGAGGTCTGTTCACCGTGTCTCCATTCTTACCACTTTTACTCCGTACTCTGTCCTCCTGGCTCAAGCTGGCTGGCCCTGGTTTGAAGGGCTTCCCGCGTTAAACCTTCTCTGGAGAATAATCATCTGCATCTATCTACTGCCTGCGTTAAGCTTGTAACCTGACTGAACTTGAACCTGCATTATCACTTTGAAGTTTGTGCCTTTTTACAGCTTCACTTTGACTTCACTTCCCTTTCTGATCAATACATCGTCCATATACTAACTATACTACATACCCACCCATACAATACATACCCTATACCCTCTCTTATACCCTTACCTATCTTTAAATTATAATCACCGAGTCTACAATCTCACCCCTACCTCTTTCTATCCTATCCTCTATCCGGTTCTGCAACGGAAATAACATCTGGAATCTTTCACAATTATTCTATTGTTATTTGTTCAATTCATCCCAAGTGAGAGGGCTCAGCTCAATAGTAGGATGGTAGAAGAGTAGAATTCTATCTATCAAACTCCTACACGGCTCAAATCATTTCACTCCTTACCCACATCTACATTTATTTACTTGACCATCAAATTATCATACCCGTGAGAAAAGGAAGCAAAAAAAGCTCGATCCTCTTCTGTGCACAAATCTTCAGCAGAATTATTTCTTCTCCATTCATTAAGAGAGTCAGAAGAAAGGATCAAGATTTCTGTGTCCGAGCGATCATCTCACCTCATCTAAACCTTCACATCTACTCTAATATACATCTAACATACAACAACATTCTTTTTCGTATACCATAATATCCGTGTCTTATCGAAAAGACACTATCATTTCACTCATCAGCTCTGTAACTCACTGAAATTCAGACGGGTCTGATCTGAAGAAGTGGAAAGGAGTTAACATTGAATTGAATTGAATTGAATTGAGTGAAGAGAAGAGAAGAGAGAGAGAGAGAGAGGGAAAGTTAGAGATAAGGGAAAAAAGAGGATAAAGAGAGAAACGAAATTTGACAATTAAGGAGAAGAAAGGAAGAGAAATTATTTCCAATTTATTCACTCCCACTCCCACTTCCCCGAATTCGCCTGTACTTCTTTTCACCTGTTACCAAATTCCAATAACGGGCTTGTACAATTTCTTCGTTCCATTATCTTCCGTTCCGTCGTCGGTTTAATTATCTTTTTTTATCAATTTCTCCAAATTCAGCAAAACATCAATTGTTGTTTCATCGTTTCATCTTTCAACCTTTAACCTTTTCCACCTTTCCACCTTGCGATCTTTTCAACCTTTCAACCTTTCAACCTTTCAACCTTTAACCTTCCAACCTTTTCATCTACGATATCAATTCCGCAATAAAAAAAGGATACAGTTATTAATAAAAATAACCTCTGATAATCGATAATCGATAATCGATACCTTTACAAACCAAACAACGAACAACGATTAATTCTTGGGTTACGTTTCTTACCTAAGATTCACCATCCTCCTTTTTACAAACGAAACCCATTTCATTATCGAACCATCAACTTCTCGATTTCTTTCGAAACTCTTATCAACCTTCCCTTACCTCCAAAACACTCAACCATCTTCTTACAGGGACGTCACCTTGTCGCGCAATCTATATTTCCATACCTAACCTTTTACTTTCCCTTTCGACTTCGATAAGCATTCGAAGCTTTTCTTTTAAGGGGGCTTAACTTGAGGGTTAACGACATAAATTCCATATTAATCATTAAAGATGGCTTCAAAGGTAAGCATCCATCATCTCTCTCTCATTGCCTATCATCTACAACAACAGCTTCATGATTCTAGAATCAATTGACTAACTTGCGCTTCTTTGTATAGTTTTTGAGAGAATATAAGCTGGTGGTAGTAGGTGGCGGAGGCGTTGGAAAATCTTGTTTGACGATTCAATTGATTCAAAGTCACTTCGTTGATGAATATGATCCTACCATTGAAGGTAAGCTTTCCATTTCTTCATCAGTCATCTCTGATCTTATCGTCGCGTGGCTTGACTAACATGTTCTTCTTTCCCCCAATTCAGATTCCTATCGTAAGCAATGTGTTATCGATGAAGAAGTCGCTTTACTGGATGTACTCGATACTGCTGGACAAGAAGAATACTCTGCCATGAGAGAACAATATATGCGCACGGGAGAAGGTTTCTTATTGGTTTACAGTATTACCAGCAGACAAAGTTTCGAGGAAATCATGACGTTTCAACAACAAATTTTGAGGGTTAAGGATAAGGATTATTTCCCCATTATCGTTGTCGGTAACAAATGTGATTTGGAAGGCGAAAGACAAGTTTCAAAACAAGGTATGTTCATTTCATTCATCAAACGGAGAAAGATATTTTGGGATCCGATGTCGCTCGTCACAGCATGAAGAATAAAGAACTCAAACTAATCAATTCATGGAACAGAGGGTCAACAATTAGCAGATGATTTCGGATGCAAATTCATCGAGACATCGGCGAAATCAAGAATCAATGTCGATAATGCTTTCTATGATATCGTCCGCGAAATCAGACGTTACAATAAGGAAATGGCCGGTTACACAGCCGGTGGTGCTAGCGGTGCGAATAGCGGTGGTCCACAAGGAAAGATGGAAGTAAGTGAGGGTGAGAAGGAGAGTGGATGTTGTTGTATTCTCATGTAAGGGATCACTTGCGATGGTCAGGCTGGAAGAGGCTTTATAGATACAGGTTGGGTGGAAGTTGGGCGTATATTATGGTATTTGGGGACGAGATATTTTCATATTTGCGAAGGGAAGATACCAAAGAAATTTCTAAAAGGGGATGGATGGCTGGATGGACGGACCGACGTACGTTCTAGTGGATCTTTGAGGATACAATGGATATTGATGGGATGGCATGGATGGGTTTTCACAAATAAGATGATAGTAATTTTGGGGCGTATCTGCTGCTGCTAAACATATCGGCTGAGCGCTGGGGTGGCTCTTCGTTTGTATACGAAGGTTGAGGAAGGGTGGATAGATTGATGACGATTGTGGAGGTATGCGTGGGTGGAGAATTTTGTGCTTGAAGTTTGAATGGCATGAGAAAATGGTGAAAGATGCGAGGTGAAAGGGAAGGAGTGAGGAGTGGTGAAGAAGAGAGATATTCTAAGTTCGGCCTTTTTTTTTTTTCATAATGATACTCCTTTTTAAATGTTACGGGGGAGTTTTGTGTGTTTGTGTATGTCTATGTAAATATATTGGGACAGTGAGTGGTGAGAGAAAAATTCTATGATTTTCTCAATTATTTACTGTAATGTTCTTGATGGAGGAGGGATCTAATAAAGGTGCGAGGTAACCTTATGAGCAGCTGATTGCTGATTTTGTAGATGAGAGCTTTTGCGCGCAAAGAAAGCTTTGATCACTGTGATTGGATGTCTTTCTTTCTTGCATTTCATTTCAGTTCTTCAAATCACATCCATTACACGAACCACCAACCACTGCATTTTATATACTTTATTCATAAATCATTCAAATTCTTGCTGATTTTGACTTCTCATTCCAGTCAAACTCCAAATCAGTTATACAGATCTTATCTAAGCATATACAACGTCTTTACATGACGAACATGCCCACATCTCCGTCCTGACACCAAGATCTTTCCTATCACATCCATTACACTTCAAAATATCCCTTCTCGCCATCCAATTCTTCACAGCAAGAGCTCTTTCCATTACTTCGCCCATAGCATCATCACGATGAATATTGCATAACCATGACTTTCTCAATTGGGATGTGCAAGTACAATATCCTTTCCTGAACGACGTAGTTTGTCTTGCATTCCATGTTCGTGGTTTTTGTTCTGATACACATTCGTCGCAGTAATATAACTTGGTATATTCAATGAGGGTTTGCTGTGCATCAGCAACTCGAACATTTTGATCTGTGTGGCAAGGTACACAAGTATGCCAATCACCACCTTCGATACCATGTTGAAGGTAATCGCAATGCTTTGCTGGAGCTTTGAAGCAGATATCGATTCCAATTAATTCATCGCAATTTTTGTTCTTGAGGATGCCTTTCAGATTTTGTTTCCATTGTCGTCTGTATTCTGATAGAGGTTTTCCCTTAAGTGATGGGTCTGGATCTGTATCGTCGCGCCTTAGTGAGGCCATTACCCCTCGTCCGGGTCGTCGTTGTTCTACACCTGTCAGAACACCTTCTAGACCTTCATCTGGGTAATCTGGCCTTTCAACACTATTTTGAGGTTCTGCTTCGGGAGGGAGATCAAGATCCATTGCTTCTCCTCCAAAGGTCATGGCCCCATAATGTGCCACATCGCCAAATGGTTCAGCTAAGAATTCAGGGGCCTCAGGTGCAAGACTGTTAAAAGACGCGTCGGGTTCCACAACTGTCGCCACACGATTATATGACGGACCGTTCGGATCTGGTTGATGTGGCTGCAAAGCTGGATGATCATTTGTGGCATGCTCCAAGAAAAATCTGGTTTGATTCCCAGTCTCCATTGATTCCATTATCATCTGTGAGCTGTAATTCATCATCGGGCCGAGATCCATATTTTGAACCGCCGCATCTGCTTCTCCAGGTGTCGCAGCCAACATCTCCCATCCAGGACTAACTTCATCATTCAAGCCCGTTTCATAATCTGCTCGATAATCACGTTGCTTATATTTGGAAAAACGAGAAACCTTGCTGCACATATCTACTGTACCATTGATTCTGCATGTTCCACATGGTTGTTCGCCATCGCAAGGCCTTGACTGATCTCTACAAGGCTCACATTGTTTATTGGGTAGACTATCTACACCAGGGCTTGCGCTTCTACGCCTTTGTCTCGGAGGATTTCTTCTTGGTCCTTGGTTGAACATAGCTCTTTTCTTCCTGGATAGACTTGCTTTTTCTTGTGCAGTAATTGGTTCATCATCTTCATCATCATCGTCTTCATCTTCCTCGTCGGTATCATTATTAGGAGCTGACGCCTTTGATTGCGATTTCCAGACATGTTTTGTCGACTTTGCATCTTCAAGATCTCGAGTAACCTCACAAACTATCCCACGTGCTCTACACCGATCGCAAGGTCGAGGAGATCCTGTAACTAAAGTACATGGCTTTCTCATATGCTTACAATATAAGCAACGCTTTGCTTTAGGTCCAGTAGCCCCGCTCAAAGGTCCTCTAATTCTGGACGGCATTGCAGGAAGATCCTCATCACTACTGTCCTCTGGGAGTTCAGGTGTTGTAGGTCTTGGTAAATTATCCCTTTCTGCAATACGTCTAGCGATTAACAAAGCAGTTTTTCGACTTTTTGCATTCTCAAATTGCCTAGCGGCTTTCTCGGCTCGATATTGTGTTGCATATTCTGGATCAAAATTTTTATGTGTATGATCCATTTTATTCTTATGGACTTCTTTATCTTTTTCCCATTGTACTTTTACTTTTCGTCTAGCTGCCAGTCTAGCTTTAAACTGTTCCGGTGTATCACCTGCTAGTTTTGCTGTGGTAGGAAAAGAATATGGTCGGGCTCGAATCTCACTTGCCAATATCCCAATGCATTCCCTCGAAGTTACTACTCGGGCTCTCCAAGCGGTCATTGATTCACCCGGCTTTCTTGGTCCTTCGTCAATAGCTTCAAGATTTGAAGCTATTGATGTTACATACTGGGAAAATTCACCAGTTTCAAGTTGTTCAATAATGTTGGGATCAAATCCTCCTTCATCACCTTGAGCAAATCCTCGTGTATCTTTCCAATTAAGTGGTCCTGGTGGACGAATAAGATTTTGCTCTTCCCATACAGTACGTCCAAGAAGTCCACCCGGTTGTGGATAATATAGTTGTTGATACGTTGGCCCGCCTGGAGCTCGAGGTATGTGTAAACCTCGATATGCATATTCTACATGTTCTAGATTCTTTTGTGGCTGATTATACTGTTGTGGTTGGTTATACTGTTGTGGTTGGTTATATTGTTTGGCTTGGTACTGTTGTGGTTGGTTATACTGTTGTGGTTGGTTATATTGTTGGGCTTGGTACTGTTGTGGTTGATTATATTGCTGTGGTTGCCATCGTTCGCGTTCGCGAAGTGGCGCATACATATCCTCAGCCCTGAGTACTTGAGCCCCATACATACCTCCAGCAGCAGGTTCTCGCCTTAGACCATGCATACCAATAGAAGTAGCAGGTGGTTGCGGTCGCATATAAACATCACTAGTAGATCCACGAGTTCGACTAGGTAAAACCCATTCGCTTGGTCTACCCCTCTGTTCTTGAACAGTAGGTGGATTTCCCCCTCTCCAATCCCAAGCTTCACTCTCAAATTGTTGTCCCAATGGTATTGCCGTCGATTGAGGTCCCTGTCGATGAATTGCTCGTTCAGGTGCATTCTGTGTCTGCACCTCAGGCGCGAACGCACCAATCCCTCCAAAAATATCCCATTGATCAATATCTGCCTCCACCACCATATCCTGATCAGGTATATTCACGTAAGGACTTACGTAAGGACCCTCATTAAGTTGATCAAAATTACCAGCTCCAGGATCCCATAAAGCAGTCGTATTAGTATTATCATCCTGAGACCAAGGCGGTTGCCCTCCATCCCATCCTAGGAATGGATTGAACATGGGTCCGGGCCTTTCAGCCCGATAATTGGTTTCTTGTTGTGGAGGGGGGGGGATGATTTCCGCTGCACTAAATTCACCCAGGGGTCTTTGGGTAGCTGGATCGGCTGGTGGGACAATTCCCCGCCGATTCCGAGCTAGACCCAGCTGAGCGGGGTCCCAAGACATTGTGGTGGTAGGGTTGGTGTTTAGGCGAGTTTTGAGGGGTTATTTGGATTTGAATGGATGAACTGATGAATTGATGAGGTAATGATAGTTTGATTGGTCGTGTGAATGGAGGAAATTGTTTATTTCGCGCGAGACGTATGTGCTTGCTTGATTTTACTCTTGAACATGCGCTGAGCCCACTTACTTGTAAGAAGGGAAGGAAATTTGTACATTTTTACGGTGTGGTGATTAAGTGCGCGGGTTATAAGATTGGGGGGTTTCTTTGTGAGGGGATGGAAAGGATGGGGATTGGGACTGGGGGAGAAGGAGGGGGGCATTGTTTTTCTTTCATTTTTCCTTTCTTTCTTTTGAGTGAAAGAGTAGATGAGTGGAAGTTGAATGAAAGTTGGATGAATGAATGGAGAGAAATATCGAGGGGATCTCCAGGGAATGCATTGAGAGTTTGAAAATAGCAGGATTGAGTATTGAGCATTGGTGTTTAGGGTTTAGGAGGAGAATAAAGAATAAAGGATAAAGGATAAAGGATAAAGGATATTTTGTGGGGTGTTGGTGGTGAGTGGTGAATAGTGAGTGGTGGGTGGTGAATGGGGATAATGAAAGGGAATGGAGATGAGAATGGTGAAGGGGATTAGAATAGGTGAGGTGAAAGATGAGAATAGGTGAGGGTGAAAGGAGATGGAAAATTTCTTTGTTTGGTGGGTGGGTGGGTGTTGGGGTGGCTGTTTGCGGTTTTGGGGGTGTGAGGGCGACTGAGTGTGGTGGGATAGATGGGATACATGGGGTTTATTTAAATGAGAGAGTTGCGGGAGGGTATGGGTTTGGATATGTGAGGGGTTGTTTGGAGTGATGAGTTGAAGTGGTAATTGGTAAGCGTGTGAAGGAGTTGTTTTTCTTTAATGATGAGATTCAGAGTAGAAGAGAACTTTGAATTTGAATCTAAATCTAAATATAAATATAAATAAATCGGATTTAGCGGGAGTTATTAGTATGAAGATGGTCTGCCCTATAAGTCTAGTACTCTACTTTCGGGCCACCCTCAATTTGAGCCACCCTTTATATCAAAACTCGTGATTTCCATCTATTAATATTTTAACAATTAATAAATCAAATCATAGAAATAATAATTAATAATTAATAATTAATTTTGAAAATTTCAGATTTTTCACAATTTTACTAATTGATATATTATTAAAATATTAATTATATAAATCATTAATATTGATATTAATAATTTAATAAAATAAATCATTATTAGCTTATTGATATTATATATAATCTTACTGTACACAAGGTTTACCTGATAAATAATAAAAAATGAAAAACTCATTTAAATGAATCACGATCCTGATAATCTGATTGATTTAAAACACCCTAGTAAATAATCAAACAAAAAACTTGATATAAACTTTATAATCTCAAATAAATCTAACTTGAAGCTTTTTTCAATTCAACTTTATTGGAATTATTTAACTTTATTGAATCATTCAATTCTATTGAGTTATTCAACTCTAGTGGAATCATTCAATTCTATTAAGTTATTCAACTTTATTGAAATCATTTAACTCTAGTGGAATCATTCAACTTTATTAAAACCATTTAACTCTACTGAAATTATTCAACTCAATTTACAATTCAATTAAAATCATTTAATTTTATTAAAATTATTCAACTTTATTGAATTATTTAATTCTATTGAATTATTTAATTTTATTAAAATCATTCAATTCAATTTATAATTTAATTGAAATCATTTAATTCAATATTATTAAAATCATTCAATTCAACTTCATTTATTCAATTTAATTTATTCAATTTCTTATAATAATAATAATAAGAATAGTAATAATAATAATAATAATAATAATAATAATAATAATAATAATAATAATAATATATTATCAGAGGCCTACGCCCCCGGACCCTAGCTTTCGAGAAAGTCTAGTAAAATTTAAATATTGAATATATATATTAGAGTGTAAATAGAATATCAGTTTGTTTTTGATAATTTAATATTATTATTATAAGAAATTAAATAAATTAAATTGAATAATTTCAATAGAATTGAATGATTTCAATAAAGTTGAATGATTCTAGTAAAGTTAAATGATTTAATAAAGTTAAATGATTCAATAGAGTTGAATGATTCTAATAAAGTTGAATGATTCAATAGAGTTGAATGATTTCAATTGAGTTGAATTAAAAAAAGCTTTAAGTTGGATTTATTTGAGATTGTAAGATTTATATTAAACTTTTTGTTCGATTATTTATCAAGATATTTTAGATTGATTAGATTATTAAGATTGTGATTTATTTTAATAAATTTATTATTTTTTATTATTTATTAAATAAATCTTATATATAATAAAGTTATAATATTTATAAATTTATTTTATAATTATTAATAGATTTTGAAAATTTTAGATTTTTTATAATTAATTTTATAAGATCTGAAAGATTAAAGTTTTGAATTTTTAATTTATATAAAATTTATTATCAGTTTATCAATATTATAACTTTATTATACATAAAGTTTACCTGGTGTAAATTGTAGAAAATAAAATTCATTTAAAGTTATAATATAATTAATCGAGAAATGAGTCGCGATCTTGATAATCTGATTGGTATAAAATACCCCAGTAAAAAATCTAACAAAAAGCTTAATATAAACTTTATAATCTTAAACAAATCTAATTTAAAGCTTTTTTCAATTTAATTTAATTGAAATCATTTAACTCTATTGAATCATTTAACTCTATCAGAATTATTCAACTTTATTAAAATCATTTAACTTTATTGAATCATTCAATTCTATTCGAATCATTTAACTTTATTAGAATTGTCACAGACCTTGTATAAAGAACGATCACGTGATTCTAATTGATCGACAATTCCTATCGGTGAGCTGGTAGTCTATGTATATCTTGTCAAATTTACCTTTTTTAATATAGTATTATAATTATCTTAAAATAGATTGTATACAATTATACAATTATTGTATAAGTATTTTGTATATATATATAAATGCTCTCTACAAACTATAATTTTCAATTATAAATTCTAAAGAATATAATTGATCTTGTTTATTTAACTTTTATAAGATTTTTGTATATTACAATAATTATTTATAAACAAATATAATAAAAATATTATATATTGTATTTATATCATTAAAGTAATATCAATAATTATAAATAAAAATTTTATATTTATAATATCAATATATAATTAATAAAACTTTATAAATTCTTTTATTAATATTAATAAATTAGATCATATTTGATTTGAAGTTATTTTTTGATTATTTTTATAAAAATAAAAAAATTAATTTAAAAAAAATAATAAAAAACTTTGAGATTATTTTAATATTAATTAATTTTTTATTATATATAACTTTTACATTAATAATCTAAAATTTATTTTAAAATTACAAATTTTAATTTAATCTTTGAAATTTTAGTTGGTTTATTTTTATTATAGTATACTTTATATTTAAAAGATATTATTAACTTGAGGAGAGAAACCCCGCATCTTGAATAAAAAGTCAAATATCTTTTAAATATTTAGGAAACTAATAATAAATATAACGCTCCGCTGGCCCTCCGGGGGCCACTGCTGTGAAGGCCGACTATCTAATTATGTATATCGAAAACAAATCTTCGAGTGTAGCGAGCTAAAGGGAGTTTGAGGGCTTGCCTCAAGATATCAACTCTTTTTTGATAGGATAAGATAAAATATCAGAATATACTCAGGAAAAATACAATTTTTAATAGGAAATCTTACAGTTCATCTATATGCAAAAGAAAGGGCAGAAAGTTCGTCAAAAAAAGAATGCAACCCTGATATCCTAGCTTCAAACTAGGTATGGAAGGACAGAAAGTTCTAACAGAACCTTCTAATAGGAATCGAACCAATATCTCCAGAATCAAAATCTAGTGTGCTAACCATTACACCATAGAAGGATTTTTGCGATTGTTATGTTTTAGCACGTTGTTTATACTTATATTGGCGTAGAAGTGGGACGAGAAGAATTTTCAAAGAAATCTTTTTTTTGGTGGGTCGCGGGGGGCGGAAGCGAGTCATGGAACCGTTCAGTCTCACACCACACCCTTGCTAAAAATCTTCAGGACACTTATATTTCATTTCAAGGCTCTAGAAGTACTAAAATTAATGTGTTAAAGGTTGTAGTTATCGGTATTAAATTTGTTGTCGAAAAATCGAGTAGTCTCGGTTAAAAAATGAGGTGTATTAGAAAGCGACACCTTTGGGTGGCACTCAAGGTCTAATTTGACTTCCATATAAGCTACTCTCAGGTAATTCCCTTGTTTCTTATGTATCTTCTTCGTTATTGAAATTGGGCTATTTTGATTTTTCTTGCCTGTCAATTATTTGTTCGAATGAATGTAGGACTTCTTAGGACACTGAGGACAGCACCGAGCATTTACACGAACCAGTTGCGAAGGTCAATGGCCACCAATGAGGGTTGATAAATTGTTTCGATAGCAAGAAGATTCGAAAGTTTCATTCTCAGCGCATCTGTAATGTTGCTACCGGCTTCCGTGATTGATGTGAGTGCAAGCAAGGGTTCGTGAGCTGGTCGAATTAGAGGGGTTATGGACCTTGGACGAATCTGATCACATGCCAACATCCACCTATAAAACCAACACAGCGAGGATGCTGAGATGATTTTTCAGCAAGCCATGACAGTTCCTGTGTTACCTGACAGTATAAGGGCGTGGAACAAGTGGCAATCCTCCGAGTGCGGATATCGAGGTGTAAGTATGTCGCTGTCATGAATCCATTTATTCAGCCTCAGTTGAGTTACTTCGGAAAAATTCAGTACTAAACCATGAGATGTCCCCCCAGTCTCATGAAGCTAAGATTTTCACCTGTAAATAGGGTTGATCGATTTATTTCTCATTTCACAAGTAAAGCTTTGGAATGCTTGAGAACACAGTCGCTGTATTCCGTACGGATCTCACCGTGCTCATCTCTATCCGATAAGACAATTTGTGTCAATACACCAAAAAGATTCGATTATCAAATCTATATCGAAACATTGAAGGGTATGAATGATGAGATTTATTGAGTATATATATTTCTTTTAAGACAAATAAAAAGCGAATAATATAAAAAGATCCTACTACGCCACCCATCCTAGCCTTCCTTCATCATGAAATCAGTACAATCTCCTAGTATCCATACATCTAAATCTGTCTCTCGCTTTAGCACCAAGTCTTTCCTTCCCTGTATTACTCTTCAATTCAAGCACCAGTCCTCACAAGCCTCTTAGCTCCACATCCCAACATTCCACCTTCATCTCAACAACCCCCTTCAGATACTAACCCAGTAAGGAAGAAGCAACAAATTGCACATCATCTCTGAATAAAAGCCGGGCTCGTCACCGGCACTCAAAAATTTTAAACCATGTTGCTTATTAAATCAATATCTCCTCAGATACTACCCACGCAGGAACGAGCAGAGGTAATTGAACCTATATATATGGCCGCTAATTCAAGCGGCAAATCAAGAATGTCCTCGTCATCCTAATTGCTAAATGTCATATCCTCTTCACTCTTCCGGATAATCCTATAGGGAGATCGAATAAAGGAGCGTTCAGAGACAACCGACACTCGATCTATACGCGAGAGGAATTGATAATCTATATGCAGATGCGGACAGGATGTCAATTTCAGCTCCATTGGATATATTTGAGCTCCCGAGATGGAAATTGATATAAACGATAGTAGCTCAATAAGTCGAATATTCACGATGCTATTTCTTAGCTCGTTGGTTCTACCACATTTGAATGCTGGATTCTTTGCAGGTATTTTGATTGACCAAAATTTTGAAAGAGGCTTTTGCAATTTAGGAGTTAGAAATTACCACTTTCTATACGAATATTTCCGTCAAATCTTTTACTGAAGCGATGTTTCGTCTTTCTTCGGTACAAGGGTCTTCAAAATCATTGAGTAGTGAATCTAGATTGCAAGCTATTAATGATAGCTTAGTCGAATACAAAACCGTACTGGATGGTATCGCTCAACAGATCATAAGACGGAATCAACTGATACAAACGTCTTAAATGCTGCTTCTTCAAAACAGAAAGTACCTTTTCTCACCGGCTCCACTGGTGCAGTAGGCTCATATATCCTAAAACCTCTTCTGACATTGAGCAATGTTTCACACATTATTGTCTCAACAGAACTGCCGGAAAAGAACCACAAATAAAACGAGTTAAGCTCATTGTCTACCTACCGAGTTCCCTCGAATTGCCTCAAATTTCTCCCCACTGATCTCTCACAACAATACCTAGGCCTTGAGCGCGAGATATCCACGAAGATTAAAGATCCTACAACACATGTTATCCACAATGCCTGGCCTGTAAAGTTTAACATTCCATTATCAACCTTTTATACTAATATCAAAGGTGTAATCAACTTGATTGATATGGCAGCTACTGCTCCTCACGCCTCATCACTAATGTTCCTCTCATCCCTAAGCTCCGTCGGCAATTTCAAAGGAAATGTATCCCAAATAATCATCGACGGCATTACATCCTCTCTTTCAATGGGATATTCAGAATCTAAATTCATCGCCGACGATCTTCTTGCGTAGGCTGCGGATGAATTTCCTCATGTACCTATTAGCATCGCTCGCATTGGATAAATAGCAAGTCCCGTTCGTACAAACGAAATGTGGAATAAACTGGAGGAATCCCCCATAGTTGTGTTTAGTTCTATTCATCTGGGTGTTATTCCCGAATCACTTGATTAAACAAATGCCTGATATACTTGTGGAGCTTAACTTCAACTCCAGAGGAGATCAAAATCAACACATTAACGGAGCAAAAGTATATCATCCCGTCAACCCCGTTCTCGCTTTGTGGAACTCACTTCTACCTAGTATCATTGACAGCGCAACCCACGGACAAAAGAACAAACTAGTTCCTGTACCTTTCGTAAAATAGATTAGACATATTCGAAAGAACACCGAGGATTTACATTCCAAGATTAATCTCGAGGAAATACTGGAAAAGAAACCAGGGATGAAGTTGTTATCCTTTATGAAGGGTTAGCGAAGTGAAGGGGCACGAGTATTTTGGAGAACAAGAAAACGGTATAAACAAATAAGAAGTTCCGTGGATTGCAAGGTATCAAGCAAGTGTGGGTTGAAAAGTGGGTGCAGGGTTTGCTTGAATGAATAGATAGACACGCTGGTCTTCTCTAAGGAGAAGAAAGAGGAATATCTTTGTAGATTGGATAGGTAGTCCAATGTCAGGTGGGAATCGATGCCATTGTCTAGTTCGCTGTATCAACATAATACAATCAAGAAGCATAATTAAGCGAGCCATTTCCAATGATAAATAATTAACCAAGGCCAGAATTGAGAACACAACCAACAATTCCTTGCTCTGTTTGTAGGAGTACTATATTTGAACTTCCCACATAAACTTGGGCATCGAATATTATTTTGAAAGTGAAAAGGAATTATATAACTAAGCTCCCGCTCATGTGATTGCTGAAGCATACTCAATAGCTGATTGGGCATGTATGTGAAATGAGTATGTTCTTGAGAGACTATTCGGATGCTGTAGACAGACTTCGTTCAAGCACCCACCGTGGCAAATGTAGTAATCTCGGAAGAATTGCCCTCTTTCGAGCTATTTGACCATCGTAACTAGTAAGTTATGGGCAGACAGAGATTCCTTGAAAATGCTGTGTAGGGAAAAGTGCATGCCAAAAGAACGCAACAATGGAAGAAAGTGAGCCAAAGTTTCTGAATCTCCAAACCAAAGGTTAGGATATCTATTGTACCTGCGCAATGAATTTCTACTCATCCTCTATTCTATCTACCGGTTGTATATTCTATGCACAAATGAAATATCTTAAATATTTTTTCTATGCATAGCACCACCAGCACCAGCCTATGAAGTATCAGCTTATGACTTTTTATGCAATACCGTGGCGGAAGCCTGCCAATATCCCTATTAGTTCTTGTTGGACCAAAAGAATCACAAAACATACCTGATGATTGGGGAAAATTAAAGTATCGGCAATAACCACATTCTCTCTTCTTCCAGCTGCAAAAACAATAACTTCTGCGATATCATCCGGAGTCAATGGTTCGCATCCAGCATAAACAGCATCTGCCTTCTTCTTATCGCCATAGAACCTGACGACACTGAATTCCGTCTCGACTTGCCCTGGATCGATCTCAATGACTCTTATTCTTGTAGCAATTAATTCCCTTCTAAGTGAGTCTCCAAAACTTCTAATGGCTGCTTTAGTAGCACAATAGATACTTCCTCCTGTGTATGGTTCTCTTCCTGCAATACTGCCAATGTTTATAATATCGCCCTTTCCACCATCGGGTCGTGCTTTGAAAATTGGAAGGATAGCTTGAGTCATATTGATGAGACCGGTTACATTTGTTGCGAACATTATGTTGACATCTTCTTCGGCGATAGATGGAGCTTGGGCTACGCCTTTGACTAAACCACTAAATTGAGATTTTTATTAGCAGATGTATTTTTTCTGTTGCAGAATCGCAACTGGGAAATATGTGCAGGCTATAACAATGATGAATCCTATAAGGAGCCCAAAATAGCCTCTGCAAATCAACAAGTTGAGAGTAATAACCATAGAGCTAGGGAATATTCTCAAAGCTTCCCTTCACATTGTCATAGTCATCCCATTACCTTTTTCCTACTCTCAAGATTTGAAAGCACTCACGCATTATTAACCAAAACATCAATTTCCCTCCATTCCTCTGGCAATCCACCAACAAAACCCTTCACCTCCTCAGGTTTACTAACATCCAATTTCACAGGCAAAACCTTCACACCCTCACCAAATTCCTTCTCAATATCCTTCTTTACCTCTTCCAAAACATCAATTCTCCTTGCCGTTAAAATTAATCTCAAATCTTTGGGAGAAGTTCTCGCGAATTCAAAGGCGGTACTTCTACCAATTCCTGACGAGGCACCAGTTATAACAATGGTTTTCCCCTCTAGACGTTTGGACATTGCGGATGACATGGTTCGTTTGTAGAGGTGCGGAAGGAGGAATTGAGGAGATGGATATCTGAGGAGGGATTTGAAGGTTCGTAGGATTAATGATGGTTTCTGAAGAATTGGCATGCGTGGAATTGAGGTTTATGAAGTTAATTGAGAAGAGGACAGTCAGAAGTCAAAAGGGAGTCATAGATAAGTGGAAGGAGAGGATGATCAATGATGTGATTAACCCAAGGTGGGGGTTTGTTTGATAGCTGTGACTTTATGAGCTTACCCCACATTTCGGAGATAGAATGGGATTTGTGTTGCCCTCGGCCCGTCCCTTAAGTAGGTAAGGTTACTAGATAATCTGAGGGATAGCAAACTAACTCTATATTTATCTAACAGGACATTACTTTTATTTCTATTTCCGCAATCAATACACCTCAATATTTATATGACTATCAATCCGCGCCTGGATACCCGAGATATTCGAGAAGCCTTCAACTCATATTGTAGGTCGATGAAAAGTTAGCACAACTCCCAGAACCTACGCAAACAAAATACACACCCTTCAACTTCCTACCCATACGAACGAACTAGGAGAACACTTTAATCCATTGCTTCTTATCAGTTGTATAGAAAATTGCACTATTTAGCAAGTGCTTTTAGGTTCTCATTGCACACACAGCCTATAGATGTTTATATCTCTATTCTGATATCATTTTTGTAATAGAGTTTACAAACCCTCTCCCCCTATTTTGTTTACACATCCTTTACATTTTGCCAATTTACAGACTGATATAGCTTCTCAAGCTTCAGTAAGCTTCCAGAGTCATAATCATTGTTCTTGGCGGTCAAGGACCTCATATTTATCTCTTTGAAAGTGTTCGGAGGTTTCCATGAAACTATTTATCAGCAAGAGATTCTCGTATGGATAATAATAATGCCTATAGTTCCTTAGGTAGTCTCTTGGAAGTCAGTATTTATATTAATTTATTAGGTATCCTGTCTTCTATTTCCACACGGGCCATGTCGTTCGCAACTATTCTAATATTAGTCGATACTGGACAGCATCGAGATTACTTGAACATTCATCAACTTCCCATCCAACTCCAACAATAACCCTCATCTCCTATTCATTTCAATAAAAACTATAATAAACAACATAACAAACCACAAAATCTTTCCGTCCCTTTCTCATGGGACCTTGCTGTCCCCCGCCCCGCTCCACCCCACTTCACTTTTAACCAAAAAAAAATCTCTTTATCCGTCACCCACCACATCAATATATCTTCTGATACCCATCCATTCTACAACAACAAGCAAATCCTTCTATGGTGTAATGGTTTAGCACACCAGATTTTGATTCTGGAGATATTGGTTCGATTCCTATTAGAAGGTTCTATAAAATAGAGCATTCTCTTCTTCCATACCCAGTTTGAAGCTGGGATTAAAGGATTGCAAATTTTTTTTCCATTTTGCCTTCTACACTCATCGGTTGGAACCGGATACTTCATGGTGGCTAGTCCAAACCCGTGGTGGATTTCTCCACGCCATTTTCAACCTAGGTGAGGCGGAAGCGCGGATAGGCGGTCGTTCGGGGATGACTAGTTAGATGAGCTGAGTATGTATGTGTATATGTTACCTTGCCAGCGGTAGATGTTCATCCAGGTAGGACAAATGTGGTGTTCTTCCGCTTTTGATGTGATCGATTTTTCTCTGCTTAGGCTTTGAAGGCTTAAAGTTCCTTGCTGGAGAACGGGATCTAATATAGCTTGTAGTTAGGGATTGAGTAGGGTTTCAATGGAAATGATACTTGCATTCGGGTGGAGGGCTGGCGGATGTGGACTTTTAGGCTCAAGCTGATGGTTTACCGTGTTCGTCTAATTCAATGTCCATCCTAGCCCGGAACTTTAAAAGACGGATTGAAAAAGGCGGAGTGTATCTATCTACGCTTGTATGACTTTGACTTTGACTGATAATTATTCAATTTCACCAGACCAACGATAACGAAGAAGGGTGATGATATATTATTGATGTTGTGCTGTTACCGAGGGGTATATGTTGATCACGTGATTGAACGAAGAAGTATTCCTAATATCCGACGTCCGATGTCCGATATCCGATCATTTTCCACAAGCAAATTCTGTAGCTCTACTCATTTTCCCTTCATCAAGGGTTTCGGCCTGGGCAAACTCTATCTAGATATCCAAGAAAGCCAATTTATCATGATTTCGAGTGTTCAGCTCCTCAACTTAGCCTTGGTATTGACAATAAATGCCACGATATCAGCGTGCCGTTATACTTCTTCGTAGTCTATCATGCCGCAATAATGTTATGTACGGGAGTAAATGGCGGTGGCAACGATACTACCAAAACCCGATATAAACCCCATGCAGCTTCCCCGCTTGTAACCCCGCAAAGATAATCGGCCCGTCATGTTGTTCTTGATCGATGAAACGTGGAGATTAGTTTGACCAATCGTCAAGCTTGTGATATGGGATGAAAGGTGCAGGTACCAGTAAATTGTCTATATTGCTGCATGTTTTCTTAATTGTACCACATCTGTTTCTTTCTTCTCTTTTTGACTTTAAGTAAACTCTTTTCAGTATTTTCATCATGCTGTTTTCTTCAATCGCAGCAGTGTTATCTCTGCTATGTACTCAAGCACTAGCGAATTCACCAAGAGATTCGGCTGCAAGTTATAATAATCTCAACTCATTCATTGCTTCCGAGAGAAAAATTGCTTTGCAAGGCGTTCTCAATAATATTGGACCAGATGGATCAAAAGTGTCAGGAGCAGGCAACTATGTTGTTGCAAGTCCATCTAAAGCTAATCCGGATTGTGAGAGCAACATTCTCGGTTCCCCAAGACAGTTTATGCTGATGACTTGAAGATTTCTACACTTGGACACGAGACTCCGCCTTGACGTTAAAGATGATTGTTGATGAATTTATCTTTGGCAATCGTGCACTCCAACCTCAGATTGAGAAATATGTAAAGGCTCAGGCTATCCTTCAAACTGTTACGAATCCTTCTGGTTCTCTTCTTTATGACGGTCTTGGTCTCGGTGAACCAAAGTATAAAGTTGATGGTACCCAATTTAATGGCGGTATGTAAACCTTCAAGAAGAGATTTTGGCAACTGCTGACTTTCCTCAGCATGGGGTAGACCTCAGCGTGATGGCCCAGCTCTTCGTGCCATTGCTTTAATGGCTTATAGTAATTGGTTGATAAATCATAACCAATTTCAAAGAGCCAAGCTAGTTATATGGCCTATTATTTCCAACGATCTATCGTACATTGGAGAGTATTACAACCTTACTTCGTTCGACTTGTGGGAAGAGGTACTTGGATCAAGCTTCTTCACTGTACAAAATCAACATCGTGCTTTTATTGAAGGACAAACTTTGGCTAATAAACTCGGAGTTGAATGTACAGGATGTCTTAATGCACCCGAAGCCCTTTGTTTTCTCTCTCAAAGTTTTTGGAATGGTGAATATATCATTTCAAATATTAATGTGGATAATGGAAGGACTGGATTAGATGCAAATTCTATCCTTGGGTCAATATCTGTTTTCGATGTTGATGGATCTTGTGATAGTCCAAATCTACAACCTTGTAGTAGCAAAGCGTTATCAAACTTTAGAGCTGTTGTCAATAGCTTTCGAGGGATTTATGGTATCAATGCTGGTATTAAGAATAATTCAGGTATTGCTGTTGGAAGATACGCTGAAGATGTTTATCAAGGAGGAAATCCATGGTACGTCCTTCAACCAATCAGATCTATCTATTAATAGCTAACTTTTTAGGTATTTAATCACCACTGCTGCCGCAGAATTTCTCTATGATGCTGTTGCACAATGGAAAAATCAGAAAACCCTGACCGTTGACTCGATATCCATCAACTTCTTTCGCGATCTCTATCCAACCATCAAGCTTAAAAGCTATACCAACAAGGACAATGAATTCACCAAAATACTGAACGCTGTTACAACATATGCCGATTCTTTCGTCACAGTCGCGCAGAAATATACACCCATGAATGGATCTCTAGCTGAACAATTCGATCGCAATACTGGAACCCCCATCTCAGCAAATGACCTAACATGGAGTTACGCAGCATTCGTCACAATGGCTCAAAGACGTTCCGGTCAATATCCCGCCAGCTGGGGAAGTTCAGCATCATCCGTCCCACCACCAAACTGCGCACCTTCATCAACACAAGGCGTATACATCCCAGCCATTGCAGCAGGCGCGCCGAACATAACAGCAACATGTAAATACGCAGTCCAGTTCTACGTCAACGCTACAACATATTATGGCGAAAATATATATGTTATTGGCAACACTACGGATCTTGGAAATTGGGATTTAGATAGCGCGTTACCGATGAATGCGGGGATGTATACGACGGAATATCCATTATGGTATGTGGATACGAAGTTGACGGCTGGGGACACGGTTAGTTATGTCTTTGTTAGACAGCAGAATTGTGGTCAAGCTCCGATTTATGAGAGGGGGAATAGGACGGTCACGATTCCGGAGTGTGGGACTGGAGGGACGAAGGTTATTAGGGCTGCTTGGGTTGGGAATGTGGGGAGTAGTGGGGGTTGTTAGGTTTGTGTTGCTTCGCTAGGGTAGTGAAGGATGATTCATTATGAAATTTTTATTGAGTTGTGGGTTAAGATAATTTTACATGCTTTGAATCATTTTTTGATATCGTATACATAAGATTACAAAACTCACGCAATCCTACACATGGTAAGATTATAAAGTCCCATGTCATGAGTTACTCATACAGGTAGTTCTGTCCTCCCGTACCATTCCTTTCGTTTAAACCCCCTTCCTAAAATCTTCCACTTCCATTTCTTCACCATTATCCAATTCCCGCATACCCACTATCCATCCTATCTCTCATCTCTCTCTCACTACTTTTCCATCACTATCATTATTAGGTATTCAATTTTTGATCATGCACAGAAGTCTCCAATCTCTTTTGATTATTGGAAAATTCGGTTCTCTTATCAATGTCTATTTGAATTTGATTGCTGTGGCAGTTCGCGACCATCATTTCTTGTTGTTTTCTCATTAAAATAACTACTTTCGACGGTAATGCTGTTTGAAAAATAAAACTACCCATAAAATTATTACCGTATACATTTCCTATAAACCCCATTGAGTCGTAAGTCTGTTGGTAACCTCGTCATCACCTAGCCTATTACCATGTATCTTCTGCCCTTTCCTATCCAATCTACGAATCGAGATATTAGTACACACACATAACCGTTTAAGAAAGATGATAAGAACAAATACTCACACAATTATCGGCCCAGGAACATTCGCCATTTTCCTCAAAAACAACCAGAATTTATACAAGGTCAATTGAATCTTTCTCCCCTTTATAAAATTCGGAATCCACACCTCCCAATATCCAGTCCCAACTACCTCACCCACTTTCTCAATCGCCTCTCTTACCTCGACGTAAAATTCTGTCACGGTCCGGATTCGCCCAGTTCGTACTTTTGCTTTCCATATACTGGCTACTTGGGGCTCCATCATTAGGTTCCAGATTTCGGTCCAGAAGGATGGTTCGAAGGTTATGGGCGGGTAGGGTAATATGATGTTTGGGAAATCCTTGAGGTGGTCCCAGCCATTATCAATGAAGCGAAGAAGGAGGGTATTGGATTCCTCTCGTAAACTAATCACCGGTGAATAATTAGCAAAAATAATAACATTTGAAGTACAGCTGGGTTAAATCTTACATAACTATAAACATCCCCCCATCATGCCATATATCCACATATGATTGAAATCTCTCCTCACTCACTTGATATGCAGCTAAATGATTATACCTAGCTCTGAACGCATCAATAGAAACATCACGATTAGTATCAGAATATATATCCGAACCATTCGCCACCAAAAAATCTGTAGCATCATGAAAACCACTCGGGAAATTCCACACGGATTCAGCTCTCTCCGGGCCACCTCTCTGTGCCTCATCAAGAAGTTCCCATCCCACCTTCCTCTTCCGTATTTTCTGCGTGCGAAAACTCGTCTCAAATAATTCTTCAATATCGTTGCAATATTCCAAAAAATGTACAAATTCATCCTCGGTAGGAGGATCTTTAAGAGCAAGTTCGGCAAGACGGAAAAGATCGCTTAGATCGAATACCCAGCCATCTGAACGAAAATGATGAGAAATATCCGGGCTGCGAAAAAAATCCGCCAGCATCTGGGATATCTCTACTGAAAGACGATTTTTCCTACGATCATGTGAAGATACAGAGGATGTATATCTCGGGCTGAAATCTTTCGTCCGGATTCCTGCTTCCGGGTGAAGTATACTCTTTGTCGGTTTTCTCTTCCTCACACTCCCTTTATTTTGGCGAGGGCGATGTTTTTCCGGAACAGGGCGCCTCTCAGTCCGCAAACCATTTGTGGTTTTAGCCAACCACAGGATCTTCTCATGCTCGCTCAAAGAAGCATTAAGTGCATCTTCCAAAGCATCATTTCTCTGTCGGATAGTCCTAAACGCTATACCCGCCCCGTGCAATTTCCGAATATCTCGTCTATTTTCCCGATCCTTTTTATCATCTCCTTGTTTATGGGATACGCCTTCGAGATAATCGAGATTTTCTGCCGTGAATACGTCAGAGTCGATGTCGGTCATGATGTCTACAGCTGCTCGCATACTTTTTCTAGCGAGACATACAACCGCATGAACATACTCCAGTGAAAGTTCATTGTAGATACCAGTTTGTATTTGGAGGTCCGCGAGAGCATGTCCGAGAATATTTCTGACGGCTGTATGTGTGGAGAGCATCAATTTCTGTATAAATTCATTGAAATTTGCTTTTGCAAGATTCAAGTCGTAGGCGGAAAGACGACCTCTTATTTCTGCTAGCTGATCTTCTGCAGTAGCGATTTCTCTTTTGGAATGAAAATATTGGTTTCTAAGTCTGACGTCGTCAAAAACCCGTTTATGCGAATCAAAGCCTTCGACAAATTCCATTTCTTCGTCTCTTATTTCCGAGAGCTCTTGGCGCTGCTTTAATAACTTGGTAATCTCATTCGTGTGGTTAGCTTGTCTAGATTTGCATTTGTGAATCGCGTCTTCCAGATTCGTAGAAGTATGAATCAAATGACTATATGCTAGATTAGCCCACCAGGAGAAGCCTTTAGAAATCCACCATTGCGTATCTACAGCCCTCTTTTCGGGAAGATGATAGTCATAATTGAAATCTATTGGACGTTTGCTCGGATCATATGGTGAAGGATCCTGAACTCGACCTTCAATCTCCCTCATGGTATCCCGAATCGCTTTAAATTGCGTCTGTACTGAACTCATATATTTTCTAGTTGCGGTGAAGTTTTCCAGAACATTGAACAAGTCTCTTTTCATTCTATCGACGCGACGGATCAACACTCTCGCTTCAGCTTCTGCGGTTCTCTCAGCGTCTGTCCTTATGCGACCAGCTGCCTTTTCTAGCACATCAATTTCTTTCAATCTTTGGTCGATTTCTTTAGATGCCTGAGAACATTTGTTGAGTTCCTTTTTATATTTTACTATTGCTGTAGCCCACCAGGTACGTAGACCGGATAATTCCTGCTTCAAACTGAGATACCTTTGACTTTTGTGTAATAAATCCTTAGTAGATTTGGCCGAGAGGAGGCGATTGTCTTGAGAGGGCAATTCACTATCAAGTTCTGAGAGCCTTCCGGGTGAGACGACGGCGGGCGCCGAGTCAATCAGCTTCACAGTCTCATTGAGTACCTCTTTTTGGCTATCTGTCATATCGGCTGTTTCCCTTTCATCTAGAACTTTTCGACAGGAGATGATAGTGTTTCCAAGCTCGGCTTGTGCTATAGCCATAGCAGCATCTATTTTGTAGAGGGTTTCAACGTTTAGGGGAGCAGTATCAACGCTTTGTTGGCTTGATCTCTTGCCTAAGGTTGAATCGCCCGAATAATCCATATTGAGGAAACAAATGATTATACTGCTCTGGTGAAATATATGCTATCTATCCGTAAGATCGGTATGTGAACACGCCTTAATTTGGGGAAAACAATGATATTTAAAACATTTCTAAAGTGAAAACTGCAGTGGTTATGGGGATGCTGAAATGCAACAAAGACATCTTCGGTTTCTTTAATGCAAGCTATTGCATTTTGACCCTCTCTTTGTCAATTCACCCCGATGACATTCCTCATGATCGTCTAACAGCGAAATAATATTGTACATCCACATTTTACACCGCAGGTAAAACGGTCCAATAAGCAGCTGACAATAGTGCTGTAGATATGCTGGAGGATGTGATCTATCTGCTCGGGAGAAGTAGTATTTGAAATTGGCATAGATTAAGATCGCCGTATTAAAACATGATTTGACAGCTGCGCGGAGAAAGCCCATTTCAGGGTACGGCAAAGGACCAATTAACTCCCATAGCTTTTGACAAGTCCCAAAATCTGTGCAATAAGCAGCTTAAGAATCCCATTTTTGCTCCAGCTCAAGCAATGACTTTACGCTTCCCACTATGGATTCCTCCAAGGTCCTGTATCTCCAATCCTGACCTTTGGCTTGCCGGAAGATCTTCAAGCTTCTAGCGTTATTCAATGGGGTCGGATGTAAACCTTTTGGAAAAACTTGTTTCTCGTCACCTCCTTTGGGCAACCTTGATTCCAATTCCGGGAAATTTTTTCGAATGGCATTCACAATTAACTGTGGTGAAAGAGGACCGGAGTACATGATGTTACGTGTATTAGCCATAAGCGGAGATTCAAGCGCAATAATGTGCAATAGAGCTACATCGCGAACATCGACCTTTAGATTGATTAGTTTGATGAAAATCAAGAAGAACCTAGTATATGTAGACTAAGGAAGACCGAACTTACAAAATCCCAGAATGCGAACACGGCATCATCGACTCTCTTGTGAGTGCCATTAATGAATGCATAACAAGCGAATTCATTTGTTTCGTTGATATTTTTGGAACTAGGGACGGGTTGAAGCATAGGGCCTATAATGACATCGGGATTGATCACCACAAGGTCAAAAGCCGGCTTTTTTTCCTTAATAAAAGACCACTGTAGTTAAGCTGTCAGCGAATACATGAAAATGAAGTGATTGACGCGGAAATAAGTCCTCCGGCTTGGGGGAAAGGGTATTCTCACCGCCGCTAATTCAGCATTCTTCTTGCCAACATTATATCCGAGGAGAGGGCTTTGAGAAGATACTGCATCATGCTCAGCTGCCTGAAGGTAACATTAGTCATGATGTTATTGTGGGGTGCATGGAGACGAACAGTATTCCAATCATCTTCTGTATAAGCCTTTCCTTCAGGAGCATTCAAGTCTTCAAACGAATCAAGAACGGAGACAGCACTTCCAAGTAGCACGAAACGGTTGACCTGCTTGCCCCCTAGTTCGTGAGTAGCTTTAAGGATCTCTATAGTGCTTTGAAATACTTTAGACATTGGTGACAAAAGTGGTAGGACTGTATACTCACCCATGAACAGCAGGATCAATCAAGTCTTTTTTCACATCCTTAACGGAAAAAGTAACTGGAGACGCGGTATGAATAATGTAAGCAAAGCCGCCTTTTTTTTCCTGGGCTTTGAAAACATGATCAAAGGCACCAGGTGTTGTGATCTCAGGTACAAACACAAATGCCACCTTTCCTTTCCATTCCGGATGAAGGTCGAGAATTTGATCAGCTTTTGAAGAAGACCTAACACTGGCAGTAGGCTTGTATCCGTACTAGAAATCCATTAGACACTCAATCATACAAATATATTCAAATGGGAGAGTACCTCAATCAAAAGGGAGAGGATATGAGAAGCTACGAAACCACTGGCTCCGGTCAAAAGGACAGATTTTCCTTCAGCAGACATATTGTTTTATTATTTTTATAATTCAAACTTGTCTTGTAAGTAAAGAGGAGGTGGGAAGAGAAGTGGGCATGATATATTCTCGTTCTTCAGGACCTGCCCAAGTCTCCAATGCTTTGTCACAATATTGGAATCTGATATGTTGAGTAATCGCGCCGTGGGGACATTCCTCTCAAAGCATGCTACATGAGGGTGAAATGTAAGCTTCGCGCATAGAGGGCTTTGTCACTGACCAATGATTAATGTGATTACCACGCTTGGGTAGTAGGAAATCCGAAAACGACAAATGGATGGACGGGCCGGAAACGATTATATTTATTTTGCAAGGTGTAATAAGAAAATATAGATGATCATTTATCGATCCACAAACCCTGAAAACCCCAATGACAAAGAGACTGATGATAGATACAATAGGCATTCCATGTGCTTTGACATGATGACTTACAAATTCAAAGCTCGATACAGGGTTACTTCTAGATCGACTTGGAGTGAGACAATGAGGGGTATCTTAACAAGTAGAGTCGGATATCGATGACACAGGCAAACATGCGTCATCTCTATGCCTTACAGACAGAAGGAAATATCATATTGTAAAGGAAAAAGAGGTAGCCACTTGATGTTACAATTTTTCCTCTGAAAGTCATACAATACGAATGTTATAACTGATAGATATATTGTAACTATCTCAGCTAATTAACTATCTCAGCTAATTAACGGATAAATTGTCCCTCCAATTATGAAGCGCAGGATTGAGTGAGGTCTCTGAATCATTCCAGCCACCTTGATGAATGCGGCCAGAGACAATTCTATCGAGTCAACTTTATAAAAGATATGAATACAGAATCAACCAATACGCACTTGCGACGTTAAACTCGTGAATGAGCTGTTATTTTTCGACAGCTCAGTAGCTATAAAGTTACCATGACAAGATGAAAAGTATCTGGACCCCGAGATACATTCTACTCTGCTCGTATAGAAGCAAGGGGTACCAAAACGATAGAGACAGAGTCATGTACTAGAATGAATCCACATAGTCATCCTGCACGAAATAATACAGAAAGCATACTGGTGTATATCTTCATAGCGAGGATTCCATGAGTACACTGTTTGTTCTGTTCTGTAACCTATCATTTCAAATTGCCTCAAATAAAAACCCTTGATCTTGAACTTGACCGCCCTTCTCACAACCCCGGCCCCTTTGAAGCATTGCATTGCCCCACCAAAACCCACCAAACACCAGCAGATCCACCAAACACTCATTCGCTCCATCTATCCCCCTCCCCATTCATGCCACGAGTTTCATCGAGCAACTTGATTCCTCTTAAGCTTAAGCTTCCCATATCTGTTCATCTCTGAGAGCTTTGATTTAAACTCCCCTCATTTATTATTTTCAAAGTACGAGTACTACCCATCCCAATATCTGCCATCCTCATTTACCTTCCATCTTCATCAACTCATAAACCCAAATAAAGCAAGCTCATTCCTTCAAAATGGCAACTGTCAAGACAATCCCCCCTGGAGCAACTTTCATCGATACTCTCGATAAATCATTCGTCGATGTCCCCGTCAACAAGGAGAAGGACAATGCGATTTCCACGACTGAGTTTCTCCAAGCTGCCGATTCTCTCACTACTCTCTTTGGTACTTTCCCTTCAGCCTGTGTCCCTCTCGAGCATTAAATTAACCAATTGCAGATGTAATGGGATCCGTAGCCTTCAACCCCGTTAAGAACGACATGGGTGGTAACATCAAGGTATGTTTATATATACATATATAGCCCTTGAGACAAAAGACAAAAGAAACAATGTACTAAGAAAACCTGCAGAAACTCCGCGAGAGACAACTCGCTGCACCAGCAGAATCAGAGACTCTTCAAGAATTAGTCATTAATGAGCTCAAGACCAAGAAGCACACCGCTACCGAAGGTTTAGTCTGGTTGGTTCGGTATGTGATCTTTTACATTTATACATTTCTACAAAATCACGATATTCCATATTCCCAATCATCCACCCACATAGTTATATAAAAGACAAACGCCCTCCACCCCTCAATACCAAAGCTAACACCCCAAACCCCCACAGCGGTCTAGACTTCACCTGTATTGCACTCTCGCAGAACCTCGCCGCCCCCTCAGACGAACTCTCCGTATCCTTCCGTAACGCCTACGGCGAAACACTCAAGCCCCACCACTCCTTCATGGTAAAACCTATATTCAGCGCCGCCATGTCAGCGTGCCCCTACCGAAAAGATTTCTACGTCAAGCTTGGAGATGACAATTCCAAGGTTGAGGCTGCGTTGAGAGTTTGGTTGGGTGCGTTGGAGAATTTGATTGCTATCTTGAAAGGATTCTTGGACAGAAAGGAGGCTAAGTGGTAGATGAGATGTGCGGGGGATATCGAATTCATGGGGTAACAGGACGCTGATTTTGGCATGAGTGAGTGAGCAAGTGAGCAAGCGACTAAATATTTTGGACGACTCGATATGAGGATATAGCGTTTACATTTTTGGGGAATTAGCAAAAAATTCCAAGGAAGAGAATATGAACTGAACTGTGTAGACATGACAGAGAGAAAGAAACAATGCAAAAAGTAACAACTAGAGAAGTTTTTATTTCATAAGTGCATGCTAATCTTTACTTCATTGATCCCTTCCAGGGACTGCCTTTTCCATTATTGCCCATACGCCTGCCACGTCTTGAAATGGTATAAAAAACATATCGGCCATTTGCTTTCCTCTCCCTTTCGCAACACCTCTGAGTTCCCTTGCCATCCCAGGCTTCAATTCAAGATTGCACTGAATCTCTTGACTGCCGTCATATCCAGTATCTTACTATTATTTTGATCCTCATCAAACCCCCCACCTCCCATTTGTGAGAATTTTCCTCTCGTGAAATCCTTCCCGTCTGGATGTCTAACCATCACGGTGAACCCTACTTCTGTGATAGCATCCAGGTATTGTTTTCAAAAAGCAACGCTGGATAATTGAGTCCCACTCACCAACACCAAGCACCCCCTATCTTCCTCTCCTGAGTATTCTTCTCCGCGCAGCCCTCAGTAACTGGCAACCGCCCACGTAGGAATAAACCAAATCTTGTTTTAAACCCACGTAGAACCTATCTCTCTTAACTTTGCACATTGTTAATTCCGGTTTCCTGCTCTCTTCCGTCTGTCCCTCTTGATTTTCATCCTCATCCTCATCTACCTCGGTGATCGTAACGCTTCCCGCTAGGTTTGTAGACGAACTGGCACCGGTACCGCTGCTGGCGAATCCAAAATCTTTGTCGAAATAAAGACCAATCTCGTCGCTTCCCTCCACATCATCCATACCTACAGTTACCAACTCTGTCGCATGTCCCGGGCGCAAACTCGCTCTTAGTCTTCTTCTGGCGCTGTTTTTACTGTCAACCGCAATACTCAACTTTTCTAGATCGGGGAACAATTCCCGGATTCGGTGTTGTGGGGTTGAGAGGTCGCTTGCGACTACGGCTACAAAGCGCATGTGTAGACTGTCTAATGCTACATTCTTCCATCCTTTCATTGGCGCGATTGATTTCGGGGTTTCGTCGAGGAGGAACCATCTCACGTCGAGGAAGATTGACGCCACGCAGTTCAGGAATAGAGTATCGATGGTAGGATTAAAGTAGAATGGTGTGATTCCGGCAACGGCTTCGCGAGGTTCCGCCACGGGCGGCGGATCATAGGACATTAGACTGTAGTGGGCTAGAGCCACCTCTCTTGATTCCCGACATGTATGCAAAAGGGTAGGAATTCGTCGCCGGTTGGATCGAAGTTTGGTTTTGAAGTTATAAGGTGAGCTGGTCGGACAGCTGGGGTATAATTCGTGAACGAGTGGATCGGGTAAAGCCTGCTTCCAGATCAAGAGTCGAAGTTCAGTGGGTAGGGTAGGGAAGGCCAGAAATCGTCGGGTGAATTTCGCTGTAATGGTGGTAGATAGTTTATTTAGTGCTTTGTTTTTCTTTCTTGGAAGAGTATTTGAAGGAGTTGAAAGAGGGTTGGATGTGTTATCGCTTCCATTTGCTACCGATGAATCTGAAATACTATTCTTGGATATCATGGTTGTCATGGTCGGTAATAGGCTTGACGTAGGTAGATATGTGGTGCCAATGCTGATGGGTATATCAAAATGTCAAACAAATCGTAATGCCAGTCCTGGATACGGATATCGGATATTGAAGAATATCGAATATTAATCCTGTGATAGTTGGTAATGTATGTGATGGAAGGCAAAAACAACATCAATGCCGAGAGTGAACAGGTCCGAGGTGGTAGATAGTAGTGCGAACAACTTTTTAAATGCGAAGAAGCGTGGTGAATTAAAGGAATAAATGAATAAATGAACATCAGTCAATCAATACTGCAAACAAAGTCGATTGGTCATGGAAGAAATTAATAAATACTGAAGAAACATTTGCAAAAACATTTGCAAGACTAATAAGAACATGAAACAATACAAGTACTCCGTGAAAAGTGAAAGAAATGCTTTTTCAAGTCATTCATATCTTTGAGTGATTATGATTATGGTGAGAAGAGAGGAGTGAGGAGAGAGGAGAAACATGAGTGGGGAGCGCACGCAACACAAACAAGGCTGAGCGTTAGGGTGATTATTAGTCAGGGAGTAGTTACTACTCATAGTCAAGAGACAAACCGGTAAGATAATAAGTCTCACGTTGGGAAATGTGTTATACTGACGATGAATAAGGTTACCTGGCATGAAGATTATATCATCATAAGTACTAGGTATGATGGTCCATACGGTAGCTTAGATCTTAATCTCGCATTTGGAAGTCATCCATCCCTTTTATAATTCATTGTTGTATCCTACTAGTCATCTTGGACCAGTATCTGATCGTTTCTCCTTTGCTTGTTCTCCCATACCAAATAATTTCACACACATCAATCTCTCAGCTCTCAGCGCTGATTTACTATATTGGAGGATTGTTGACTCCGTTGCGCCTTCTTTGCTGTCTCGTCCGTATTCCGTTGCAATTGCCGTTAACTCCACAGCTCACTTCTTTTTAAGCCTCTCCACCCCAAATCGACAGGGAGTAATTTGGATTAATTAATCTGACATCATATGTCTTGTACCTTTCTTTTTATCATGCCACAAAAACTCTCAAAAAGCACACTATCGTGACCTTTCAACCACCGAACAATAACTTTACTTCCTTCAGCTTCTGCCTCAAGTGTCTCCAAGGAGATCTTAAAACCAAAGGACATATCTTCAGGCAAAAGTTCCGAGTTAGCAGTTGACTTTCCATCATTAGTATCACTTCTGTGTCTTCGTGACGCTCGAGACCAGACAGCATTGTCACAGAAGCCTATACCTGCGAAGAGTTTCGATTCCCAGCTCCATAGAGGGATGAGTCCAGATAACGTGTGGTGTAGACGTTCAGCAATGGCGGTTTTATCATGCGCATTAATCTAGAGACCAGTTAACATTCAAAATACACAACATCGAATCCATGGACAACCTAGACCTACGGCAATCGTCTGCTCTGCTGGGAATGGCATTAAACTCTTTTGTAAACTTCCGCACCCACGAGATACTGCCATACTCGGTCTTTTATCATCAAAACTCCATGCAACTGCCCACCTTCTCGTTTTACTGCCTTGTACAAACTCCGTGACGGCATAGTTGTCGACTTTATTTTCCTTCAGCTGCTCAATGATTTTAGATAGACTAGAGAATTTTCCAAGCATTGAAGTATACCATTGAACCCTATTTCGCAGTTGTAAGGATTCATCAATCATCCTTGAAACAAAAGACACTTCACCACCTTCACAGACCATTTCTGTCTCGGAGCCAGTACAGGCCGTAAATGGGGAACGTTGTTTGAGGGACGCAGAGGAAATTAAGTCTTCAGCTGAAGTATAAAATGGCGGATTGCAAAGAGTAAAGTCTAAACTTGGACTTATCAACAAAACACCATTTCTTCTATGGAAAAAGTAATAAGTACCTATCGCAGCCTATCTCATCGAGAGGTATCAGTGGGTCCTGTGGTTTGGTCTGGATCAGCTGAATCCGATTTTGCAGCCCATTAATTTCAACATTCGTTTTAGCGAAGGTAATGCTCCTATCGTCAACATCTGAAGCAATTTAATAGCCATCTCCAACGATGGAATAAGGATGCAAACCTGTTCCGGTGAATCTCCACAAAGGGCGTTGAGCACAACCCAAAAGTGGATATATACAACTTGCTCCTGTGCCAATATCTAGCCCATGAATTTGTCGACTGGGATTGTAAGTATCCGTATACATATCACTTGATGTATCAAGAAGATCTTGCAGCCAAAGTATGTAATTCAATCGATTAGGCACCTTAAATCACTCAGCTTGGACTAATGAATGATATATATAAACTCGACATGATCGGAGACCAAAGTAGACTTACTGGTGGACAGAGCCGGTCATCTGGAAGCGTCAAATTCAGATGGAAGTCTCGCTTTAACAGAGATTTTGTGAGCTGCTGGACTGATTTAGGATCGCTAAAATCCAATTGACCATTTGACTTCAAGCTGGAAAACGTTCAGCTGGTGCAAAACGAGAATGTAACAAATTGAGATATAATGAAAGGTCTTTGAACCAATTGCTCACAAGTAAATGCAAAGACCGGGGACAAAATTTCCAATTGACTGGGAACCTACAATTTGCCAAAATCTGGGTCTTCTCTTCCCAGTGCTGCGAAGTCGATATTCTCCTTGTAGATATTTGTAGTTGCCGACATCTTTGGATTTTATCAATGAAAATGAGCTAGCGATGATAAGGTGGCCATCGACGCCGCGGAATTGTGGTCTTCAGCAGATACTTTCGTTGAGACTGAAAGAATAGAAGAGATGGGGACTTACCTGGTAGATAATGCTTAGTAAGCAAGGACAAAAAGGCGGGGCATAGAGGGGTATAGAGGGGTAGCTTTTGGGAATAACTTCACATGGTTTATCGTCATAATTTTGGAATCATAAGCTGTATTTTCCAAGCAACTACGTAGTATTGAAAACCATTAATCCAGGAAATGTCATCAATCATGATTTCTCATAAATAATCACAATTTCTCATCATCCTCAGACTTCTGCTTCTTTGCGGCATGTCCTTCATCCTCAATCGGTTCTTTGGTTGGAACTTCCGGAAGCTCAACCTTACTCGCCTCTGCATCATCCTTGACATTATCAGTACCCTTCTCCAACACAGCTCCATTCTCAGCAGATTCAACCTCATCGACTTCCTCCCATTCCTCTTCGGCATCAGGTTCTGTTGAGGGGAAGATACGTCTGTGAATTATTGTTAATTAAACTTATTGCACTAGGACTAGGAGGATCTACTCACGGAATCCACTTGTTGTAAGCGGCAACATCCCTAGCGACGAAGGTGCAAAATATAATCTTTTCCATCTTCGAGCCCTTCTCGCTTTCGAGAAATTTCCTAACAGTCATAAGAGCGACAGGAGCAGCTTCATCACTAGGATAACCATAAACTCCCGTACTTAAGGCGCTGAAAGCGATAGTCTTGCAGCCATTCTCAACGGCTAGATCTAGACTTGTCTTGTAGCATCCTTCGAGTCTCTCCTCAGAAACATCCGACTTGTAACTGTCGTAGACCGGTCCGACGGCATGGATGACTTTCTTACAAGGAAGTTCATAAGCATCAGTAATCTTAGCGGATCCAGTCCTACAACCATTCAAAGTTCGACATTCCCTCAACAAGTCTGGTCCAGCAGCACAATGAATAGCTCCGTCAACACCTCCTCCACCAAGTAAAGAATTGTTGGCGGCATTAACAATTGCGTCGACTTCGAGGTGGGTAATGTCACCGCGAATCAAGCCGATGCGATCATTGAAAGATTGATTTGGAGTCGCAGTGATTTCGTCTGTAGTATCTGCTTTGTAGGGAGTCAACTTCTTCAAGTGATAAAGAAGTGATACAGTTGGGATCTCAGCAGCTGGTATAATAGACATGACTTTTTTGATATTTAGCATCAATATAATTATGTAGATCTGAGTTTTACTTTTAGATTGGGTAGGTAGATACTAGGTAAGTACCTAAGAGTTCTTGAAAAGTGAAATAACATGAACTCAAGGCTGCCACACAATTAAATACTAGGTAGGTACGTAATAGAAGGCTACGGGGTAAGCCCCAATGCACGGACCTCAAGCCTTGCTCAGCGGCTTGTACTGTGGCTGAGCCTCAGCCACAGCACAAACCCCTGATTTGATTAGGTGTCGAGATGTCGGATGTCGGTGCTTATCAGGTTTATCTTAGCCTTGTCTCAATTTCAGCCCTTCGAACATTTTTGACTCATCCCCACTTCACTGACCCCTCCATATCAGCTTGTCCAACGAAACGATAAGTGGAAAATCTCACTCGATTCTAAAATATCTGGACCTCGAGGAACTCATAATTGTCGAGAGCATCAAACGATACCATAATTTAAAACTATCGGATCTTATCGTTCAACATGGCGGACGCAATCACCGAAGGAACGACTAAGCTCCAGCTTGATGAGGAGACAGGGGAGATGGTCTCGAAGGCCGAATTGAAGAAAAGATTGGCAAAACGTGCGAAGAAAGCAGCACAAGCAAAAGCAAAATCAGAGGCGCCATCTAAAGAAGCTGCTGCACCTAAGCTTAAGAAAGTAGAAGAGGCCAAAGCAGCGGAGCCTTCAAACGTATTCGCTCAGGGATTTCTCTCAGAAGTGTACAAAGAGCGTCCCGTGAAACCAGTCTTCACTCGATTTCCACCAGAACCTAATGGATATTTACATATTGGTCATGCCAAAGCTATTGCGGTCAACTTTGGATTTGCTAAATATCATGACGGCCAATGTTACCTGAGATTCGATGATACCAATCCTGAAGCAGAAGAAGAGAAGTATTTCACAGCGATAAAGGAAATGGTTTCATGGTTAGGCTTCACACCTTACAAGATTACACACTCAAGTGATAATTTCGATAAGCTCTACGAGAAAGCAGAGGAACTCATCAACTTAGGAGGTGCCTACGTCTGCCATTGTGGTGGTAAGAAACTTTGTGCAAGCAGCTGACACCGACAAATACTAACGTATTTTAGATGCTGAAATCAAAGCTCAGCGAGGAGGCGAGGCACGAGGCCCAAGATTCAGATGCGAGCATGCGGACCAATCCGTCGAAGAAAATCTAAGAAAGTTCAGAGCTATGCGAGATGGCGAGTATAAACCCAGGGAGGCATTCTTGCGCATGAAGCAGAACATTGAGGATGGAAACCCCCAGATGTGGGATCTGGCAGCATACCGCGTGCTGGATGCTAAGCATCATTTAACAGGAGACAAGTGGAAGATTTACCCAACATACGACTTTACTCATTGTCTTTGCGATAGTTTTGAGAACATCACACATTCGCTTTGCACAACCGAGTTTATTCTATCAAGAGTATCATACGAATGGCTGAATAGTACTCTGAAAGTATACGAACCGATGCAGAGAGAATATGGCCGATTAAATATTACGGGTACTGTCCTTTCAAAGCGAAAGCTCAAGAAACTTGTAGACGAGAAATATGTTAGGGGTTGGGATGACCCAAGACTATACACGTTGATCGGAATTAAAAGACGTGGTGTCCCTCCCGGAGCTATTCTTGAGTTTATCAACGAACTTGGAGTAACGACAGCTCCTACCAATATTCAACTCGCTCGTTTCGACCAGAGTGTTCGTAAGTACTTGGAGCTCACAGTTCCCAGACTTATGTTAGTTCTCGATCCTGTACCTGTCATCATCGAGGATGCCGAAGAGTTGGAGCTTGATATTCCATTTTCATCTAAAGTACCTGCAATGGGCAGCCATAAGGTCAAGTTGACTAAAACTGTTTATATTGAGAGGAGTGATTTCAGAGAAGTTGATAGCAAAGATTATTTCCGTCTCGCTCCTGGAAAATCCGTTGGCTTACTCCACATCCCATATCCCATCAAGGCAATCTCATTCTCCAAAGATGGAGACAATGTCACGGAAATTCGAGCTGTCTACGACAAGGAGGTCAAGAAGCCCAAGACTTACATTCATTGGGTTGCAGAGGGCTCAAAGAATGTGGAAGTCAGAATATTCAATTCGCTTTTCAAGAGTGAAAAGCCAGACGACGCTGAAGGTGGTTTTTTAAATGATATCAACCCTGATAGCGAGGAAATCTGGCCTAATGCTCTTATTGAGTCTGGATTTGACGAAGTACGAAGACGAGCTCCATGGCCAGAGGCTGCTGGAGAATCAGAGCTCGGAAAGGGAGGTCCTGAATCTGTTAGATTCCAAGCCATGCGTGTAGCATATATGGTAAGCTACCTGATGTATGTTTATGTTTTGAAAGTTCGTCTAACAGTCTTTAGGCAATGGACTCCGACTCAACGGATGATAAGATTGTACTGAATCGTATTGTCAGCTTGAAGGAGGATTCTGGAAAGTAGGGTGATTATACGAGGAGACAGAAATACATCAATTGAGAATTACATGGGATACCAGAAATGAATTATTCATTACATAGCAAGTTACTTATCGTGTTAAATATCCTGGCGTTACAAACAGAGTTAAGTGAATTAAATGAGATGAATGATTTTCCCTGACTGACCTTGCCTCGAAAGTCGCCTCAACAGTTGCTGTATCAAAAAGTAAATTGGAGCTACCTACCTACTTCAAGAATATCACTTCAACAGCCTTCTTGAAAAGCGGTCGGGCTTTATCCAGGAAAGAAGTTTTGTTGCACGTCTGAAAATACTAAGGGACGTAATTTTTTCAATTTTTGTTTTTTTCCGCGATTGACAAGAATTGTGAATTTTGCGAGTTCTGCCACAGCGCATTTGATGTAATTCGACAGAACTGTTGACTTTTCCACTCGTCATGTATGTTTGTATCAATTATAGATCAGAAATGAAAGATGGGAACGGATTACGATACGATAAATCATTTATTCTTTTCTACTATGGTATATTCTTTACAGTGTAAGTGCTAATACGTATATCCCTGTTACGTGACAAGAAATTCGAACCCCCCGGCCGTTGATCTTTCAAAAGTTTCTCCTGTTAACACCTTATACAGAAATACAAATCTCTTATACAAATACAGTATCGCCCTTTATATGTACGTTCAAACCTTCTCTACACACTCTCCTCCGCTATCCTAGCATCCTCTCCCGCAAACGTCGCTTCCTTCATAAAAGGACTTCTTTTCCTAATTTCTTCTCCTTTAACTAACAATAATACCGGAGCTAAACTCAACACCAACGCGACGAACCCCAGTAAAGAACTCGCCCAGTGAAAACCTAAATTTGTGAAGAGTGCTGGACTTGCTAGTGGTAGAAATGCGCCAAATGTATTTCTCCCCAAAGATGCGGCCGAGAGAGCAGATGCGTTGTATTTTTCGTAGGAATCGGTTAGGTAGTTTACAACGGCTAGATAGATGGAATATATTCCGAAGCCCACGCAGCCGATACCGAGTGTGGGGACGATCCATGGGAGAGATGGATAGGAAGACCATCCGTACCAGAAGAGGCCTATGGTGAATAGTAGAGATCCGGGAATGGAGGAATAGAGTCGAGCTTCTGGGATGGGTGTCCCTGTCTTAGAACGTTTGGCAGATTGCAAGTATAGGTGGTCTTGGACGGGATTTATGATGGTGGCTACGATGGCGCCAACGCTGAGGGAGAGTTGGATGAGGGAGGTTTGGAAGGTGTTGTAGTTGTAATTTGTGGAAAAGGTTTGGGTGACGGAGGATTGGAAAAGGAAAAGAAGACCCCATGCGAATGATACCCAGAGAGTTTGCGAAAATACCACCCATTCCGTGCACAGCATTTTTACTGGACGCTTGAAAGAGATCTTAAGACGGGTCGCTATGGTTGGTACATCAATTTCGGTTTTTGCAAAGCGTGGCTCCTGGTCTGGATTCTCCTTGCGCCATTTTTGGGCTTCTTTAGCTAAGATTATATCGCCTCGAGTTTCTACCAAGAGGAATCAGAAAACGGGGAGGAGACCACCGATAATTATAAGGAGTATCCAGTATATCCATCGAAAGGAAAGATATGTGGAAGTTATGGCTCCGCCAACGAATGGTCCCAAGGCAATCCCAATCACAGAAGTCGTTCCAAATAACGATAATGGTAAACTTCGTTGTTGGGGACCTTTCCAAACATCAGATATAGTACCCCCAACAATATTAATAGCCACCGATGAAGCTCCCCCTCCGAAAAATCGACACACGACCATCGTTTGGAAGTTCCGCGCTACTCCACAGGGTATCAAAAAGATAAGAAAAATGATATATGCGCCAAAGTATCCAGGCATGCGACCTGAAGTTTCAGTCAGAGGAACAAATAGTAATGGTGCCAATGCCGCACCCATATTCCATGAAGTCGTAGCGAAGAATAAGTATGGAAAGCCGGAATTGCTGATGTGGAATAGTGCGCTCATTTCATCGTTTCCTGCACCGTATGCACCAGCTGGGAGACCGAATAGAATGGAACTGCGAGGATATCTGTTAGAGGTAGGTTATCAATTGGTACCTAAGTATTAAATGATCACTTACACGATAAGTACCGCTATTGTGAGTCTCCATTTGAGTAATTTCGACCAATTGAATCTGCACTGCAGTCAGTACTCTCATCGTAGTGTAGATAGAAGGAGCAATTCACGGATTTCTTGGATCACCGTCTCCGTCCCAGTCATATAATAGAGTTCCATCTGTGTTTCGCTGCTCTGGATTGTGCTTTTCTATCATAATTCTAGGATGATCATCTGTTTGCCTCAATGTCAATAGGAGAGTTAACTATAGGAGGAGATTCGGTAATATATGTAAACTTACTACTTCCCGTATCCTCATATTCGGTACCTGTATACCGATTTGTATCGAGTTGGGTATTAGCCATTGTGTGTGTGTGTATGTTTTAGTTAATTGAATCCCGCAGCTGTTTTGTGATAACCGGAGGAATTGAATGATTTTTAGATAGATAGATCAATTGATATATATTATTTATATATATATATATACATATATACATTACTCAACAAATAATCAATCCCACAATGAAGAGATAGATATCGCAGTTCATATATTGGCCAAACACCAAGGATCTGAAGTCCCCCAATCTTGCTTGGCTCACGTCGTCATCCTACTGTATTATGTACGTATACTCATCCAACGAACTGAGTGCCACTTTGCAAATTCTCTTGAGGAAACCTTTCTTTTGATGCTGGGTCACTTTAACCTTGATATTATTTAAGTTCATAAGGTAGGTAGGTGTAGGTACTGATGTATTAGTATTGGCTACCCCGCTTTGCGCAGCTCAGTACAGGTTGTGATGTCATTTTTTATGTGTGAGGAAATCGATGATCGTGAGTCAGTCGGCTCATGGTTCATGGTTCATGGCTTATGATCGGAATTTCTTTTTGTGGTGACATTTTGGGGATGCATGGAAGTTTATGTAAATATAAATGTTGGAGCAGTGGAGGAAAAATGGTCAATTGAGAGGATGTGGGCAAGGAGTGGTGGAGTGGTGGAGTGGTGGAGTGGTGGAGTTAATCAACGAATGCCCCTGACTCCACTTACTGAGTATTTTTCTCAAGCGAAGAAATGGTCAGGGTCTATTTATTTTCGTACATACCTAACAGATGATGTTATTTTCTTGAATTACTTGTTGTATCTCAAATGTTCGACTCCACTCAGAGGGTCGAGTTTATCGATATCGATATCCAAAGTTTGATAATCATTATACAAACCTTCTTATCGAGTTACTACTAGGTGATTATACGTAGGAGACCTTTCCGGGTTAGGTAAATTGGATAGACGACAGGTTGTTTGTTGTGTATGATGAAGTCTCAATTCAAGAGAAAGGATTACATTTAAGGGCGACTTATTCATTCTCAAGCAAAATGGATGGAATTTTGATTGTTAATTCCTTTCAAATTCCTTTTCTATTAGATTACCGTATTCAGTATGACTACCTACTAGGCAGCCAATCCATCTTATTATCGTACGAGATGAAGTGGAGGATGTTAGTGCTGACGACTCAGAGGCCTCATTATATCTCTGTCAAAAAATCTGAGGCTCCTGTGCCGCGGAGTCAATATATATGAGGTTTTTATACGACTATGAGGCAAGGCTGAGAAGTGATAGTTATGTGGTGGGTGAGTGAGGCTTAAGGACGACGAAAGTCTCGATACTGTTATGGGAAAGTGAGTACGTATACTCACTTGACTTTTGGCTATTTTTGTGCTTATTATAATGCGTGATTAATTCAGACAGAGTACTGGCAGAGAAAAACAGACTTGGAAAGATCCAGGTGTTGTGATTGTCATCAACTCATATAAATATGACCATGTTCTTTCCACATAATTGCTGCTTTTGGAGTTTTGACAAGCGGATTCGGGAAAAGAATTTCATCCATGAACAAAAGAAGCGCTCTAGAAGATTTGATTTGTCCTACTGTGTTTTAGGCTTCCAAAATTGCAACGCCAAACACTTGTCTGCAAGTCATCATTGGCTAGCAACAAACGCCACGCTGAACTCGACAGTAACACACCGCTCTTCGAGAGTATAGAGACTCGATAAAAACATTTTCTTAGGCAGTCGGCTGAGCAGATACATAAATATCGAGAAGGTAACGTGGAATTATCACCAGCTTTAAGTGTATAAAAGAAACTTTACTCACAATGGCCCAGATTTACACTCCCTTGAATTCAGATTTGTGTCAAATCCGGCGCTTAACCCTTCAACCAGCTATCAGCCTCAATGATACCCTCCATGGTAATCTCGATGTGGTTTCCCTGGAGTCAAGCCCAGAGTATGAAGCTCTCTCATACGTATGGGGCTCAACCACACCAGCTAAGACTATCAACCTTGATGGCCTTCTAATTTCCATCACGCCAAATCTCGACAATGCTTTACGTAACCTTCGTCTTCCCAATCTTCCTCGAATCCTCTGGGTTGACGCATTATGCATCAATCAGGATGATCTCGACGAACGTGCCTCCCAGGTTGCGCTGATGAGGCGGGTCTACACGGAGGCTACTACGGTCTTGATTTGGCTCGGTTCGGAATCGGATGGTAGTGATGATGCGATGCGGAGTATTGAGCGGTTTGATAAGGGGTATTGGAAAACGTATGATTTCCAGACTCAGTTTATGGAGATTCTTTTTCGGCCGTGGTTTACGCGCATTTGGACGGTGCAGGAGTTTGTTATGGGGAAGCATAGTGTTGTGGATGGAAGAATGAAAAATCCATTGTTTGGGTGTGGGGGTGTATGGGTTGAGTGAGTATTCGGTTGCTCTTCTTACTTTACTTCCTTATATGCACTTTTGCTTTTGGATATATACTACGATCCATGTTTTCTGCCAGTTACATTTTATATATTCAACTCACACTCAGAGACTAGCTGAACGGCTGCTGATTCTTCATATTTAGATGGCTGTCCTTTATCACGGCATGGGCCCATTTTTCAGACGATACAAACATCATGGAGGAGAAATACAAGAAAGCGTACCACGATGCGGTGGCCAAGACATTTGAGCCCGAGTGGATTCGACTTGCTCATTCAAAACCAATGGGCACAGAGCCTACTTCTCTAGAAGGAGTAATCACAGGACTGAGAAGCGCATTTGGTGAAGACTTCTTAGAGAATTTACCCTATTCCAGTGTAAAAGATTTAGATGAAGAAATCCAGCTCAACCCACATGTATGGAGAGCCAGATACATCACAATGAGACATTCTCAGTACGATTCAATCGAAGCTAAAGCATTTTGGAGAAGAATGGAACTTACGAAACGCGTTCCAATCACTTACCATGGCTTTCTTATGCACTCCCGCGGTACTCTTCGCATCCGCAAGGAACCGCTTACTCTTGAAACTGTCCTAAAAGGCACAATGAATCTTCGCTCCACCGATCCACGGGACAAGATCTACGGAATCCTTGGTCTATTGAGCGAAGAGGCTAGAGCAGCTATTCCTATTGATTACCACAAGGAGCCAGAGTGGACATTTGTCCCGACAATGACTTACATTATACATCACGAGCCCAAAGGTCTAGCACTTCTCGGCCTTCTTTGGCGGACACGCCAGTTTAAAACACCCCTTCCCTCATGGGTCCCAGATTTCACCATCTCGGCTGATTATAACGATGAACATAATCCCGTCTTTCTGCGCGGTGGTTGCGCAAATTACGGTTGGGACTGGCCTGAAGATACCAATGCCACAGTTTCACAGGACAGAATCATACTTTCGGCGCACATGATTAATTTTGGCCGCGTCACTCATATCATCTCTTTCATCGATGGAGATCGCAACTACTATATCTCGCGATTCAAAGAGATCGAATCTCTTCTCACCATTCATGCGGCTCTGAGTGAACCTCTCTGGAGGACGCTTGTGGGTATTCGCAACACGGATCAGGGATTAATAGCACCATACCCGCGAACTTTCGAAACATTAATGGGACGAATTCCCGAGCAGAATGGCGATGCACAGAAAATGTTCCAAGATGCCATTTTACCTATTGTTCGGGGACGGAAATTTTTTATCACTGATAGAGGATTTGCGGGTGTGGCTACGCCAATGATTAGAGACGGAGATATGATTTCTAATATTATAGGGATGGGTAGGCCGGCTGTTTTGCGGGATATTGATCCCGAGGAGATAGGTATGGAGAGGAGAGTTGATGGTGGGAGGTTGTATCATAGGATCACTGGATTTGCTTATGTGGGTTGTCATGATAGGGATGGATTTGAGAGTTTGGTCAAAGAGAATGTAGGAGATCGGGATAGACATTGTTGTGTTGATAAGGAGCTGGAGGAGTGTTTTATTATTTGAAGCTGGTGAAAATTTTATTTTGATTAGATTTCGTATTTTGAAAATCTGAGAGATAACCTATAACCTTACTTGTTTGTGGTTGTCAGGGTTGATTGAGTGAATGCGAACTTGCAGTACATAGTAGGTAACAATCATTAGAATTTGAGTGCGACAGCTTTGTTCCAGGGACCTTGGGATAGTATGAAGGTCTTATGAATAATTCGCTGGACCGTGACGAGGGTTGCGATCTAAATCACATGGAAGTGGTCCGGATCCTCGAAGTGATTTATAACTAGACATCAAACAGAAGCTTAAGATAATATTAATAATTGTAATTTATAATTAATAATAGAATATACTAAATGATTAATCTTGAACACAAAGTTCTATAATAAAAAATACTTTTTAGTTATATAGATCTTTATATTTAAAAATTATAAAACTTTCAAATCTTTATTATTCTCTTAAAGTATAAAAGTCTTCGAATCTTTAATACTTTAATATATAATCTTATATTTATTATAGATTCAAGTTTAATAAGATTTATGTATATTTATTTTTTATATTATTTCAATCTTATATTAAATCGCTCAAATTATATCTTATAAGTATATAATTGATTAATATAAGATTTGTAATTGTAACAATATAAAGATATTGATTATTATATATTAAATATATTTTATTATTATTATTATTATTATTATTATTATTATATTTAATAAATAAAATATTTTAATATATTTATTATCTTGATTTATATAATCTTTAATAAATATCAAAAGTCTTATTTAATACTCAAGTTTTTATAAAAAAAATATATATATAATTTTTATAAGATTTTTATTACAAATTCAAACAGTATATAATAAGTGTTATAATTATAAATCTTATAATAATTGATTGTATACTTATGAGATATATGTTACAAATCATCTATATCTAAGATTATAGTGGTATTATTGATGTCGGTGATTCATAGGCCGACTACAGGGGGGGTGTGATTTAACCGTTGCTTTCAGGGGGCCTAGTTGCTTACAAATAGGACCCCAGGATTCCTAAAATAAGTATTCTAGACAACTATATTAGAATAGGACAAGTGTCCTAACTAATCGATTGTAATAAAACAATCACCCTAGAGGATATCGTATCCTAAAACTATAATTCCTAAAGGAAAGCTCCTGGGACAAGTGTTCCAGGAAAGAAGAGGCCTCAGGATCAATCATGTGATGAGGAGCTTTGGGAGCTTTGAAAGCTCCTAGAGCTCCAGGAGCTTTTTGGAGCTCTAGGGCTCTACGAAGCTCCTTTCCATTCATTAATATATAGTCAGAATAGTTTCATAGTTTAGGAGCTTCATGCTCGACTTAGTTATCAATTAGTTTACCTATATCCCAATTGATCTAGTAACGAATTCACTTTTAAGTGGATAGCCAATGATTATTAGCCTTAAGCTACAACTACCAACCATACGAAACCTCAGGCAGCCGCTGCCTCAACCAGATCGTTACAATTTCCGGTCTATATAGCTAGGAAAGGATTCCTTTTGTAGAGCTTCGTGCTCAAGATCAATCATTTAGTATAATCTACTACTAGTTACGAATTACAACCATTGATATTACCTTAAGCCCCTACTTGGCGCCTAGTTATAAACCATTCGAGCATCCAGGTCACTTCCACGTGATCTAGATCGCAACCCTTGTAACGGATAAGTCATCAGACCACGCGTTTTATTAGTGGAATTCCACGCGTCTCTGTACAAGGCGCGTCGCGTATCTTTTCGTCATAGCCTTCCTTACCTTCATACTATTCAATTCATGTACACTTGAATTTCATTGTTTACGTTTACCCACGTTGTACCTAAGACTAATCACCCGCTCATCCTACCCAACTTATCCCTCTCTACTCCATAATACACTTTTGGAACTCCCTTCGTACTAAACCTACATACTACCCTGCGATCAAATCTTCTTACCTTCGCCATGGCGGAGCTTCATGGTGAGCTTAAATCACATTTTGATCTCCATAAAAAAGCGTTGGCAGTTGGGCCCAATTCCGGAAGAGCAGCGGGCGAATTTTGGGCAGCTGGTGAGTAACTAAACTAACATTTTTCGTTTGACAAGTGGCTAGATTGCTAATACTATTCATGTGCGTCAAGTACTGGAACCCGATAAGGATGTCTCAAATTTTAGTTTAGAAGGTTTCCATTGGTTCAAGGTTAAAAGCAAACATACTGTTGCAAAAGTACAGAAAGCGTACCACAAGAAGTGTGGTGTTACGGTTCTCCTTCGTCAAGGAGATCGAGTGATACCATTGACAACCCAGATGCAGCAGATAAATCATTTCAAGGATGATATCATCATTTTTTCGACAAGCATTATATCTGAAGCGGATGATGCTAACCTCAGCCGAATGCCATTACAGTCAATTGATGCTGCTAGCCAGAATCGTATGCAGACCCCTTCTCAAGCACCTGTCAAAGCCGAGACTGAACCTGCATCGGGGTCGGTAGGGGTGAAGGCAGAACCAGACCTTTCAACTGTCTCCCCAAGCCCCTTCGAAACTCCTGCCATCTCTCGCACATCGCCTGAAGTTGTACAATTTGGGACACCCGCACTAGGTCAACTTGACACTCCTGCATCAGCACCTACTTCTGGCTATGATGTGTTTGCTGAATCTCAAGATGATTATTACAGGCATTCCAAACTTACAGCTGGTAAGTCATAGTCTGGTCAATTATGTTGGTTTCCGGGCTAATCTAGAACAGCTGGACTTGAAACTTCTTTGAGGTAAGCATGGGCTGTTTTGACACCCGCGTCGCGTGAATTTGGGAACAGAAGGCTTCTAAGCATGCAAATAGTGCGCTAGGTAATACTTCTGCGCCGGATGACCCATTAGGTTATGAATCTTTCGCCGAGGTTCATCGTGAAAATTACACAAGCTCATCCGCCACACCCGGTAAAGTCAACCTTCATTAACAGTCGTATACGTGCTTTAGCTAACCTCAAAGTAGCTGAAATTGAGTCTTCTTTGCGGAAAATTTGGGACAAAATATCAAGTGATACTCGGGAGTACTACTCAACAAAGGATGCCCAAAAATCGAACATTCCAATTTCCAACAATAGCCCCTTATTGCCTGCACCTGCAGTCGATACCAAGCCCTTACCAGGAAGTTTTAGTCCCTCTGCCAATAACCGCTCAAAATCCGTGACCCAAGATGATATTGTGATGAAACCTGACGATTATAGCTCAACATTTAAGGATGAAGATGGCAGCCCAGAACCAGAACCACAAACTTTAGAGCTCGGGAAGCTTAGGATTCAACATATCATGGAAGGCGGTTCCGCAGAGGTGCTCAAACAAGAGGTGAAAAAGACAACTGATTTCCTCAATACTTTGAAGAATCATTTTAAAGTACCTGAAGCGGAATCACACCCAGACACAAGTCATTGGCTTCAACAGATTGGTAAGTGGCATTAATGTATCTTCTACTCAGCTAAATGGTTCGGCAGACACTTTGCAAGCTCAAGTTGAAAACACTCCCACGATTATCGGTGTCGTTGGCAACACTGGTGCGGGTAAGAGTAGTGTTATTAATGCCATGCTTGATGAAGAACGCTTAGTTCCCACCAATTGGTATGCTTTCCATTCCGTCAAGGTGATTGATATGCTTATATATGCTTAGTATGCGCGCTTGTACTGCGGTCGTTACGGAGATGTCGTGGAATTTTAGCGACGACCCGAGCAAGAAGTATAGAGCAGAGATAGAATTTATCAAAGAATGTGATTGGGAGAACGAACTCAAAGTATCTTTGAATGAACTTATTGATGCGTCCGGAAATGTAAGCGACCTAATCTTCTCAAATAACATTACTAACTTCCCTTCAGGTCTCAAGAGATTCTACAAATGCAGACACTGAAGCTGGAATTGCATATGCCAAGATCAAAGCCGGTTAGTTGAATAAAACATCTCACACAGTACGACTTCTAAGCAGTTGTTTAGTTTACCCAAATAAGACGCACGAAATGCTAGCAAAATCCACTGCAGAGGAGCTGCTTGCCGAGAGCGATGTTCGCACAGTCCTTGGAACGACCAGAACCATTGAGAAATCCTACTCTGAATTTTTCTACAAAGAACTTCAGCGCTATGTCGACAGTAAAGAAAAGTCTACGGGTGAGGGGGGCCGACCTAGTGAGAAGAAAAAGGAGAAGAGAACCATGGAATTTTGGCCTTTGATTAAAGTCGTGAGAATATTCGTTAAAGCTGATGCTCTCTCCACGTGAGTACTTGATTCGTATTTATCTGAATTTTGACAAAGCTTACTCGTGATTAGTGGTGCTGTTATTGTCGACCTGCCTGGTGTTCATGACTCGAATGCTGCTCGTGCTGCTGTGGCCGCTGGCTACATGAAACAATGCACCGGTACGTACTTTTCGAGGGCCCTGGATTTTTTGTGTCTTTGTCTAATGCATTACTAGGTTTATGGATTTGTGCTCCTATTAATCGAGCAGTCGATGATAAGGCTGCGAAATTTCTTTTGGGAGAATCGTTTAAACGCCAACTCAAGTATGATGGAGTAAGCCAATTTCACCGCCATTTCTTCCTTGCAATGCTAACTTACCGTTAGCAATTTTCGAGAATCACATTCATTTGCTCCAAAACTGACGATATCTCTGTTCTTGAAGCTTCAGATTCGTTAGGTCTGGAGGATGCTATGGCGGAAGATTACGCGATGATCGACCAGATTGACAAACAAATTGATGAATTGAATGCGAAGATTGCAGATCTTAAGGGAAACATCGATGTTTATAGTGGAGTTTACAATGACGCGGACGAGAGTCTAGATATTTGGGATGATTTGAGGCGAGATTTAGATGCAGGTGAGGCCGTTTATGCCCCGAAAGCTAAGCCTGAAAAGTCTCCCAAGCGAAAACGTTCTCCCTCCTCGAGGAAATCACGCAAGAAGATGAAGATATCCGAAGACGAAGATGATGATGATTTCATCGATGATGACGATGGGGACCAGGAAGGTGATGAAATCTTCGACGAGGAAACCGAAGCCGAGGAAGAAGACCTCGGCAGAGGCGACCCTTTGACAATAGAAGACATTGAACAAAAGATTGATGACCTCAAAGACACCAAAAAGCAAGCTCGGAAGGAGAAGGTCGCCTTGGAACTGGAGATCAAAGAAGTCAAAAAACAATCGAAAGAATTGGACCAGCAAAGAAAGGAAATCGACACCAGAATGCGCGCCATTTGTATTGACGGTCGAAACAAGTATTCAAAAGGAGCTATTCAACAAGACTTCGCTGCTGGTATCAAAGAGCTTGATATGGAAAACGCCGAAGAGGAAGATGCTGAGAAATTCAACCCTGATGAAGACATTAGAGACTATGATGCCGTAGCTCGTAGTCTTCCTGTGTTTTGCGTTAGTAGCAGAGCCTACCAGCAGCTGAATGGAAGATTGCGGAAGGATGCCAAGATCCCAGGTTTTCGTAATATCAAGGAGACCCAGGTATTTATGATTATTGACAGATTGAATACCCACAACTGATAATGTTCTAGATTCCTCAACTTCAAGCACATTGCAAAAAACTTACGGAAGCTGGTCGAAGTGCTACCTATCGTCGATTCCTCAATGCTCTTCTTCAGCTTGTGTTATCCTTGTCTTTATGGTCAAACAACGATGGAACTAATATCAATCTTTCAGATTCACAAAAGTGGCCCAAGCAAGCTGGCTTCAGAAGAAGTTAAAAGAATTGGAGGAAAGCCTCGATGAGGCATTCGGAAGTTGTGTTGCTGACATGAAAGATGCTTTAACCGAAAATATCTTTGAGAAATTCAGCGAGGCCGTTCCATTGGCTGCGGAACAGGCACCTATCATTGCTGCGAAATGGGGTGCTCCTGTCAACAAGGTCAATCGTGCAGCTGGTGGTTTGTATTTTCAGACATATAAAGGTAAGTTTTTCCGCATGAATCCTATTACCGCGCTAACGGAACTAGCTGTCATTCGTAGAGATGGTGTGTATGGAAATAAGAATGGTAATCTTTGAACTTAGCTTCGCATATAATTTACAACTGACGATTTTAGCTGCGTATAATTTCAACAGCGATTTGACGGAGCCAATTATGAAACACTTGGCAAATCATTGGGAAAAGAATTTCTCCAGGAGAATTCCTTCCGTGCTTCGAAGTTTCACTACAAAAACTAATTTGATTCTAAAGAATTTATATCAGGCGGTTGAGAGTAGGAGCCGCAAAAATGGTACAGGGGTCACTGGCTTGGAAATGCTGGGTCAACAACTCCGAACGTATGAATCAAGCTTCTCAATCCTAAACATAGAGATGATCGAAGCTATCAACAATCTACAACGTGATGCCAATAGAGAGTTTGTTCCAGTAATAGCTCAGAACTTGGCCTCATCTTATCAACATTGTGCTGGCGAAAGCGGTAAGTTTCAGTTTCACTCCGCTGTTAATTTTGGTGCTAAGATCAGTGCTAGGAGTTGGCACATATAAGCGCATTAAAGATCATTTGGGCAACCAAATTTATCAAAAACGAAACTCCATGTTCAAAGAAAGTTGCGATGAAGTCAAAACCAGACTCAACAAGATTTGTCGACGGGTTGGAGAAAGTATGAACAACAAAACCGACGAAGTTTTTTTACTTATGCGCAGAGATTACTTGCAAGTTCTTAATGGTGCTCAGGTAAGTGGTGGAGTAATGCCTAAATGGGAACGCCACGTCAGATCGGAGGTTGCTCGCGCACTTGTCGATATTTGAGCGAGGTGAAGCGGAAAAGATTGCTACTGGTGTGAAGGATAAAGAAGGTAATGAAGATGAGATGTTGAAAGACAATTAAACCGAAGATTATCATGGCGTCAAAAAGGATGGGTCTGCGGAAACTAGCGCGGTTCAGGATAATGAAGTTAAGGTTCATGCCATGGGACTGGACGAAGCAAAGGCTCCTACCGTCAAGAGCGAGCAATTTCCGGATGATGGAACTGGTGAAACATACACCGACACCAAATCATCTGTAATGGACGTTGATCGTCCAGCTGCCGAAGCCTCGCCTACTGATTCTCCTTCAACAGATATTCCTACCTAGACAAACATCATTTCGGTTCTGCTACTCACTAAACCATCATCTACATTCTGTTTTTGTAAGATATTCGCTTCATTCCCCCATCTCTAGGGCGGTGTTTAGGGATATTTGGACAATTCGGAATAATATGTTCTATGTAGCACTGATCTTTACTTTTTGACGTTGGCTTGTTTTGGTGTAGTACGGGTAGACAAAAGGCTGGCATGTGTTCATGAGGATGTATTCAATTTGCTTTGATTCAAACGAGAAAATGTATGGGATTTGCTGAGGATTTGCTACTCAAAATGGTTGCTATTGTGAGTTATTGCAAAGTATTTAGGGTAAACTGAGCTAGCATCTGATCAGAAATTTCACACGTCCAAGTATTTGTGGTTAGTTTGGGTGGTATGTTACAAGGTGTGTCATGAAAGTATTCTGATAAAGAAGGAGCGAAGCCATCCCTTCCCTCGGTCAACGTTTAATTATGAAACCCAAGTAACAAGCAGGGTAAGGGCCATGATGGCCGCCAGACAGGATGTTACTTTCATCTTCAACTTCTGGGCAACAAACTACATTCATTACCATCCATCACTTCACTTCATATTTGCAGAATCATTACGCTCGTTCAAAAAAAAAACCACGAATATTTGTATGCTCTGCATAGTTATTTCCATTCCTACAGTCATTATTACATAAATCATATTAACAACAAAAGAAATATCAGGTCAATATGCCTTTTCTATTCAGCCCAGCCCAGCCATCCATTGACCAATGTATTCCATTATTAAAGCCAAAATTATCAGAGATCATAGTCCATCTGACTTTCATCCCTCCGTTTGCTTCAAAAGAAAACAATATTCAACATTCCATCGACAGACTATCGAACAGGATAGTCCGCGCCAGGCACTCCAATGCAAGTATTGAAGAATCGATATCCATGTCCCTGAAGATAGTGCCAAGGATACGCAAACTTCCTCCGTGGAAATTTATCAACATCGAGCTAAAGTTTGGAGGTTCGGAAAATGTGCCAACAGTTGATGAGACCTTGAGAAACATTTTAGAAGAATTTGCCCGTGACCTTGGGAGTATTGGAGGTTGCCCTGTGTCTATCCGTACCTCCCCGTTCATACCGGATAGCACCTCTCGTGTTAGTGGTTTGGTTGATGTAAGTCTTCCTTTGGCACATCAATGGAATTACGTCTAGTATATCCAGAATTTGGGAATTTAAACTAATGCTGCATTGTTAGCACGATGAACTACTGCATTACATCCCCAGCACTTGCACGATCAACTTGTGTTTGTCTCGACAACTAGACAATGCAGAAAAATCAAATTCAAATGCCGTTTCATCTAGAAGCACGGAGGCAGAGATTGCACGACTTATTTCAATCGGTCTTAACCTAAGTGGTGTAAAGTTACGTGAAGATTTGCTTCAATCATTATCACCATGCGAACACCCCAAATTGGATTCTACATCTGATGATTCATCCTTTTTAAAATGTCTTCCTACCCACCTACGCGGGGGAGTAAGGAAGCAGTACAGACCTTGCTTACGAAGAATCAAGAAGAGAAACCTACATGATCATTCCCACAGCGACATAGATCTTGGTTATGGTGGATCTCACTTTTCTGCGCAACCGTTTCCTAAGTATGATCCAAATGTGGATTTAACATATCTATTTGAGACGGATGGCATTTATCGTGTTGGTACATATATCAGCCCGACGGTGATTACAAAAAGACGCGAGATGCTGAGTAAAGTCTCAGGGTTGGTATCTGCGAAGGCAATCCACAACACTCGATGTTATAACTCCTGTGCCGAATCAAACGTCGAGCTCATTTCTGAACAACTGATTCATAGCAGCCGAAGCAATAATTCCATTATCGAATTCAATCCGAGGTATCATTGTGACACTGTGAGCCAGCCTTATGTCAGTCTTGGTCTTGGATGTTCAGGTCTCGGTACTGATTCAAGTTATATGCGTTTAAGAGGAGGGGTTGGAGATACAGATGGTAATAGCCCGGACCCAATCAATTCAACATCAGCACCATCAAGGCGTACTCGCATACGCGACCAATTTCGTGCTATGTTGAATAAGAATCCCCTGAAATTCATATTAGGGAAGTTTTCTTGCAAGAAACCAACGCAAACCCCACAAGAACGAGGTTATATTGAGCTCGAAGAAGTTCACAGCCGTGAAGAGCTTGAAGAGAAATTTGAGAGAGAAGTGAGAGAAAAGGGCATATCGCATGATAGTCCTTCAAAACAAGATGATTATCAGAGAGCAATGAACGAATATAATCTGTTCTTGGAGCAGATAATTGAGATAAAAACGTCGTTGCGCGAGATTGAAGAGCTTCTCCCTGAAGACTGCGATGAAGTACGGAAATACAGAAGTATCCGCAAAGATGCAATAGCACTAGAAAACTTTGATAAAAGAATGGCGCAGATAGATCGACAGAAAGACGGCCCCCTCGATATGAAGAGCAGACTCAAGTTTATAAACCGCGCTTGTAAAGAGGCAAATGTTGTGAAGGGAATCTTCCACAAAAGAAGAGATCTAGCGCGAATTGCCTGGAGAAATTTGCTTTATTCCGATTCTGACTCAACCACTCCACTATTGCGCGGAGGGGCAGGACCACCGAAAAGATTCCAGCGAAGGTATAGGATGGGTATACAGGAATTCGCTAAATTTCAGTCGGAGAATGAGCCAATTGCAGGACCTGCTCCTACTTCGAGCCAAATAGTCGGATCGGAGACTCCTACGCAAACAGCAGAAGCTCTGGAGCCTACACAGACAGTCGAATCTCCGACTTCAACCGAAATAGCGGAAGCTCCGACTCCTACGCAGACAGTCGAAGGCCCAATTCCTACGCAAACAACGGAAACCCTGACGCCCACAGAAACAGTCGAACCTCCGACCTTTACACAAGCAGCTGAACCTTTGAATCATACGCAAATAGTCGAACCTGGGACTCCTATGCAAGCGCAAGAATCTCTGGCTTCTAACCAAGCAGTTGTATCGCCAAATCCTACCCAAACAATCTTAATGTCAAATCCTACGCAAGCGGTAGAATCTGTGACTCCTGGCCAAAAAGGTGTATCCCAGAATCCTACGCAAATAGTTGAACCTCCACCTGCACGTCCAGCACTTCAAACTCACCAACAGCATGATTCAATAGACAGTGGTGTTGGTGGCTTAAAGGACACTGGAAGTCAACAAAAAGATGAAGCTACACAAGATGAAGCCGCAAAAGATGAGCCTGCACAAGATGGAAATCCTGTCCCAGCCTATGAGTCTTCAGAATCTCAAAATCGATACACAGTGGAGGTTGCAGAAGCTACAGAGAGCTCAGATGAAGACAACGTTGAGCAGTCTAACACTCTCGGAAATTCAAATAATATCGTGAAGTTAAATGATTCCGAAGAATTAGATAGCGTCGAGGACTCGGACGATTTCGAAGAGCCAAAAAGTTTGGAGGGACCCAAAAGTGTCAACGAGACTGGCAATGCAGGAAGTGAAACTGGCACTTTAGAAAGTTCAGAACCTGAAGAGCTGGAAAGATTTGCTAGACAACGACTTGAAAGGGCACGGGAACAACTTGAGAGGCAAACGCGATTAAAAGACGAAATTGGCGATATAGCAGCCGAATTTTTTGATCTCGTAAATGAGATTGCATTCAAACGCCACGCTATTTTAGACGGGGATCCTCTTACAAAAGCCGGTTTTGAATCGCGGATTATCGATGACGATGTGGCGGCTATAACCAGATATATAAAGTGTAAATGGGAAATTTCACGTATCCTTGATGAAGAGACTTTGTATTCGTATCAAGTTACACGTGCAGAGAATTGTGTTATAGGGGCAAGATGCGTGAAGCATATAATGGATAATTGGTACGCCGCGGTAGTTGAACGGCGAGAAAACTCTACGTTTGAGCCTGCAACAACAGGAAGTTTGGGAATCCTGGATAATTGGGAATACGTCCCAGCTTTACCGGAGACTTGGTCTAGCCCTACGCTAAGAAGAAGATCCTCAGTGGGAGTGGCTTCTGCTTCAACTCCGCAATCTAAAGCCGTGGAGAAAAAGCCTGGTGAGTCTTCAAAAAGCAGCGCTCGTCGCCCGTTTCGAAAATCGTACCCCGCGGTTGAAGAACGTGGTGAATCTTCAAAAAGTAATAGTCCTGTCGACAATTCGAATATCACAGCACAGATAAACGAATTGGAGGCTAAGAACGGAATTGAGGTGACTAGCGTCTCAAGACGTAGTTCAAAAGACCATAGTATTAATGAGCGCGGTGCAAAAATCACGTCTCTGAGAGAGAACATCGAGGAAGAAGATTATCAGCCGCAGATTGAGGAAGAGTGTATAGAGACACTTACGGTTCTGGGGGCTACGCGTGCCGAAGCTATTAATATATTGATAGCTACTGAAGGAGACGTTCAACGCGCGGCTAATATCTTCTACGAGGAAGATCCCTTGGTGAATGATGATGCGTATGATTTGTTGGAGGATGCCGAGGCTGATATAAATGGACTGGTGGCATCGATGGGAGTATCGCCCCGCAAAGCTTTTATTGCGTTGCTGCTTTCCGAGGATGATGTTGGAAAGGCTGTACTTCATTTATCGGCTGATTTTACTTATGATGCGGATGATGAGGTTACTGAGGCGGCTAATGATGATAAGGTTGTTGGTAGTGGTGGTAAAAAGGGAAAGGAAGTATAGTCTTGTGAAGCATTAGCGGGAACGTTGACCTTATCATGTAAATAGCGGTTTAGGGAATAATCGAAATATTATCAGCGTAAAATTTGCCATTTTTCGGTATTTAATGGTTCTGGAGTGCAGTACTGGATAGAAATGCGGTATTTTCGATTTTTAAATTTGCTTGGGGGATTGGAGTGGAATTGAACACTGAAAAAACAATGAAAGGGTTATGAGCATTCAAGTCATTTCAAAGACTGATAGCTCCTGGAGTAATAGAAGCCTAAATCTGATCTCTATTGGATTTGAAGCGGGGATGAGGAACTACTGTTCCATATCCCACTGCCACGAGGAACAATTTCCGCTTCTCAACTCCTATCGACTTCCTTCTCACGAGAAAAAATTCCTTTACTCGTCTTCAGCTTTTCTTCTCCCCTCCGCAAAATCACTCAACACCTTATTCAAACCCTCTCTCCTCACACAATTTTCAAACTTCCAACTCCCCGCCAAAGCCTCCAATTCCTCCTCTCCCAACCCCCTGAAAAGTTCAGCAAACTCATCTGCAAAGCTACTTGCTACATAGGTTTGTACGACGCCTCTCAAAAGTTGTCTCTGGACACCCCAAGGCGTGGGATATTGTTCTTTTGCCTCGGGGGCATTTTCCTCGATCCATTTGATCAAGGGATCTAACGCCTTATCCAACGATTCTGAGGCAGGGGATCCCCAGGCGTCGAGTTGGAGGGCGCGTTTCTTTTGGAGGAATGGGTTGATCAGGCTGTGGTATGGAGATGTGGGGGAGGTGGTTACCATGCCTTGGAGTCCGAGGTCTTTGTAAAGCCATATGCACCAGGGGATTTGGTATTTGTCGTAGATTTTTAGTTGGGCTCCAAGGAGGGAGTAGCGTTGGGCGTTTATTTCTGAGGCGTTGGGCTCGAGTGTGGAGTCTGCGTAGACGGGTCCGAATTCGCCGTTCCAGCTTGGGACATTGCGGTCTCTCATAAATGTGCATTTACGTAGGAAACTGGATTCGAGGTGGGTGATTTGGGAAGGGGAGTTGGTGAATGGGGTGCCGGTGGGGAAACCCATGGAAGAGTAGTCGTGGAGGGCGTAGGCGCAATTGGGGAGGATGGTATCAAAGGATTTCCACTCCATTGCGAAGGTGTTTCCGTCGAGCCAAAGGATGTGTGAAGGGTCTATTTGACGGATTTTGGATTCAAAACGAGTGTAGAATTCTGGGAGACGGTGGTGCAATGGGTCGCAGGGTTCGTTGATGGGATTATAGCCTGCTATCCAGGGGTTATCGCGGTAGCGGGTTGCGATTTGTGACCAGAGCCAGATGGTACGGTCTTGATGATCTTTGTGATCCCAAAATGAGGCATAGTTGGATGGATTGTCAGAATGCCAGTCTGGATTCTGGGCACCAGGCACCGTATGCATATCGAGGATTGTGTAAATATTATGTTTGGCGCACTATTTCTATCAATATTTGTAGACATTGGGCTATGATATCCACCCACAAGTTCAATAACACGGTCCAAATGTTTGAAACCACTTTCTTTCAAAACTCTAGGATTCATATCGTCTTCAAAATGTCGATAATTAAATGGCAAACGCAAACAATTCAATCCCAAACTGGCAAAGAATTTGGCATCATCTTCCATGAAGAAATACTCTAGGAATTTATCAAAGAAGAATTCATATTTCTCCTTGCCGAGAACTTTTAACATGGCAGCTCGATGTTGATGTTCATGACCCGGATAACCGGTTATGAAATTCTCCATATTCATCCATCCTCCTAAACCAGCTCCGCGAAGTATGACTGGTTTACCGGAGGCATCGACGATTTGCTCGTCTTTTACTCGAAGAATGCCATTAGACATGTTGGGGATAGGGAAATAATAAGCTTTAGATAGGTTTATGTTGAAAATTGTAAACGAGATTATAAATTTCGTGTTACAAGAAAACGTTGAATCATAAAGAAAAGATAAATTATGAGCATCTCCTCATGCAAAGACATATATTATATATTTTGTTTTTGTGTCAGAGAAAGTCATGAATTTTGTATTCAGGCTGATATGTGAAGCTGTAAATATTACCACTTCTCTACAACCCCACCATGTATCCCCTGCGCTTCTAGTTTATCCGGATCAAAATCAGGATTGGATCGACGACAGACTGTTCAAGCGCACGAATCAAATCAGCAGCTCTCACAAAATGGGCACTTGTTTGGATTCAACAATTAATATCTTGGAAAGATATTTAGATATTGGATGGGTGAAATCGGGTAAACATGGAACGACTTGGAAACAGTATCAATACTCAAAATTATTCTTAAAGACAAATGAAGATAGTGTTTGCATTTTCATGCTCAATAGTGGTTTGTACAATAAGAGTTGTTTAGACAGCTAGGATAGCATAACTCAAAATCTGATGGCAAAAATCCATTCCCAATCAGAATTTCAAATAAGGATATACTGACGTGTGGTGAATGGTAGTAATGGCATGTTCTCCAGCTTGAAGACTTAGCCTGACTACAGAGTATAGGGATGGTAAATCTACTTTCAACTATGAAAAGCAGTTCAACCAGAGGGAAGGGGATATGATGAAGGGATCCGGAAAGATATATAGTCAGTTTGTAGGCTCAGCTCAGACACAGACTTCAACAACTGAGCAGATGAAGTCTATCACCCTCATCTGTGCAAAGGTCGCCCTCAATTCCATATCCTGAAAATCAGCATGTTCAACGGATTTGAAAATAGTCTGCCTCCACGGCAGTGGCCCCCGGAGGGTCAGCGGAGCGTCATTTCGATTGAGCGAATATACGGGCAAAGGCCTTAAAAACCATCCAAAGCTGCTGCGCTCATAGTAAAGATTTCATTCTTAACCAAAATCTTTCAATTGCCGACCTCGGTCCAATTTTAACACGTGATACTCCAAAATTCTTCCTTTTCCCTATTTAAGCTTAGCTTCAACGATCGGGAACAGGCCGGAAGCTTTCCTCAGCACAAACATTGTCTACCGGTTACGAAAGATTCCTCTCCACCGAAAGTCTTTTCTGTCCCTCCATCAAATATTCAATTCCCAACACTCTTTCTTCTTTTCACCACCACATAATATATTTTGACATCATGTTCGCCGCAAGAAGAGCATTGACTGGAGCAGTTCAAAGCAGAGCTTTCTCTGCTTCTGCTAGAGATGTAAGATTAATGTTCCGTCTAATACTTCTTACAGCTATTTACTTGGCTCTATCATTTATGAACCTTTAACTAATTTTACTCAAAATAGCTCTCTAAAGTTACAGTTCTCGGTGCTGCTGGTGGAATTGGACAACCATTGTCTCTTCTCCTCAAGTTAAATCCTCGTGTTACTGATTTGGCTTTATACGATATCCGTGGAGGTCCAGGTCCGTCGACATCATTTCTTATAACAATATTGCTGGGAAGATCAAAGTCGAAAGGGAATTAAATGTACAGATATGCTAATAGGATATTCAATTGGATAAATAGGTGTCGCAGCAGATATTTCTCACATCAACACCAAATCCAAGGTTACTGGATATGAGCCAACGCCATCTGGTCTTGCCGCTGCTCTCAAAGATGCCGAAATTGTCTTGATCCCAGCTGGTGTTCCACGTAAACCGGGTATGACCCGTGATGACCTCTTCAATACTAACGCGTCAATTGTTCGTGATCTCGCCAAAGCTGCTGCTGAATCTGCACCAAACGCAAACATCCTTGTTATTTCCAACCCAGTTAACTCAACTGTTCCAATCGTTGCCGAAATCTTCAAGGCTAAGGGAGTTTATAACCCAAAGAGACTTTTCGGTGTTACTACTTTGGATGTTGTTAGAGCTAGCAGATTCGTCAGTGAAATCAAGAAGACTGACCCTGCTGATGAGAACATCGTTGTTGTTGGAGGTCACTCTGGTGTTACCATTGTTCCTCTTTTCTCTCAATCATCCCACCCAGATCTCGTTGGTAACGAGAACCTTCTCAAGCGTGTTCAATTCGGTGGTGATGAAGTTGTTCAAGCTAAGGATGGTGCTGGATCTGCTACTCTCTCCATGGCTATGGCTGGTGCCCGTATGGCCGAATCATTATTGAAGGCTTCCCAAGGACAAGCTGGTATCGTTGAACCAACTTTCGTTGACAGCCCATTGTACAAGGATCAAGGTGTTGATTTCTTTGCTTCCAAGGTTGAATTGGGACCAGATGGTGTTCAAAAGATTCATGAAGTTGGAAAGGTCGATGCTGTTGAGGAGAAGCTGTTGGAGGCATGCTTGGCTGATTTGAAGAAGGTACGTTTTTCTGATATTATTATTACCTTGTGCCATGTTAACATAGACTAACAATTACCGACAGAACATTCAAAAGGGTGTTGAATTCGTCGCCAAGAACCCAGGAAACTAAACAAACCCTCTCAATACCTTTATGATCAACTAATTCGAAAACCACCTACAAATCTCAAAATCCTAAAATGAATTTGAAATGAATCCTTGATGTTTTGAATTCCAATCAAATACTCGCGTTTTTATATCGCATGTATGTACACGTATGATGGATGGAAGGAATATAGAAAATATTTCGACTTTTGAGTGAAATGGATGAAATATATCTGGCTATGATGTCTGATTTATAGCATGTATTGTGCAAGCGATGTAAATTATAATGAAATGACTCTCCTCTATGCTATTGTGTATGTATCTTAGTTATTTTCTTCCTTTTGGAAGGTTTTCCTGCTATGAATAGGATTTTAAGATTTGCACCTATGTCCCTTCACTTGGATTCCATCCTCATATTCCCTTGTCTAATCTCGAGTATTTGATATCAAATACTTAAACTTGCCTCAACCCAACTCGGTTCTTCTGCAGGATAGAGATCTTCATTGTTGTATGTCTTCCCTCGATTCCCCCGTCCCTCACTAAATTCTATTCATTACATTAACCCCGCTTTATCCGCCCTAATTATTCTAACCTTCTTGGTGTCTTAATACTATCGATCCCTCATTCACTATATTATTATACTTTCTAATACTCTACTCTTTTTACCCCGCTCATCACACTGATCAATCACTCTATTATTACTTCGTGGTATGCTTTGAATAAGTCTAGTACTTTACTTTTGGACCATCTTTTTATATCAAAAATGACGATTTTTATTTATTGATAAAAAACTTTGAAATTTTGATTATAGATTTATTATTATACAAAAAATATACCTTTATCTCAAATTTCAATCAATTATATTTATAATTTTTGATATAATAAATAATTTATTTAAAAAAGAGATAATTTAAAATTAAAATATTTAATTTAAATACTCTCTTTTTTTTTTCTTTCTTTCTTTATTTATATATATATTTTTTATATAATTTTAAAGATATAATACAAAATATTTATTTACTCTCTTCATTTACTATTTCACTTTAATTAAATAGATACTCGGACAAAGTTACTCAATCGAAGAAACTTATTCATTAACTCATTCCGTCCGCCGTCCTTCCATTCCTCCATCATCCATCATCCACCTTACCAAAAGAACCAAAACCCCACCAATTTATCAAATCCTTCCTTCCACCTCCTCTTTTCCTTCTCTTCCCTCTCTCCACCTCACTCATCTCACCCCATCAGAAAATCTACCACCCATCAAACCATCTTCTTCCTATCAAAACCCCCTTCTTCCCGCCACCTATTAAGGAACCCTCTTCTTCCCTTCCCTTCCCTTCCCTCCCTTTCCAAAAAAACCAACCCCATTCATTCATTCATTCATTCCTCCCTCCTCTCCCTCCCTCCCCTCTCCCTTCGCACCCACCCACCCACCCATCCAGCCCTCCCCCAACAAACCTCCCAAAAAAATCCAACATTAATAGAAATACCCGGAATCGAACCAGAAACCTTTCACCATCACAACAGATAAGGTTATATATATATGCGAAGCGAGCATAATATCACAATACCACTCACTATACGACATCCACATCCACATCCACATCCCCATTTATCGATCGATCGATAACTTTTTAATTTGCTGTGGCATTGTTAATTAAAAAATAACTTCTATTTAAAAACCGGTAGAAGGTGGAACGGGTGGGAAAATGAATGGGAAATGAGAGATGAGATGGGAGGGGCAATGGAGGTGGGCTGAAAATGGATTGTTGGGGTAATAAAGCAATGGAATAGAGTGGGATGATTTGTGCTTATTTGATTTTGGTGTACGAGTACTCGATCAAGCAGGAGTGAGATACGAGTGAGTATACATACCTAGAATACAATCTTATTATACTTTGTGTAAATAGATAGATTCAAGTAAAACCATACAATCATAAGTAATCATTTATAAAAAATCCATTGCATTGCTATTCATACTATCCACACCATCCAAACAGTCCACGCCATCCACTTACAATCCACCAGACTAGACTAATACGAAAGCATAGGTACGTAGATATGTAGAAAGGTATTACTACACCATCCCTCCATACCATATACCATCCCATCCCATCCCATCCCATCCTCCCACCCTTCGTATCCATTCTTTCCTATCCAAACCACAAGGTCCTTACTACCTCGAACTCGTTTCCTTAAACCACAATCCCTAACCTCGAGCTCTTGGTCATGTGTACTACATATCCTACCATAGGTATTTATGAATTATATGTATTGTATCATTCCCCAACCCATCCCATTTAATCCCTTCCCCCACCCCAACCATCACACATCCAAACCAAAACCCATCCAAAAACATCAAACCCCCCCACCCCACGAGAAAATCAACCCAAAATCATACAAGAGTGAAGAATATTGCCAATAAGTTACCATGATTACCATTTCTCTCCCTCCATTTCCCCACCCAACCCCAGTCCAGTCCATCCCTCCCCCCAAAATTAAAAGAAGTGAAAAAGACAGACCAGTAAAAATTGATTTTATTTATGCCCAAAGAAACCTCACTCCACCACTCATAACCATCCTATCCCAACCATTGCCAGCAATAATAGAGAAAAATTAAAAGTACCCTCTCATAGCATCCTCAAAACCTGTTCCTCCTTTCAAATCCCTATCAAATGCATTTGAAACATCCAAAACACGTTTGATATGTTCCATAGAAAGTGGTTCTTTATTATTGACAGCGAGGGCTTGAGCTGTACGAATTGTGTTTTTGATCTAAAGTAATATGTTAATTATATTCTCAAATTAAATGAAAAAGGAAAGGATGGGGAAAAAAAACATACCTGTCTTCCATTCAAATTATTCCTAGCCAAAGCATTATAATCTTCTTCAGTAAAAGGCATTGTATCGATACCCTCCAAAACCCTAACTCTCTCAATAAACATCTTAAAAACACTCTTCTTTGCCTTTGGACTCAAATCTCCATATCTCAATGCGATATGAATTCTTGATTGAAAAGCATCATCAAATGTTTCAACCCTATTCGTAGTCAAGAAAAGAATACCTTGGAAATATTCCAAAAGTCTCAGGAAAATAGAAACCAAAGCATTACGATGAATATCCTGAATTGTTCTCTTCTCCAAGAAAACATCTGCTTCATCAAGAAGAAGAACTGCACCCCATGCATGTGCAATATCAAGGATCTTTTGAAGTTCTGCTTCAAGAGTCCTTGGATCGGTACCAAGTTCTCCAGCTGAAACCATGTAGAGAGGACATTTAAGAAGTTCCGATATACCTTCTGCTGTGAGAGTTTTACCAGTACCAGGAGGGCCATGAAGAACAGCCACAAGTCCCTTACCTTTACCTTGAATAACATCATCAATACTTTCAGCTGGATGATATTTGTGGGATTCGACGAGAGCTTTGACAATGGCTTTGGTGTTATCTTCTAAGACAAGAGAATCGTAAGCACCTTCGTTCCAAACGATATCTTTGATACCTGAAACTGTGAATTCGAGCCAAAGCTTTTCAGCAAAAGCGAATCCAAGAACAACAGGAGAAGCGATTAGATATTCCTCATCTGTGAAGATAGGAAGAGATTTCTTATCATCTTCTGCCTGTGTCGTTTCATCCTTGTTGTCCTTATTGGTAATCTTACTTGGAACTTCATCCAATTTCTCAACAATAACTTCATTGCCATCTTCATCGACAGGAACTGAAACTAGATGAGGTTTCTCCTTTTCATCGAGAACAACCTTGAACTTCATCTTTGGTTCATCATTATCTTCCCTCGTCTCCAAACCACGATCTCCTTGACCATCATCAGAACCATCATCACCACAACAACCACATTCATAATCCTCACTATCAGAATCATCGATAAGATCTGGATCATTAGGCTTGACGGTGCTGACGTTATAATTTGGTAAGATTCGTCGATGAATAGCGGGGTCGACCATAACTCTACCATCAATATTGACTTTGACAATAGACTTGCGCTTCTTGTAATATGCCATTCCTTTATGACTCTTGTAGTGAACACCTTGTAATGCCACAAACTTCTTACCTCTCTCGATAAGTTCGGTACGAAGTTTGGCTTCATTTTTGTGATATTTTAAAGGATAACAATTAAGACTTGTAATCTTTCTTGCACCCTTGAAAGCTGGAACATCACAATCCATGGTACCTATAATGACGTTAGTGGATTATTTTGGTGGAACATACATGTAACATACCCATTCCCCACGTCTTTCCATCATACTCCAAATATTTACCCTCAATATTATACCAAGTTCCCTTCAGGAAACTGATATTCTTTTCGGCCAGTTCGATTTTGAAAGCTCTTGGCTCATCAATGGTGCCATAAGTTGTCGTATAAGCCAAGGTATTAGGCTTATACAAGGCCCAGAGCAGATCGAATGTTATGATTCCAGTTTCCAACATGGGATAGAGGGTCTTCTTAGTGGAGGCATAATCCTTGTCGAGATATTTTAAGAGAACTTTGAGATGTTTTCTCTTGGTCTCATTTCTCTTCTTGAGCTTCTTCTTGCCTTTCTTTTCAGTAACCTTCTTATTTTTCAATTGTTTGCAAGATTTCCGAAGGTCCTCCAGGTACAGGAAAAGGAGGTTAGGGTCAATGCATGGGGTCTCTTCGACCAAACTAACACCTTTGACACCATCCATGGCTTCATTGAGAGCTTCTTTCAAAAGTTTACTCTTAATATCAACAACAGTCGCCTTTAAAATGTTAGCATCTGAGATGGTTTAGCAAGAAATTGGGGAGCGTACCTTATATTTTCCCTCCCAATCAAATGTTCGGCGAACATTGAAAAGATATTGATCGTACTCCGAGCTCTCTTCATCCTCCGCAGTATCGGTAAGCTTGTAATTATGAATTGTGCTATCCCATAATTGATCGACTCTCTTGTATTCCAACTTGCTTCCTCTCTTCCTCTTGCCCTTATCCTTTCTAATCTTTTTTCCTTGATTCCTCTCATCCAACAGAAGCTTTCTTCGTAATGCTTGGAGCTGTCTTGTACCAGGAGGAAGAGAGTTTGGTGCCGCAGGTGGAGGAGGTAAACTCCATACTGGTGGTAATTGCGGAGGGTGCGATAATGAAGATCTTTGAAGTTGTGCTTGAATTTGCATCAATTGTGCCTGAAGTTGAGCATTGGTAACGTCGACCACCTCATCGGCATCGTCATCGGCTTCGGCATCACCGGAATCGTCTTCATCCTCTTCATCTTCATTATCCGAATTTGATTCTGAATCGGAAGTGAAATCGGAGTCAGAAGTATCCTAGAGAATATTAGTATTTAGCGTATTTAAAAATGGAACGAACTGATACCCACATCTTTCTTAGCCTTCTTCTTTGATTTAGCCTTACGCTTTTCCTTGAGCTTTTGTTTGGCCTTCGACTTTGCCTTTCTCTTTCTCTTCTCCTTTTCAGTTTCCGTCTCTGATTCGTCGGAGTCACTGGACGAAGAGGAAGTAGAATCTAAATCCGAAGATTCATCAATTTCGCTCTCAGACTCGGTTTCTACCACCTTTTTAGTTTTCTTGCTTTTGGATTTGCAACTCTTGTCCGCCTTTTCCTTCTTAGATTTTTTGGCTTTGCATTGCTTATCCGTGGCCTGTCGCGGTTTAACCTCAATCTGTGCAGTCGATGATCCTTCTCCCGCGACCACAGTCGTAGGCTCCTCCCTCTCATTGACTTGTTCACTACCTTTGCTTGAGCTTGGGGTATCCATCTTGTTCAACCAACCCTTTTCCTTTCTTGATCTTAATAACGTAGCCGTTGCGAAAGAAAGATATTGGGAAGGTTTAAATTGTTGTGCAAGTTGGAATGGTGTTGTTGGTGGTTGACTGCCTAATTTGAGATTTTATGGTGGCAAGATATTATTTTGCGGTTGAATTATCGTACGGTTCAAATGCAGCCAATGACCTAATAAGTTGGTGAGTCTCGAGTCAGCCTGATTTTTGGAATTGACTTGAATGAGCAAACGTTGTAGATTCAGTGATTGTACCAAAGCCTTTTCTGCTGCATATGCTAAGCACCAAAATAGCTGCAGATGTAGTTGCAGATGTAGTTGCAGCCGTGTGTTAGAGAAATGAAGTGTAACTCTTGCACGGCTACGGCTATCAATCACCAGATTGATTGTTTGCTGACGGATAGATTGATCATCAGACACTTACTTAGTACCTCGTGGGTATTGACTTGGTTTCAGCTGCTGCAGGTCGCCTTGATATCCGTGAATTGGTGATAGAAAGGTTATTGCCAAGTCAAATGATGATTCCCAATCACAAGTAAATCTGGAACGGCAAAGAGGTGAGGGGTAGACAAGATATGGAAGTGAAGAGAGTTGATGGACAAGGAGATAGATGTTGGAAGTAGTAGGTTTGGCAATGATTGTAAGAGGGATGCAATAATGGAAGAAGGACAAAAGTAGCAGTTGACCCTTTCAAGATGGGGAATCGTTTCCTTCAAATAGAATTAAAAGGCTGAGGGAGTGAAAGATGATTTTAAATAGCTAAATCCCTAGTTTTAATCGGTGTGACTGTCATGCATGTAGTAATCCTACCTACCGTACTTGGGTATGAGTCTTTGGAAACTAGAGAATAGAGAATAGAGAATAGAGAGTAGAGAATGAATCCAGAGCTGATTGTTTATGATTACGGTACTTGTAGCTAATGTTGGAAATACAACTTTGAGTGGTAAATCCAATGAATGGCAATTGAAATGAGCATCACATCACATCTCCCACCTCACCTCACACCCTCACAACCTCCCTTACCTGAAGGCTGGAGCTCTTTCGTTTTGCCTGCAGAGCCGAGAGCTTGCCTGTTCTCACTGTCACCACCGCAGTTAATCAAGATGACACTAGAGCAATCAGGGTAGCATTCATCTATTTAGAGTGGTTTAGTGTAGCTGTTTGGCGTGTGTTGGTGGGTGTTGGTGGGTGTTGGTGGGTGTTGGTGGGTGTTGGTGGGTGTTGGTGGGTGTTGGTGTGTATTAGTGTGTATTAGTGTGTATTAGTGTGTATTAGTGTGTATTAGTGTGTATCTTTAATGGTTCTTCCGCTGATTCTCATTGGTTTATAGTGATGTCCACACACCAAAGATCACTAAAAGGTCATTCCCAGGTAGGTACCACCAGTACCTACTGGGCAAAATACCCCTGTCCTCTGACGCCAATCAACCCTGATCAAAGATGGCCTGAACTTCTGATGGAACGATGAAAGAAACGAGGCTGCGTCTTTTGTATACCACCGAGAGAAAATGTTTGAGAGTGACATCCGTGGTCAGGTATCTGCCGGGTACTCTTTACTTCAATTCAATAAATCGACTTTCTATTTCTATTCTACCATATTTCTGCTGTAAATTAAATTAGATCATCTCAACCATCTCAACCATCTCAACCATCTCAACCACTACACCTTGTCTTCCTGTACCATAAGGTTATCTTAGGATTACACCATATCCCCCAAACCATCCTTCAATCCACGGCTGTTAAAGGTTACGAAGCTAAATGTTGCCTACACTATCACACCACACCCACCAACTCAAGGTGGATATGGATTGTGAATCACAAACATCGATCGATATCGGTACCGGTTGACCGGAAAGCGAGAGGACATCCTACCAATAACGAGGCAAATCAATCAATCTCCACGGCTGTGACATACTTTTTTGCCCAATCCCACGAGGGACCATTCAACAGTCCAGTTCTATGAATCCTAGGCCAGCATGCAAAGACATAGCGTAGCATAGCATATTCAGCTAAACAGTGCATTCGATACTGACCTACTAATAAGTCTCCAAGATATTCATTCTTTCTCATCGACTCATTCTCCCATACGTAAGTGGTTGAAGGCAACACTCCGCAGCAAATGGAATTGGAACCATTCGTTTTTGTTGAGGCTGATGAGGAAACCCTTCACGGAATGAATCCGCCTAAGCTTTCCTAAGCTACTGCTATGCTATGTTATGCTATGCTATCTAACTCGGTGTGTTTCTTTTGTACGCAATGCCCATCGAGTGAGTATCTTACAATACCAATACCAACACACACCAATACCAATACACATACACATACACATACACATACACATACACATACACTACAATTGTCTCATTTACATTCATATAGTGAGGCTCAACATAAATAGATCTTTGTCGCCGAGTAGAACGAATATTTAATTCGTCATCCCTAGGTATCAAAGGATCTACTACAGCCGCTGATACATATGGGATACTCTGAGTTGCATAATGTAAGATTGCTTCCTATCTATCATTTGATAATTGCTAACGGACAATGATCAAGTCCTCACATCCTCAGAATAAATCTTTTCTCTCGTCTAGAACTTCACTTCGCACAGCCACAAATTTATCATGTCCATACCCTGGTTGCGCCGAGTACAACATTTCGATTTTCCGAAGTCGGAAGAAAGGAAAGAAAATAACAGCCAACGACAACACCAACACCAGCACCAGCACCAGCACCAACACCCATACCAACACGCAGCAGTTCTGCAGTCTGACAAACACCACATTTGGAATACATACATATATCTTCATGCACAGGGAAGAAAAGAATCCTGGAAGGGAGGCGAATGCAGCATCACCTATTGTACTTCCCACGATGTCACTTTTATCGCCATCCATCAATATTCGACTATTCATTCCAAACTTTCTTCCTTTTTTCCCAAAACACACAACACAACATTTCATACACCTTAGCCTACCCACTTTGGGTCATGATAATTTATTTCCCCGCCTTCATCAACAGAATTGGAATCTCCATCAACCCGGATAATGAATATTTCCAAGAGATGCAAGACATCGTCGATGCATTTCAATAGATTAAAAGGATCTATTGATCTATCGCCTGGAAGTTGTTCTTCGTCCGACATACATCCCAACATAATTGCATAATCTATCACTTTTTCAGCCTTTTCCGATATTTATTTTTCACTACAGTTCGTGCTATTTCATTGCACCCAGAATCATTGTTTGATGTTTCTCGACATATCGGACATTCATGATTTTCTCAAGGAATTCTATCTCCGAAAAAGTACCCCGCCAAGTCAATCCTTTTCCCCTATCATATGACACATTTAGACTTGTGTATGGTGTATGGAAATGCCAAGTTACACTACATCAATCACCCCCAGCTGCACTAGGATTAACTTGTGTTTGTTTGTGAAGTACAATACTTCTATTTGCCGCTTAACTGTCCTGATTTTCGATCATTGCACATAATCGCTATCATTCCGCATTCTTCTATCTGTCTTCCTGCATATAATAATGTTCTGTTCTGTTGAGTAATGGACGATTGCATATTACATGAAATGTGCAGGTACCTTTGAGATTGCCATGAAAATATCGTTTTGAGGATTTTCGATATCACAACATTAGAACAAAGATTTTGATCTCTTATTCCACAACATCCGAGTAGTCTATGAATCTTTTCAATCTCGTATCGTCAGATCAAATATTCATGATACATGATCTATTCCTTTCCTCTACCTGATCACATTCCGATTATTTCATTTATACTTCTCCTACAATATCTCAAGAAAATCTTGAGAATATCGTCGCAGTTCAACACAACATCCAATCTTCCCACAAATCTCGATACACGTCGATTTTGAGCACAGCTTATCACAATTACGACAGCATCAAAATCTAATCACATTTCTTTTTGCGTCATACTGATCTGCGTTTTCTCATCTCAATCACCTATTTCAAGATCGTAGCAAGTGCCTTTAACACATCTATTCCGATCTGTGCCTGAGTTGGAACATGCGGAACCACTTTCGTGTGTATTGCTACGTCACCTTTATCAAGATACATCTATCCAATATACGATTATTGGTCTGCAACAAGAAATCCGAAAATACCATCACCATGTTTGATCTTCCTTTTTTACATCGATCTTCCGACGGCATCTTGGGCTACCGATCTTCAGAGTAGTCAAAATACCCATTTGACACTGCATCGCCCCATGACTTCATTTTCATCGTCCCTTATCCCACCGGATCTCATAAACCAGGAAGCACTTGATCTTCTATCTTATTCCAACGATAAAACATATTATCGTAGGTACTAGCCAGCATGTTCACCGCATCATCTTACACCTGCATCATCTTATTGAAGCGAATTTCAAACAGAAAATCTTTGTGAGACTGAGATCGTTTCTGAGCTCGTGACATCAATTTTCTGATGCTGAAACAGAGTTGCAAAATAATATCAAGATCTGATAGATCTAGATATCAAATCGAGACGTACTCGGATATCACAGCATGAAATAATCCCTAATCACCACGTTTCTTTCTTTCCATTTCCTTCCACATCGTCACTCGCAGGAAAACCACAACTATTTTAAACGCACTTAGTTTCATACTCACTAGCAAATGCCACGGTAACACCCAAACTACACCTCTTTTATTATCATGATCATCATTTGCATCACTCCGAACTTTATAGGTGGGTGACACCACGTCAGGTACAACAGTTCCCATCTCATGTGGAAATTTTAGAGAACTTTCTGGTGTGTTATGCGGAATCTAGGGTTGGAAGCAACATCAACGTCAACCTCGACCTCAAAGTTGAAGTACGAGTATTTCTACCATGCCCATGTTTTCTACCCGATCATATCATCCACCATTGATTCACGTTTAATTACAAGATGTACTTTGTAATATGTACGAATGTCCACCTTTTCAAACGATTATTGACCAACCCAACGTTTCATTGTAGCAAAAATATCTCCTATACCTTCTTCTCAAAACTTTCCTTTCATTAAATTCTTGTTCATTTGCTCTGGGTTGAGCCCAGGCCTACAATATATCTATTGGAACTTTGTCTTTAAGGACGTTCATTTAACCTCTAATCCCGTCACTCTAAAAAAAATCTGAGTAAATAAGCTAATCATCGGGTAACTTTGTTGCCTAGAAGTTTCTGGCTCCATGACATTGAAGGTAGTATTGGGTTTGATTTGAATTACCCAGTAGCTCAGGCTCCAACAAGATAGAAAAATTAAAAGATTACCACGCTGTTTTGTTTTGGGCGCATTCACAATTCTTTTTGTGATCGTATGTAATTAGTCGTACGATTTTATCTGAATCTCCTTTCTTGAAAGTCGATATCGATAGAGAAAAGAGAAGAGAAGAAGAGAAGAGAGATGATTTGGCCAAGCCTTTCGAACACCAGCAACCGGTCATCGCTGAGATTCCCTTCGGCATATAGAGGCGAAAGTTTAAATAGGCTTTCTTTGTTATTCTGAGAAATCTTACCACTCATCATTGACGCTCAGTCAGAAATACCGTCATAGTTATGATATTATTCTTGAACATTTTTGCTGTTTATATGAAGAACTGGGCAGTTGGAAATCATAGCCTTACACAGGTAGAGTACTAATCCTACTTGTGAATTATGACCTGATTGGATTTCACGAAAATCAAATATTACTAAGGCTATTGATAAAATACTGATGCTCTCCAGATCTTACCCTCAAGTCAACACTCGTGGAGATTCTCACGACCTGATAGTTACCCTAGCAAAATCATAGATGACCTCACGAACACAAATGCTTCACATGCTCATATTGGGCATATTGAATGTGTTGTACGACTGTTAAGGTCGCTTTGATGGTTATTTATGAATATCAACGATTTATGTATTATACAATGTTCTCTCTTATCTTCCACAAACCTGTATCATGAAGTCCTCTGGCTTCAGGAATCGCAAGACCGAAGATCGATCATCAATTTCGTTTCCACCCAGCTCGTAGATCAAGCCATAGGGTACACATGCTCCCAAGAATAACGCGGTTTTTTGTTCTGGCTGTTCTGGCGACCGGGATCCACATTCGTGAGTTTCATCTCAAGCGTCTTCTATATTAAAGGCATAATATACTGTCCGTACTCGACCGTTGTTATGTAAGATCCAAATTCGCTATTCAATGATCGCTGAGCATTCAGCCAATCATAGGGATGTTTGACAAGGCACTCTTCATAGTTGAAATGTATAAAATCAGCAAGTCGGAAGTCGTCAGGTTGTCCTGAATTAACATTGATAATTTTCTTCATTTCCCTCTTCAACGCATTGCTTGCAGCAGGACGTCTTATTAAGTCTGACAGTGCCAGCGGCCTTTTCCGTCCATTACGCCTGAAGCTAGAAGCTTGGTTAAGTAGACATTCGAGGGTATCAGATTTTTGGATCTCGTAACCTCCAGGGCGAAACATATTCGTCGCACGAACGAATCTCTCATCTTGATGATTGTGGAAGTCGGGGCAGTCACGCATCCTCGCAAGGAGATAATAAAGCATCAAAAATCCAGCGCCATTTCAGTCCTCTCATCTCCGACCAATATGTGCGTCACGAGGGCTACTTCGATTTTCGTGTCAGTGAAGGTGGGGAAATTATCTTGGAGATGTTTGAATAGTTCGGGTGTGTATTCGTGATTTGTTGCACAAGGTGCCTTTTCAAGGAAATTTTCACTGTTCATGTAATCCTGGATGAAGTGAAATTCCGGGGTTTCGTGCGCGGTTATCATGATAAAGGGTTGCTGTTTGCGAAATCGGGAGGGGACGGGGTCTACCTCTTCGATGAGAGATCGGTATTGCGCTGTGCTTTGGGAGTTGCCCATGGTGGACTTTGGTTTAGGGGATTTTTATAAAAGAGAGGATTTAGTTGTGTGTGGGTGTGTGTGGTAGGGTTGTGGTAGTGTTTGGGTTTCTGATGATTTTTGAGTGTTCGATGTGGATGGTTGGGAAGGTAGGGAAGAGTAGGGAAATGAATGAAGTGAAGGAGAAAGAGAAAGGGAATGAGGAACCTTTTATATATATCATATAAGACTGGAAAATAAATCATATGTACCCGTCCTAGTTATGGATTTATTCATCTAGTCATTGTTGCTTAGTGTTATTCAGTGTTATTTATTTTAATGAATTATAAATATTCAAATCATATTTAAGTTTTCAAGTTATATTTAATAAATAATAAAATTATTAAAATCTTATTTATTTATATTTAATATTTTTTAATAGAAGATAATAAAAGTAAATCGATAGATAAATAAAATTATTATTAATTAAATCTTAAATTATTATTTGAAACTTGAATTATTAATCTACAATATTGAATGAATTTTTTTTATATAATCATTTATTATATATACTTTTATAAAATAAAATAAAATAAATAAATCTAATACTTATTTTACTTTCGGATCAAAATTTAATTTAAATTAATTTTTATATCAAAATTATTATTTTATATAAATTTTATATAAATTATTAAAAATTTATTTATATTAAAATCTTGTTATATAAATATTTATAAATATCTATAATTTTATTTAATTGAGATATTGTAAAGTTGAAATTATAATTTTGAATTTTTTAACTTTTACAACTTTTAATTAAAAATTATTGAAAATAAATTATAATTAATTGAATAGATTTATTTATTTTAAAAATTAGTTTATAATTGATAATTTATTAATATTTATATAAATTATTAATAATTTATTTATATTAAAATCTTGTTATATATAAAGTTTATCTGATAGAAATGATAAAAAATAAAAAACTTGTTTAATTGAGTCGCGATCCTGATAATCTGATTGGTTTAAAATACCTTGGTAAATAATCTAACAAAAAGCTTGATATAAGTCTTACAACTTTAAACAAATCTGACTTGGAACTTTTTTTAATTTTATTCCTTCAATTCAATTTTATTTATTCTATTCAACTTATTTTATTTAAAATAATAATAATAACAATAATAATATAAATAATAATAATAATAATAATAATAACAATAATAATAATAATAATCATAATAATAATAATAACAATAATAATAATAATAATAATAATAATAATAATAATAATAATAATAATAATAATAATAATAAATAATAATTTATTATAATTATTATAATTATTATTTTAAATAAAAAATTTAATTTTCAATTATCAAAAGCAAGTTGATATTCTATCTGTACTTTAATATATATTCAATATTTAAATTTATTATAAATTTTTATTAGACTTTCTCGAAAAGCCAGGGGTCCGGGGGGCGCAGGCCCCTGGTATTTATATAAATATCTATATAAAGAGATATATAACTTATTATATCTGTCACGGACCTTGTATAAGGACGGTCACGTGATTCCAATTGATCACTAACTCCTATCGGTGAGTTGATAGTCTGTGCGCTTGGACTTCGATTTACCCTTTTTAGTATGGGATTATAGTCACTCTAAGATCAAATGTACACAACTATACAGCTACTGTATAGGTATTTTGTATATATATATAGATAATTCTTATGAGTTATAATTCTTCAATTGTAAATTCTAAGAAATATAATTAATCTTGTTTATTCAGCTCTTATGAGGCTTTTGTATGTTATAATATTGTTACGAGGGATGCGATCTAGATCACGTGGAAGTGGCCTGGATCCTCGAATGGTTTATAACTAGGCGTCAAGCAGGAGCTTTAAAGTAATATCAATGGTTGCAATTCGTAACTAATAGTAGAGTATACTAAATGATTGATCTTGAGCACGAAGCTCCTATATACAGGAAACCCCTCTGGTTTATATAGATCTTCGTATCCTGTAGATTCGTATGGACCTACGATTCGTATCCTTGTATATGTAGGGTCCATCACGTGATCTCTAGGATCAGACTATATGTCCGAGCTTGCTGAGGGTGGGGAGACCACATGAGGCGATTACCATACAAATTTGTATACAAATTGCCTTGCTTTTCGATGAGGCCTAAGCTCATGTGGACAGGTTGACTGTTACCTTGTAACAAATATCCTCAATCTCAAATGATATTGATTTATTTAATTTATTTTTATTTAATAAAAAAATTCTTTTGAACAAGATAAATTTATTAATATATATATTTATTTAAGTATCATTATCTTATTATCTTCTTTTTCTTCTTTTATTATTTAAAAAAAAATCTGAAATCTATTTATTATATACTATTCAAGTTCATGATCAAATCTTTGCAAAAATTATATTTTTCTATATTAAATAAAATATTGAATAACTTTTTTAATATTGAATTAAATCAAATGAAATTTTCAAATATTAAAATTAATTACAAGAAGATATTGGAAAAATTTATAATTTATTTTTAATTACTTTTTTTCTAAAGTTATATCTATTCAAATTTAGAAAATATTAAAATTTCATTCAAGTAATGCTTTTTAAACTTTTTTGTTTTTTCAATCTTAAATATATATAACTTTGAAACAAAAATCATGATAAATATTTTGTTAAATTTTTATTATATTTGAATCAATTATTTATATATATATCAATTTTTATATATTTGTTTTATTATTTTATAAAGATAACAAGGATTTAAAAAGTTGAACAAATCGTTGATTTTGGTGTGATTTCGCTTAGTGTGCGGTGAGTAGATTCCAGAACTCTTACTTACCCCACAAAAAGATATCGCCTCAATTTGATCTCAATAATGGTCTAGAAGGTTCATCAAGAACCTTTGCCTCATTGACTAATAAAAGATTTTACGCCAGGAATGTAACTAAATTAACTAACTACTTAAATAGTAAACTTTTCATGGAAAAGTACAGATTTAAAAGAATTTTCACGCAAAAGTAGTAGTGAGCTGCCGATGGTTGATTTCTAAGTTCTGCCCTACGGTGTCGCCGCAGAGGCGCGTGGTTGATATTGAGTTATGATTTGTTCAATTTGTTGCGGGTTGGAAATGGTTGAGCCAATCGGATTATTCATCATATCCCATACTATAGTAGTACCCTCAGTGAGATTAGAGGGATGAAGAGAATTACGCATATAGGTTTAATACTGTATAGTTACCATCAGTCACTCCTTGATGATTCTTCTTTTATGGGGGCAAGCCCCCAAACCCCCAAGCTCGCTGCGCTCGAATAGTCTGTTTATAGTTTCCTATTGGTGTTGCAATGGTATCGTAGCTGTGTTACATAGTTAAAAGTAAAAATAAACATTCTCTTACTCAGCAATCAAAACGAACATTTATTACTCCGTATGGGATACGCCTCTCAATACCTCTCACACCGAAGAATCAAGCTAGGCAATTAAGCGATGCAATGATGTTGATCCATACTCCCTAGTCTAGTGCCTTACTGTATGCCACTCACTCACTCACTCACTCAAACTCAAAACGCCCCAGTGTGTGCCACTTCACAAAAATAAAAAAGATCCAAAACCCTCTTTCACTAGCTATTCCAGTCCCCCTTCCTTCAAGTCTCCCTCATTCATTCTTCTTCCTTTAGCTGATATTCTCTCCAAGTCTTTTTGTTCTCTGTCATCGTCGGTAGTGACAAAACAACAAAAAGATTAATAAAAAGAATCTTTTTCGCGATACTTTAATTTAGAACTCTTTATCAAAAACTACCCATTCCTTCTCTACCATTTCAAATCCACAACTAATCCGCCACCTTTGCCCGCATTATCATATGCTAGTGAGCAGAATTGATCGAATCAGATATCAACATTGCCATTAATTCTCCACTCTTACCCACCGCATCGATTACTACGGAAAAGTTTCGCGCTAAGCAAAAATTTCATTCCCACAAATCCTTATCGACAACTTTTCTCTCACCCCCCTCTTCTTTTTCTTCTTTTACAATGCCTTCTATCGAAACACCATCGAACCCAACAACAACAGGAAAGATGGCTGAAAATAAAAACTCGATCAAGGTCTTAGATGACTTAATGTCGAAGTTGTCTGTTTCGAAAGAGCAGAACGACATTAATGCTGCCACTCACAACCTCGCCATTTTCATTAACGGTGGCATCGAGGAGAATGATGCCCCCACCAAGTATGTACTTTCATGTTCAACATTCAAATTTTCATCCAAGAAGAGAAACGGCATCCATCAGAGTTGAATATCTGCAAAGATCTACTTTCGAGATGTCCTTTACTTCAATCTTTCTATCGAGGTGGCAGTCTTACAGTCGCACGTTGAATCTCGATCATTCGAATTTTTCATTTTCAACTTACTAACGATGTGTCCTTTGCAGAACTGTCGAGGCTTTGCAAAAGCAATTAGCAAACAAGAAGGATGCTAATGTTAGAGAACGCGCTCTCAATGCAATTCAGGCAATTGCTGAGCACTCTGAAGTCTCTGCATCCGTCGAACCATACCTCATCGTCCTCCTCTCCTCCGTCCTTGCCGCCGTTGGTGACAAGATGGTCCCAGTTAAGAACGCCGCACAAGCAACTGCTTTGGCCATCGTCAAGGCTGTCAACCCAAATGCTGTCAAGGCTGTCCTCCCACCTATCATCAACTCCATCCTCACCGCACAAAAATGGCCCGAAAAGATGGCTGGTCTTGATTGTATCGAGGCTCTTGTCGAATCAGCACCAACTCAATTGGCTCTCAGAGTCCCAGATCTCATTCCAGTCGTTTCCGAATCGATGTGGGATACCAAGCCAGAAGTCAAGAAGAGAGCTTACAGCATCATGGAGAAGATCTGTGGACTTATCGTCAACAAGGATATTGAACGTTTCATTCCAGAATTGATCAAGTGTATCGCCAAGCCAGAGAACGTCCCGGAGACTGTTCACTTGCTCGGTGCCACCACTTTCGTCACGGATGTTCACGAGCCAACTTTGGCCATCATGGTTCCTCTTTTGGATCGTGGTCTTGCCGAGCGTGAGACTGCTATCAAGAGAAAGGCTGCTGTCATCATTGACAACATGTGCAAGTTGGTTGAGGACCCCAACATCGTCGCTGCTTTCTTGCCAAAATTGATGCCAGGTCTTATCAAGAACTACGAGAACTTGGCTGATCCTGAAGCTCGTGAAAAGACCAAACAAGGTCTTGACACCATCAAGCGTGTCGGTGCCGTTGGCGCTGATGGAAAGATCCCAGAACCATCAAATGCTGGTAACGTCTCCACTGTTGAGTCTATCCTTAAGGATATCCTTAGCTCCAACAAGAACGCTCTCAAGTTTGAGCCAATCATCACATACATCTCCGCCATCGCTGGCCAACTCATTGACGAGAAGGATGCCGACTCTCACAGCTGGACCTCCAACCTTAAGCCATTCATCGTTGCAATTGCTGGTGAGAAGGAGGCACAGTCAATTGTTGACTCCCTCCGCAAGCGTGCCTCCCCAGGTGCCGAGGCTGAGGATGCTGAAGAAGCTGATGATGAGGAAGGTGAGGATCTTTGCAACTGTACCTTCAACTTGGCATATGGTGCCAAGATTCTTCTCAACCAAACTCATCTCCGTCTTAAGCGTGGTCAACGATATGGTCTTTGCGGTCCTAACGGTTCCGGAAAGTCTACTCTCATGCGTGCCATTAACAACGAGCAAGTCGAGGGTTTCCCAAAGAAGAGTGAGGTCAAGACTGTGTTCGTTGAGCACGATCTCGACTCCGCTGATACTGAGCAAACCACCATTGCATGGACCATGAAGAAGCTGAAGGAGGTCGGTGTCGAGACTTCCCAAGAAGAGGTCGAGAAGCAATTGGCAGAGTTCGGTTTCACCTCAGAGATGACCAACAACTTGATCACTGCTCTCTCTGGTGGATGGAAGATGAAGTTGGCTCTTTGCCGTGCTGTCTTCGAGGCCCCAGACATTCTCCTTTTGGATGAACCTACCAACCATTTAGATGTCAAGAACGTCAAGTGGCTTGAAGATTACCTCCAAAACTCTCCTTGTACCTCTATCATCGTTTCCCACGACTCTGGTTTCTTGGACAACGTTTGCCAACACATCATTCACTACGAGCGATTCAAGCTCAAGAGATACCGTGGTAACTTGAGGGAATTCGTCAAGAAGTGCCCACAAGCCAAGTCTTACTATGAGCTTGGTGCTTCCGAGATGGAATTCAAGTTCCCTGAGCCAGGTTTCCTCGAGGGTGTCAAGACCAAAGCCAAGGCCATTGTTCGTGTCAACAAGATGTCCTTCCAATATGAGGGTACTCCAAAACCACAAATTTCAGACATCACCTTCCAGTGTTCTCTTGGTTCCCGTATTGCCGTCATTGGTCCCAACGGAGCTGGTAAATCTACCTTGATTAACGTTCTCACTGGTGAACTTATCCCAACTATTGGTGAGGTCTACACCCATGAGAACATCCGTATCGCCTACATTAAACAACACGCTTTCGCCCACATCGATCACCATCTCGAGAAGACTCCATCTGAATATATTCAATGGCGTTTCCAAACTGGTGAAGATCGTGAAACTATGGACAGAGCCAACAAGATCGTCACTGATGAAGATGAGAAGGCAATGGACAAGATTTACAAGGTTGAAGGTACTCAACGTCGTGTTATTGGTATCCACTCTCGTCGTAAGTTCAAGAACTCTTATGAGTATGAATGTTCGTTCGCTCTCGGAGAGAACGTTGGCTTGAAGAACGAAAGATGGACACCTATGATGACTGCAGACAACGCCTGGATTCCACGTACTGAAATCTTGGCTTCCCATCAAAAGATGGTTGCTGAAGTTGATCAAAAGGAGGCTCTTGCCAGTGGTCAATTCAGACCTTTGGTTAGAAAGGAAATTGAACAGCACTGCGCCAACTTCGGTTTGGATGCTGAATTGGTTTCTCACTCCCGTATGTTGGGTCTTTCTGGTGGACAACGTGTTAAGGTCGTCCTTGCTGCTTGCTCGTGGCAACGTCCTCATCTCATCGTTCTTGACGAACCTACCAACTACTTGGATCGTGACTCTCTCGGTGCTTTGTCCAAAGCTCTTAAGAGCTTCGAGGGTGGTGTTATCATCATTACTCACTCTGCTGAGTTCACCAAGAACATCACTGAAGAAGTCTGGGCTGTGTTGGACGGAAAGATGGTTGCATCTGGGCACAATTGGGTACAAGGTCAAGGATCTGGGCCCCGTCTCAAGGGAGACGACGCCGATGAAGAGGACAAATTCGATGCCATGGGCAACAAAATTGTTTCAACTAAGAAGAAGGCGAAGTTATCTTCCGCGGAACTTCGCAAGAAGAAAAAGGATCGTATGGCGAGAAGAAAGAGAGGCGAGGAAGTTTTCACGGACGAGGATGAATAGATTGATGGTTGGAATACTTATGATGAATAGACCGATGAAAATGAATAACCACAGAAGTACTCGAACCAAAAAAAGGGCTAGAGGAATAGAATTTTAATGACAATTTCAATGAAACATAATTAGTGACTTAGTACTAGTGATATTGTAAGAAAGTTGGAATTATAGGTCAAATACATAAAGGTTTTTAACTAGTCAATCATATAACCTATTATAAATAAATATAAAAGGAAAGCTTTTGTTTCTTCTTTTGATAATAATCAACCTTCTACATATATACATTTGAACCTATATAATATCAACCCCAAAACCATTATGAACCCTGTTTTCTTCATAAATGATATATTACAATATGATCTAATTCAGCTTTCTCTTCCAATTCCCTTCTCACAATATGCTATCGGGACGCACGTATCTCGACCTATTACTTTTACAATATAACCTTCATATAATGTATTACTGTATATATTTTACCAGCGAAAGTTCTCAGGCGTTTCTTGACTGGATTATAGATTTCTCGATGAAGAATAGTAGTAAAGATCGAGAATCCATTGATGACGAACTACTATTTAAATCAAACAGTTTATAAGTCTTTACTTCTAGACCATTTTTAATTTGAATTATTCTTTTATATTAAAGATCATTACTTTTATTGATTAATAACTTTATTGTCGGCTTGCCGACACTATAACCTTGCTGTACATGAGGTTTATTTGATGGATAATAGAAAATGAGAAACTTGTTTAAGTGAGTCGCGATCTTGATTATCTGATTGATCTAAAATACCCCAATAAATACCCCGATAAATACCCCGGTAAATAATCGAACGAAAAGCTTGACATAAGCCTTACAATCTCAGACAAATCTGATTTAGAGCTTTTTTCAATTCAACTCTATTGAAATAAGAATATTTATAATAATAATATTAAATTTTCAATCACTAAAAACAAGCCGACACTCTATCCGCACTTTAATATATATATTTAATATTTAAATTTATTATAAACTTTTTAAAACTTAAATTTTTACTAGACTTTCTTGAAAAGTCAAGGGTCCGGGGGGCGCAGGCCCCTGGTTAATCAAGATTTTATATTCAAAGATTATAATAAGATTTTTACAAAATCTTATAATCAATGATTTGATATTTTATTAATTACATATTAGTATTACAAATATAAAATTATTGTTTATAATAATTATAAATTTTCAATTTATATTCTAGAAATATTTATAATAATATTTTAATATTATATTTATTTATTATAATAATTTAACAAATTATATAAATTAAATATTTTAATTTATAAATAATTAATATTCGAGATTGATTTATATATTTATAAATTTATTTAAAAATAAAATTAATTTTAACTTTTACAGTTTCAATTATATAAAATCTATATTAACTTTTATTAATTATTTTCAAAATTTATAATTTAAAATAAATATCATCAATTAGAAAATTTATATATTATAATTTTATTTATTTATTAAAATCATTATATATATTTACCAGGGCCTGCGCCCCGGACCCCTGGCTTTTCGAGACAGTTTAATGAAAATTGAAGATTTAAAAAGTTTATAATAAATTAAATATTAAATATATATCAGGGTGCAGGCAGAATATCGACTTGTTTTTAATAATTGAAAATTAAAGTATTTTATTTAAAATAATAATTATAATATGATTTAATATTATTATATTATTTATAATATTTATAATAATATTATTTAATATTATTATTATTTATTATTATTTATTATTATTTATTATTATTTATTATTATTTATTATTATTTATTATTATTTATTATTATTTATTATTATTTATTATTATTTATTATTATTTATTATTATTTATTATTATTTATTATTATTTATTATTATTATTATTATTATTATTATTATTATTATTATTATTGAATTAAATAAGATGAATTGAATGAATAAATTTGAATTGAATGAGTTGAATGATTCTAATAGAGTTAAATGATTCAATTGAGTTGAATTGAAAAAAGCTCTAAATCAGATTTGTCTAAAGTTGTGTAACGATCTGGTCGAGGCAGCGGCTACCTGAGGTTCGTATAATTGGTAGTTGTAGGTTAAGACTATTAATTATTGTTTATTTATTTAAAAATGAATTCATTATTAGATCAAATAGAATATAGATAAATTAATTGATAATTAAGTTGAATATAAAGTTTTTAAATTATAAAACTATTCTGATTATATATTAATGAATAGGAAAAAGTTTTGTAAAGTTTAAAAGCTTTAAAAAACTTTTGAAGCTTTAGAAGTTTTCTAAGCTTCTAGAGCTTTTTATTATATAATTGATCCTGAGGTCTTTCCTTTTCTGAAACATTTATCTTAAAAGTTTTCCTTTAGAATACAATATCTTCTAAAATGATTGTTTTATTATAATTTATTAACTAAAACACTTTGTTTTATTCTAATATAATTACTTAGGATATTTATTCTAGGAATTCTGAGTTTTTATTTGTAGATAATTAGGCCCTCTAAAAAGCAACGATTAAATCACTGTTATAAGGTAACAGTCAATCTATCCACATGAGCTTAGGCCCTATCGAAAAGCAAGACGATTTGTATACAAATTTGTATAATAATCACCTTATATAATCTCCCCATCTTTAGCAAGTTCGGATATATAATCTAATCGTAATCATATAATAGATTATAGGATCTAGAGGATCTAAAGAATCGTATCCTAAATCCATTAGATCTTTATAATTCAATTAATACGAAGATCTATATAATTAGAAAAGGATTCCTTTTGTAAAGTTTTATATTCAAAATTAATTATTTAATATATTCTATTATTAATTACAAATTACAATTATTAATATTACTTTAAAGCTTTTACTTGATATTTAGTTATAAACTATTCGAGGATCCAAATCATTTTCATATAATCTAGATTGTAATCCTTTAATATTTTGAGTATTATTATTATCTCAAATATCAACTTGACAAAGTAATATTATATCTTCTCAAACCCCTCAACTTAGCAATTCAATTTTAACTATTTCAAAGGATATTAATCAAAATAGAGATATCACTATAAAAAAAATAAAGAATCCCAAAAAGATTATTATCATCGAAACCTTTAAGATTATTCTACTTAACAAGTTCATAGATTATCGATAAGAATTGGAAATCTTCTTATTTCAACTTGAAATCTATTTCGAATTCAATAAGAACAAATTCTATTATAATATTGATAAAAGCATTTGGATTACCTTCTATCTTAAAAAAGAAACTTTCAAATAGATTCAATTTTATCTTAAGAATTATTTTATTTATTTGAATGATCTCAAAAAACGAATGTATTCAATATAAATTATCTTTAAAATATTTGTTGAATTCAAAAAGGAAATATAATGAATATTCAAAAATATTAATGAATTATATAATACTAAATTCAAAATTTATAATTTCAAGCAAATAAAGTCAATAATGAAATATATAATAGAATTCAGATAATATATAAATATTATAGGATAAAAAAAGAATACTATAATGAATTATTATAAAAAAGAGCTCAAAACAAAAATCAGATTAGAATTGGATCGTAATTGTATTTAAAAAGATTTGAACGAATTAATCGAAGAATCAATCAAGACAAATAAGATACTCTACAAATACCAAAGAGAATATCGATCCTTCAACTCTTATAAAAACCGAGATTATAATAAGTATTACAAAAACAAAAGAAGATTTCGAGATTATCAATAATCATATAGAGATCTAATATAATTCAATATAATTTTCAAAAACAAGTTATCTAAAAAGAAGATAGATCAAAAACAAAAGAATAAATTATATTTTGGATATAACGAATTGGATTATTAATCTAAAGATTATCAAAACAAGAAATTATAAAGCCAAAAAATATTACAAAAACCAGATTCGAAAAAAACCAATTTAATATTACTTTTATATCCTTATTATTTATACTTAATATAATCAAAAACGATAATTATAAATAAAAATAATATCAAAATGAAATCAATACAATATTTTAAAATCAAAAAAGTCTGAACGAAATAAACTATTATAAATTAAAACATCTTTGAACTTTATTATCTCCTTTAATCAAAGAAAACTCAAAAAAAATATTATCGATAGAATATACAACAATGAATTGAATAATTTGTTATAATGATTCTTATAGAATTCATTTATCAAATAAAGAAATTACAGAATAATTTTCTTATAAAAAAAAAATTATTTCATTATATAATTATCAAAATAATCAATTATATAAAATTGATCAAATTGATCAAATCAATCAAAATAAGATTATAAATTAAAGACAACTAAATATTATAAATCAAACAGAATAGATTTATTACAATATTAAGATAAATAAACAAAAAATCTAAATTATAATCGATTCAGAAATTACAAGGAATTTTATTATATTAAAAATTATAAAATATTTGAGGATACAATTTCAAACGAAATAGATTTTATATCAATTATAACTAATTGATAGATAATTAATAAAATTAGATAATAAGATTTCGTAAAAGATTTGTTTAATATAAATGAATATAACTTAATATGAAGAGATTATTTAATTCAATATTGTTTTATTAAAGAATCAATAAATCATTTTAAAAATGTTATAATTAAAAGTATATAACCCCAGAATCAATTAAATTATTGAAGTTATAAACTTCTCAAACAAAAGCAATTACTATAATATATTAAAATCTACAAAACTGAATATATACAATAAAGAATTAAAGGCAAATAATACTATCGATATAAAATATTTAATTCAGGGTTCTTTATTAATAATAAAAGAAAATGAATTTTTTATACAAATAAAAAATAAATAAAAAGAATTGTTTGATATCATTTTTATATAAAAATAGAAAAAAATATTAATATTAATATAATACTAAAAATACAAAAAGTTATTTAAAGAAAAAAAAAACTATAAAACTTTATCAAAATATAAATTATAGAATCATAAAATAATATTGGAAGAAGACAAAATATCTTTATTCGAATCAATCTATTAAATATCAAAATTAGAATTAAGGATACTTAAAGAATACATCGATGATATATTAAAAAAAAATTGAATCAGAGAATCAACTTTATAAACAACTAACCTTATATTATATATATCCAAGAAAGATAATATTAAGAGATTATATATAAATTATTACAAACTCAATGATATAATAATCAAGGATCGATATCTATTTCTATTAATTACAGAACTAAAGAATCGATTAAGAAAAACAAGAATTTTCTTTAAATTTGATCTAAGGAATAGGTTTCATTTAATTAGAATAAAAAAAGATAAAGAATAGAAAATAATATTCAGAATTCAATATAGATTATACAAGTATCAAGTTATACTATTCGAATTAACTAATATATTAACAATATATATATAATTAATCAACAATATATTAAAGAAATACTTGGATATCTATTATATATATTATTTAAATAATATCTTTGTATTTTCTGCAACAAAGGAATAGTATATATTGAATATATATAAGATATTAAAATATTTAAAAGAAATAAATCTTTAATGTA